TTTTCTTGGAGTCATAATGGCATATGTTCATTTTGTTATATTTACTGAACATCTTTGTTTGATCTTATGACGTTTGTACGCTATTTCATGAGTTTTTTTCATAATAAAGCACCGTTATGTTTTATACTAACTAAAAGCCTAATATTAGAGCACGATACCAAAAATAAAATAAGAGACACCTCTATGCACCTTCACAAGCGTACTCTTCTGTTCAACCCTTGCATGCAGATGGGAAACCTATGTCTCTTTTACATATTTTTTTCTGACTCTTTAATTACAAGCAAAAATCTATTTTGTTATTTTTTAATTATGAAAAACCGTCTGTTAGTTACTAAAAAAAATCTGTTAGATTATCGGAATTATATTTGTACTAACATTAAAAATCCCCCAAAAGTTCTTTAAAAATTTTTTTTCTCATTCAAATTCAAAAATTTATTAAAAAATAATTTTGTAAGTTAAAGAAGTTTCAATAATGGATAACTGTTTCTCTTAGTTCTAAATAATTGCAAATAAGTGCAAATTTGAAAAATTGCTTTTTTTAAGCGTGTCGTGTTTAAAAGATGTAAAGAAAAAGACACAAATGTTCCATGATATATTTCATAATCATAAATTATTAAAATGCTAAATGTAATTTTTTAAAATTTTTTTTGACCTATATTAATACAAAATGAAACATAAAGCTTGAAAATGTGCTTCATAAAAATTTTGTGTCAAAAGGTTAATAGGCTCCTGACTTATGCTAATTTTGCGAAGCCCGGATGTTATATGCATTTTATCACAATGCAACTTTTTGCAAATGTTACATTTTATTAATTTAAAAAGTTAAAATGAAAATGTAAGAGTTTCTCCTCAATTGTGCTGATTTTATTTGACATAATTTTAAGAAGAATAAAAATAGAAAAATTTTTAATTCGTGATTTATGAGTTGCAGGTTTTGCAACAATTTAAAGTAGAAATGACATAAAGTAAATTCTCTTGGTTTTAAGTATATTCATAATGTAATAATTTATCCATAGTTTAAGCAAAATATTCGAAACCGCATAAATAATGCATATATTACCAGACCAGGCTTTTTCTCATACTTAACTAAATTTATCGTAACTCAGTCTTTTATTGTTTTAATGCTCTTTGCTGATTTATACTACTTCTACTATTAATAATAATAAAGAAACCTCTTTCGATTCTATACTTTGAAGTTATGCATGTATTTTTCAGAGAATAACAGTAATGTGTTGAAATAAATGTGTTGTTTTGTTGTTGATAAATTTCATATTTATTCTTTAATGATGTCAGTATCCGACAATAAGTACAATAAATGAATGAGATAAACTATAGCAATCTCTTACTGCTACGCTCGACTTCGTACTTTAATTTAAAGTAGCTTAATGTGGCGTGTCACGCCGTTTTCGTACAACAGGATGTCGTGATTGTTATGATATATTGTTGTTTATTTATTTTACATGGCTATGACTTTTCTGTTGAAAATACTTTAGATATCAAGTTTAGTTGTTTTCTGATGATTAATTTCCTTGGCAAAATACATTTTTGTAAATAACCTTTAAAACAATACACTTGACAGAATAATAGCTGTTTTATACCCGGTTTAGTTTTTTATTTTGTCACCGGCGTTGAACAGTCAACCCAAATTGCGCCCATCGATGTTCAATTCCATAGCCTTGAAATTTTGAACCTAACTCGGAATGCAAGAGAACTTCATTTTTATCTTTCTGATAAAAACAGTATTTACAAGTTTTAACGTTTCGCTTCATTATTTCTAGTCTAGTTTTTTAGCTTCACGATTTTTTTGAAATATTAAGGATTACAGCGACATAATATTCTTTCAATTTGCTTTTTTTCTATAACCGTCGTTGAACAGCTGACCTAGTTTTGAGTTCACAACTACCGATGTTCAATTCAGTAGCCTTGTAATTTTGAACCCAATCCAGAAGACATGGAGAATTTCTAGATCAAGTAGTAAGAGAAATTTTGCCTTTGAGGAGGACTTTTTAATGAAACTAACCCTCATTTGCGTTACATGGTGAAAAAAATCTGCCACAGTTAGCCTGACTGCTAAGGGACTCGAACTCCTGAACCGTCTACCACTGAGGATATTTTACGTCAGCATTGTGGTCGAAGAGAGCCAAGTGCAGAACTCGTATCAAGCAGCCATCGCTGGGATTTGAACCCGGGTCACCTTATTGTGAGGCGAGCGCTCGATTCTCTATCCACCACGACTCATGTTTTTTTGTTGATAGTTGACTTTCACTTAGTATACTATACTTGAGCAATTTACAGTCGCACAGTATATTTATATTTATATTGAAAAGATTGAAAAATACGTGTTAGATTTTTTTACAGCGTTTACAACGCTAATTGTGATGTCATTTTGTTGCTCTCTATACGGTACGAATATTATTCCTATTAAATAACAACTATACTTGAAAGCCGTGGGAAATGTAAAAAAAAAATGGGGAAAAAAAAGAATTCTGATTGTTTACTCCTACTGTATCATGGAACAAATTAGGAATTAAAAAATTTTTTTGAGCTTCACTTTAATCTTAATAAGACGCATTACACGATATTAGTTTACACACTATAAAATACAATTAACATCAAAATCTATTTAAAACTTTCCGAGATGATAACGCCCGAAATATTTTTTCAATGGATCATCATCACTTTAATAGATGTTACACGTTAGCTTCTTTGATAAATCCTTACGGCTGAGTTCCATAAATAATTTAACAAAAATAAAATAAATAAAAATAGTAAAGGGATATTATTTTTTAAAAACAGTATACGTGTTTTATATTTTCTGATTTAAATAAAAATTTTTGTAATGAAGTATTTAAAATAAAATTTTCGTCTTTTCCCCCATAAAAATTGTAAAACTTAAAACCATAATATTTTTTAATGATTGTAGTTGTGGTAAAAACCTTTCTCTAGAGTATTCTTTTATGAAAATATAGATTAATATAAAAGTATTTAAGCAATAGTTCGGCCAATAAAATTTTTAAAATAAATTTGAGAGGAAAAGGAATATTTAAATTCTACTTACATTGACTTCTAGGATTAATAAATCTCTTAACTTGCAAATAAAATTCAAAATACAAATAAAAAGTTAATATTTTTTATTTAGTTATGTACAAAACTAAAAAAAGAAAAGAAAAAATAGCTGAATAATAAAAATAATTGAGATTAAAGGCAAATAAATTTTGCAGTTTTGTGTTTTTTCCCCCTACTTTCACTGTCCACTTGGGATTTAAAAAAGCGTGGAATTAAAGGTTAGTTGCTAAAAATCTACTTTTTTAAGTTTTTTTATTATGCATTAAATTTTTTTTTGCGTGTGTGTTATATCTACAATTTTTAAATTAAAAAAAAAGGAATTGTGTATTTTATTTAACTATTTATTATCTTAAAATATTCAAGAGAAGTTTTAATTTTTTCCCCTTTTTTTATGAGAGAATCCCATATCAACGAGGTAACTTAATTGAAATTGTATTTAGGAAGAAAATTTAAAAAGAAGGATTTAATTTTGAAAAATACTGAATTTTCTTATATTACTTCCATAGAAATAAAATATCTTTAAAAAAAAAAAAAGAAAGAAAAAGGCAGGATAGATTATCACTTCAAATTAAAAAATTCTAAGTATCTTATAGTTACATTTTTTATGTATATAATTAGAAAAACATTTCTAATAATAAAACACAGAAAATGAATCCCTTTCTTTCTTTCGATTTTTAAAAAAAAAAGTTACAAATGCAATGAGGTATAAAAAATTTCTTTTCCTTTGATTTCCGATATTATCGGAAAATTATTTTTATTACTGTCATATGGGTTATTAGGTATATTGTTGGTTGGCTGTATTGAGACATTTAGCTGCATTTGAGAATTTCTAATATCAATTTCAATAAAAACAAATTATTTGAATAAAAACAATTAATATTTTATTTAATGTTAGGGCATATGTGTGAGGAGGAAAAAAACTTTTTGCCTTAAATACAGGAGATAAAAAAAGGAGAATTTTTGAAAGTAAAAAGTATTTTTATCACTAATTATCTAAACCACAATATATTTCAGAAGCTTTACTATTTTTATCGCAAGTTTAAATTGATGAACCATAGAAATTTACATCAACTGTAGCACATTAAACTAAATTAGCTATACCAGCTTATTCTACCTAAGTTTTAAAGAGTAAATATGTAAATAAAATATAAATTTTTACAGTATATTTGTATACTTATATTTATGTGTATACAGATATTATTTATTTATTTAACTCTGATATAGTAAATATTGTGATCTTGAGTAAGTTATTTGCTTATAAATTTTTAGACTTATCTAACATCAGTTAGAGATAAATGTGTTTAACGATAACAAAATATCTTTAATAAATATATTTAATAATGATAACAAAATATATTTAATATTGTTGTATAAAGAATACAACTAAAATAATAAAAAGTGTTATAACTCATGAGCAGCCAAAGAAACCTAATACCATATGAATGAAGATATGTTGGGTTTCGTTATAGCAACGTGACGAACAGCAAAACCTGTAGGCCATGTTGCTATTGGCTGGAATATCGACTACAACTAGAGAACACGAAAATTACTTAATATAAAACACCAAAAAGTTAATCCAAGTCATATCAAAACCTAATTCTTTCCAGGTCTATGTACACAAATACCATGATGAGTTACAACACTATTGTTCTAACTCAGTACATTTGTTGTTTTTATACTTATTTATATTGTATTCTTTTTATCACGTTTTATAGTATATTTACTCTTAATTTTCAGCAGCTTTTGCGCTTGTTTATAAAGTTTAATGACTTTATTTATTTTTCGGTTTTTTAAAAATAACTATTCTAAATACTAATTTATTATAGTGTATGAAATATATATAAATATATATATATGTAGGAGGGATGAGTGTGTGTTTTCTCATAATATCACGTACATTAACTGTGTACTTATATTATTTATTTATTTTTCAGAACTCATGGCTGCTACATTCTGCTGGCACAGAAATATCTCAGAAAGGTGATTGATTTTTGATACCTTGTTATTAACATGCATGAATTGATTTTGCTATTTTATTATTAACAGGCATTATTTAATTTTGATATATTATTAACATGCAGAATTGATTTTGATATTTTCTTATCCGGCATGATTTGTTTATATTTTTTTATATTAAAGAGTTGTGCAAATTTTTCAGATAAAACTGGACTTGTGTTATGGATAATGCTGAACAAAGTTCAAGACCCCCATCTAAGGGCATTTTTGACACTGCTAGCTTGCTAGGTAAGCATATATATCAGTGCTTAAAATTTTGTGCTATGTTTTAATTAATCGTTTAATTTGTAGTATTATTTCCTGATCAAATGTCTAAAAAAAATCAAACTTGTGATGAATATATAGTAATACTTCTTTAAATAAATTTTTAAATCAGTCTTCACGCTTTGTGTTGACGAAATCATTCCATATTTTTGTGAAGTTACTGTAAGTTCAGATTAAATTCTGATTAGAAAATTAATGTTTATATAGTTTAATACTATTTTAAAATTGTGTTAGAATAAAAATAACATGCGTGAGCGCATTTTTTGTTGTGTTTATATAAATGCTAGATCTTGCCTAATTCGAGTGTGAGGATTTCAAATCTTAAATTAGTTATACTCCTAAAGCTATGGATTTTATTAAAATTATATTTTTAGTATGAGTTATAATAAGAAGTGTACTTAGCCACGACAAACTTCTAGGAGAGTGACCTAACTCCCTTAGAAGTTTGTCGCAACATTTATTTGACCCCTTGTTATTTATAAAATTTTTAAACTTGTACATTTCAACAAAAAATAGACTAAAAATGTCACTTAAAAAAATAATTGTAGCTTAGAAAGAAGCGACAGACTCAGAAAGACACTAATTGTGGAAACCGATTGCAGATTTGAAAACAGCGACATAAAAATATCTACGATCTAGATCCATTAAAAAACCCTCATGCAACAAAAGGGAGAAAATTTTTTTTTCTTTAGTGTTTACCTGTAAATATAATATTTTTCATTTGAGGTTTAGTAGCTGTGATAAACTAAGCTTATGAAAATTGATAAATCTAGAAAATATTTATTTATTATTAGAATTGACATATAAATATTATTAGAATTGATTGACTATAAATATTATTAGAATTGATTAAAAATTTATAAAACTATTATTTGTTTTTGCTTATTATTATTGTTTAATGATAAGCAAAATTTTACTTTATTTCGTTAGCAATTCTAAGAAATCTGACAAATTTTTTTTTAAACGCTAAATCTTATTAAATTTTAAAGTTTGATGTTGGAAGTATATGTGAAAATATAAAGTTGCGGTAAATCTGAATTAAACATTCGTTTTAGACTTGGGAAGTGTAGGGATTAGCAAAACCTGTAATTAAGGGCTTATCGCTTCTTTTCTTTTTGATAACAGTGTTCTTGAGATCACATAGCCTTACAACATTATTAATGTTATTCTTATTATTAATGTAATGCTAATAATAATGTTCTAATTATGCTAATAATAATGTTCAACATTATTATTAGCACGGTCTTGTTAAAAATCGAAGCAACTCTTTCATCTTTTTGAAGCTAAGACTGTATTCACTATTTGAATTAAGTACATAACTGCATATAATTTTGCTTTTTTTTACATCATTTAATAAAGATACTAATTAAGAGTACAGTAATTTAAAATGATTTTAAAAATTTTATCGAACTTATAATGAACATTTAAAAAAATAGGGGGAGGTCTTGTGGACTTCCTTGCTTTTAAACTAGTATAGGGATGATTTGTATAATTACATTTTGTTAGATTAATTATATTCTTAATTAGGCTAACTTTTGGGTGCATGTAAAATTTCGAAGACACAATATAATTGAGATTTTTATACAATACAATCTAGAATGTTTGACTTATTCTAATGCATGAGTAAATTCCTAATTTGATTTTTTTAATGCCTGTAGTCTTTTTATGTGTACTTTGTGATCATGGATATCTTAACTACAAATTTTGGTCTTTAAATTTAATTGATTAATTTTCACTTATAAATGGAGTTAAAATAATTATATCATTTATTTTAATGATTGTGGCATCTTAATTAGTATCTATGTAGTAGTTATCTATGTTTTGTGAATTTAAATTGATTAACTATATCCAAGCTAATGATATTCTTATGTGAGATATACACAAAACATGTGTTTTATATATTTTTTTATCCTGATGGCTTTCCTCTTAGATTAAAAAAATTTTTTTAGATTAATTGGGATTATTAATTGCCAACTCATTATGATAAGATTTTTATAATTATTCTCTTCAAAATTTTTCTACTTGATGTGAGAGACCCACTGACTTTAAGGTTACTTTTATGAATCAGTTTTATTTGATTATTTTTTAATGAAAATTGAGTTGCGTTTTCTACAAAAATAGGGCAATTAGAAATTTTAGTTAAACCACTAAAACTTTTTTGTAGTTCATAGTAATTTTTGCACCTGTTTAAAATATTTGGATATATTATTAAAAATTCTAAAATAATTTACAATTTTTCATGTCTATGTCAATGTTATTCTGTTTGTTAATTAATTATTACAGCTTCATTTATTTTACTTTTTTTTTATCCTTTTCACTTATTTTGCATTTTTTATTGAATAAAAACAATTGTTTCCCTTTTTTTTTGTTTATTTATTTGTTTTCTATTAAATGATGTGTTATAAAAATTTTAGCCTTGATCTATAACTGTTTCTATGTTTATTTTACATAATAACAATTTTTGTCATCGAGCTGTATTGAAATTCATTTTCAGCTCATTAATTCATTTGCAATTGATCTTTTTTTTATAATTGCTTTTCATATTACTATTGTGTTTTTCAAAGTATTGAATTTTTTTGTTGCTCTTAATTATTATTTGATGGTATAATTATTATGAACTTTCACATTAATATAGGAATTAAATTTGTTTTCTTTTAATTAATAATTTAATTATTTCATACTTATTAGTCACAATAGTTTTGCATGTAATTGTTTCGCTGTTAAATTGTCATGATTTATTATGTTATTTATGTAAACAGTTTTTATGACTGTTGAATATTTACTCTTTTTTCCGTATTGTCTTTTTTGTTGTTTCTAATGTATTATGTTAAAACAAAAAATTGGAGACACATATTATTTATAAAAACTGCAAATGTTTTTTTCTTTTTTTTTCCAAAAAAAATGCAAAAATTTTATTAGAAATTTGACACGTAAAATAAGTTTTAATTTGTATTATTAAATTTAAATGTATTGCACAGTTTCAAAATTTTTGTTTTTATTGTAAGAAGATCTGTAAACATAAGTGTTTCTCTTTGTATGTGTATATATATATATAACAATTGCTTTATGTGATTTTTTTTCTTACGTAAATAAGTAAAACGAAAAATGGTAAATTATAGTTAAAGAATTAAATATAAAAAAAGCATTTATACAAAATTTTTTGAAAAGTGTAGAAAGTTTTTTTTTCTATTTATATTCTTATATTCAGTGTTTATTAAAAATCTTTATTTGTCATCTAGTTACAAGAAAAAATAGAATAAAATGTATTTCTTTTCATTAATCAACTGTTGACTCTTTTTTTTTTTTTCATTTTTGGAAGCTTACTTATAATTTTTCAGCATAAAAATATTTCCACTGTTTTATGCAATTTTTAATTTTACAAATACAGCAAAAATCAGAAAATAAATATTCATTTTTTTAAAATTGTATTTATAATTTTCTTTGAATTAATGTGACTTTAGAGGGAGAGAGGAGAAAATAAGGATTGATATTTTGAAATTTTTCCTACAATTAATTCCATTTAATTGTAAGAAATTTGATTTAAGGTTACAAAGTTAGGAAATGCTGCATTTCTTTGCTCTTATCCAAAACTTGGGAAAATACTGCAACGAATTTAAAAATATAAACAATCATCAAATTTATGGTAATAATAAGCAGCCTTTAAGGTACAAAGTAAAAAAGTGACATTTCAACTAGTTTACTTATGCAAATTCTGCTGTAGCATGGTAAATATTTTTTTATCAAAATTAAAGTAAAAATTTGTTTAAAAAACAATTTCTTATTTTGAAATTTTTCTTTAACATATTCTTATTAGCAGTTTAGTAATATATTCTCTAAGCTGGTAAATATTTTTTTAAAAAAAATTAGACTTACTGTATAAATATATTCTGGCTTTTAATTGTAAGTAAGATACATATATCATATGGCGGGGAAGAAGCTTTTGACTATGTCAACCTTCATCAATAAAAAGGTACCTCCAGATTGAATCGAGTTAGCAAGTCTTATATGCTAGTGAATTGATGTTTAGTAATGGTAGTTACGCCACAATACTCCTCACTAGAATTTTATCAGGGATAGAATTTGATGAACGGTTATCATTTGTTACCGAATTCGTGGAAGGCCAGGAGAGCTGTATTAAGTTTACTGGATTCCGAGGACTTGTGGTGAGAGCTGTATTAAGTTCACCGAGTTTTAAGTATTTGTCATCAGAGTTGTATTAAGTTCACTGTTTTGTGCTTGTTCTTCTGTGTTGCTATTAAGAGTATCCCGTTGTGTGTAAATGAGACAGAGGCGCAACAGCTCGAGAAGGACGATGACACAGTCACAGATTACAAGCTCAACATGAATCATTCATCGAAGTGAGCATTATTTTCGTTGTAGGTGAGTTCATATCACGTTAGCCGCTCATCAATATAGGGAAAGAGCTTTCGACTATGTCAATCCTTCATCTACAAAAGGTACCTCAAGATTGAATTGAGTTAGCATATCTTATATACTAGTGAATTAATGTTTAATAATCGTAGTGGTAGTTACGCCACAATATGACTGATATGACTTATCTCATAAACTACATTGCATTGAGTTTTAAATTTCCCTGATTCTCGAGTAGAATATTGTTATCTATAATTTACATGCTTGTTTATTTTAAAATCTACAATAATGAACCTTTTTTTTTCTTGAAACTTTAATTTTTATAAAATTTAATATTTGACACAAAGCTTATTAAATAAAAAAGGAAAATTCTGTGAGGAATTTTCTCCTCTGTACACTTCTTCCTTATTAAAAAATGAATGGCGAAAGCAGTTTAGTATGCAGTAAAGTTACTTGATGGAATGGCAAGAAATTTCACATCAAAAGAACTTAAATGTTATATTTCGCCAATCAAATTCTGAGCAATTTCATTGAAACAAACCAACAAGTTTAAAGAGAAAGGAAACAAGATTTTTACTACTGGGCCATCTTAATTGGCTTAGTAAGTCCTAAATTTGCTGGAATGGACATGGTACTGCATTATAGTTCTTTGCTGAAACATTGATCTAACTTAGAGTGGGGTCTCAATATTGTATTCTATATATTCTAAAAATATATATCTTCTAAAAATTACTAATTAATCTTGAATTATTTTTCTAAATTTATGGTAATACATAAATTATATTTAATTGCTCGTTATGTTTAAAGAATATTTTAACTCTTAATTTATTAAAAAGGGAGTAGCATTTACTGTATTTTACACACTTACAAGAAATATTTTCTCTCTATGGCTCTGAGTTCTAGCATACTTAAAACTCTCCATCTTTCTCTAAGAAATAGAGAATTTAAGTTTCTGGGATTATTTTTTTTTTATGAGAGAAATAATAGTTCTTTTAAGTTACGATTTATACACTTTGCTTCTCTAAAGATTAACTAATATTCTATACCTTACTAATATTTCTTCTTTCCTTTCTGTCTTACCTTCCTCTCTTTCCAAAACCACAGCCCCCTCCTCTACTCTCTTCAGCTCTCAGCCACCCACTCCAGTTCAGTCTCCATTACCTCATCTAGCTCATTCTCCAAGTGCTTTCTCAGTTTTGGGAAGAAATGCTGTACTCATACCTCCACCTTCGTCAAGCTCTGGCAGTACCTCACCTTCAGCGAGCAGCAAAATTTGCTCCCCCATTATGCACCATTCTGCTTCTGATGCTCTTTCATCTTTGGCTTCATCTTCAGGTAGGGTTGTTGTTGCTTTTCACATTACAGTAGAGCACCGATTATTTGAATGCCAATTTGCCGGATAGTCCAACTATCTGGATCATTCAAGGACCCTATATTTTCTCCCACCATCAATAAATAAATAAAAATTGCTTCTGTATTTTCAGAATATCTCAAAAGGGTCAAAAAATGGCTTCTGTTGTCCCTCGCTGACCTTAAAAAAGGAACCTCACAATCGTTCCACCCAGTTTCAATGTGGGCTGCGAGTAGTTTCTAATAAGGGTAAAAGTTTCTAATAAAATTGAAAGGAAATAAAAACTTTCAAACACACCATTTGTAATATGCTATAATAGGCACTACTACAATTGCCAATCCTTAACTTGAAAAAAGTGTGAAAAATTACCTAAAAAATATTCTCATAGCCGTTTTTAAATATGTCCAATTATCCGGATGATTAGGTGCTCTACTGTAATTAATTGTGTTTAATACGAAATAGTATACACCATTTATCTAAAACTATCTGGACATCCACCTAATTGAGTGGATCTGCATCATGATGTGGGGTTGTTTTTCATAATTTGACTTTAGTTCCTGTGTGGTTGGAAATAATCACTCTGAGAAATATGTGGACATCCTAGACCAGTGGTTCTTAAATGGTGTTAATAACAAATATTAAAGTATAATGAAAAGGGTATGCATATATGAATAGTAATTGCATAATTCTTTTTCACCTTTATTTCAATTAAAACCTTATTTCAGTTTATTCGCTTTACTTCTCATCCAATTAAGAACTAGACAAGTTGACGCTCCAGACCTGCGCATTCGACCGTATGACATAAAATACAATTTGATAAAACGATATTATGAAATTTTTTTTATTCTTCATTCATTCACGAAACGTTTTCAAAATAATTAATAAAATTTCAATGTTTGAATATTTTCAAAAGGATTAATAGTTTTCTCCATAGCCTAAAAAATTGGGGTGCTGTTTTAGACTACGCTGTTCTTCCAACTCTATGGCAGGGAAGGTTCATTTCTTCTTCAATTCACTTACCTTGGTTTGATAAAATGAATGTTCAAAAGCTAGACTGTCTTTCTCAGAGCCTGAATCTATATTAAATAGAACGCCTTTAGGATGAGTTAGAATCCTGATTATGTTGCTAGCCTATTCGACCTTCCTCACAGCCAGCACTTACTTCAACTTTATAATTATAAATTTAATTATACATACGTTAATTATAAATATACTAATTTATTGATATGATTTATAAAATTGAGTAACTAAACTCATACTTTGTGTTGCAGGCCCTTGCAGTTGGTGGTCATCTCCTCCAATAGGCAGCAGCTCAGAATTTCCAGGATGTGGAGTGCCAATGTCAGATCCATTTGGAAGATCTAGTCTTTGTGGTCGTTCAACAGTACCACCTGCTCATCTCTCTGTTCAACAACCTCGAAGAAGTATGTTGCTGATATTTTAAGTGTTCATTCACAGAATAATAAAATTTTGTCACATAGAAATAAGAGTGAAACTAATCGGTTAAAATATAATTATGAGAGACAGAAAATAAATGATTTATATAGCATTAAACTGTGACTGGCTAGTGATAGCCCAGTAGTCTTAAAATGTTTCATCTGTTGTAGTTTAATAACTTAACTTTTAGTTGAATAACCAGTATTGTGTATTCTGTTTCAAATTGAAATAATTACTTATATGTCCCTTACTTATTTTTTTATATCTTTATTTACTTTATAACTTTTGTTACTTTCACATATATGTATAAAATTTGTGTCAAGCATTATTTTTTCACTGACATTTCTATGAGGATAATCAATTTTTTTAACTTTTTTATTTTATACTCTTTTACTGGTAAATTTAAATAGTGATTGTATAATAGTTCAGGAAAATTATGTGCAACAACTTACAAAAAAGCATGATGTTACATACAGGTTGACCAAAACTCAATTAAACAGCTGTTGTTTGAGCTTAGTCTAGCTGACTGCCTAATTGTGTCTGGCTCACCTTATATTTTAGATTTTATTTCAATTTAAAGTATCACTATCTCGCTTATTCTCTAATTTCATCATTATTAATTCATGTCTTTGGTATATTTTAAAAATGAAAAATTAATTTTAATTGTTGTTTTGTTTACATTGCACTAGAGCTGCACATTGTGCTATCGGAGGCGGTCTAGGAAATATCCCTGAGGATGATCCGAAGACATGCCATCACAATTTTGAACCTCTGCAGAGGGGATGGCTCCCTGCTTTGGTAGCCCAACGATCCGTGTGCGAAATCGAGCTCTTTACGGTAGAACAATTTAACGAGGACCGATACCTCACGCCTTCAGACAATTTGTAGGTTGATCAAAGTGGTCACCTACCCGCACACTGAGCGCAGCCAGTGATGTTTGACTTTGGTGTTGTACTGAGAACCAAGTCTTAATGATCAGTCCTCTGTGGGACAAATTAGTTTTCATAAATTAGCACCCATTTAATGCATCATTACAAGTGGACAAATTTGCTTCAAAATTAGAGTTAATTATGTATGTCATTCAATGATTTCTTTATATTTATTCTTTATCAGCTTTTTGATTAATTTAGTATTAAATGGTGGTTCGAGTAATTTTTTTTCAAAATCATAATGTAAACCTTTTTAGTTGTATATGCTATTACAAATCACTGGCTTTTCTCCAAATTTATAAAGAATAATTATTTATTTATTATATTCTATTTCTTCCTTATTCATTTACAATCTTACCAATGTGTATTTAAAATTATGTATGTTTATTGAATTTTGTTACAATAGTTGTAAAAATCCAATTTAGAATTACTATTTATTTACCTCATTCTATAATAACTTATAACTGATATTAGTGATTATATTCATTTTAGTAGTGGAAGAAGTATTAGGTCATTTATATGCCAAACCACCTACAGCTGAAGCAAAGAATGAAACATCAACCTCAGGTACCTCAAAACAAGATCAAGAATACAAGATAATAGATGAAGATTCCCCTTATTTTTAGTTTATGATTTTTGTAAATGCTTGTTTTTTTAAGATGAACTTATCAGAAAGAAAAAAGCATGGACATTTTAATATTATTATTTTGTTTGTAATTCGTTTTGCTTGCTATATTATTCTCAATTTTGTGTACTGATTGAAGCAAAAATATTTATTATAAGTAGTAGGTACTCAAAGCTGTTTATGCAATGTAGTTATAATTTGTTTTTGTATTTATGTGCTGATCACTAGAAAATTACACATTTATTATTTAGTTCTGTCCTTACTAAGAAATAATGTTTTATAAACGTATAAATCTTTTGTGTTTTATTTTTGTTTTATTATGTTTGTAAATTTGTTTTCATTTATAAATTAATCTATGTTTTGCATGAAGAAAGTTGTTCGTTTGAAATTTTATAGATGTTTTTTGCCAAATAAATTAGATTGTCTTTCTTTGTTTATCTCTTTTTTAATTTTTGTTTAGCTAACATTTACTATTTCAATCATAATTTAATAATTGATCTGTTATTATCATTCACTCTTCAAGTTATGTTTTGACTATATACGACTACATTCATTAATATTGAATGTTTGTTTAGGTTCTTGTAAAAATGTGCAAAATTATTTTTTTCTTTTTTCATAGATATTTTCAAAGGTAGTGAAAAATTTATTGCAGCACTAAAATTAAATTCACAGTGAATGTTTTACAAAATTGAATCATGATTGGAAATAGTATGGTGTACACAAATACTTATTACTTTTTTACATTTTTTGTAATTAGCAAAATATTATGTAACTTTAATTAATATGAATTATATTTTTTTTAGGTATTCCTAGTCCTCAAACTCTTTGCAAATCTAATATACTACCGAATTTAGTGGGTGTCTCTCCTAAAAAGTTGTCAAAAGGAAGATCTGATAAAGACATTAATCATGCAAAAATTAGGTATTTTCAAGCTTTTATTACCTTATTCTAAACTTAATAGACATTGAGACACTATTATTGATTCATAATGATATAACATGCATTGATACACTATTATAAGTGAAAATATGTTCTTCATACTGTATGAAAAGTGTAAATGTGAACACAAGATTATTTTTTTCCTAGATCTATTATTTTATTGTTCTATTAATATAATAATTTTTATCAAAATAATACGTCGGAATGATAAGATAGCAAACACTATTCTTTTAAAATTCTTTTCCATAGTACAGTAGGGAACCGATTATCCGGAACGATCANTGTAAATGTGAACACAAGATTATTTTTTTCCTAGATCTATTATTTTATTGTTCTATTAATATAATAATTTTTATCAAAATAATACGTCTGAATGATAAGATAGCAAACACTATTCTTTTAAAATTCTTTTCCATAGTAGTTAAAAAACATTTTACCTATTATAAATGTTAACTAACTTGTTGCTTTTTTTCTTTTTATTTAATTTACCATATTACATTTCATACTTGAATGAGCATTTTACCATATTATGCTTACAAGCTGAAACTACCACTCGTTTGTTATATTTATAAAGATTTTTGCATTTAAATTTTTTGCCTCAGATTTTTTCCTTTTACTTTCATATTACTGTTCAAAAACCAAGTTCCTGTGTTCTGTTTTTGTAATATATATATTTAATTTTATATATATATTTAATTTAATATACTTTGCTATTAATTATATATTATTAATTACGTAGATTAAATTATTAAAATAATATGTATTTTGAAAGCTTGTAGTTATGACTTTTATCAAAGAGTATACCATTATAAAGGAATGACTGTTATACTCCGATTTCATATTTTTATTATTTAACCTGTAAATATAACATTTTTAAGATTTGAATAATGCTACATTTTAAAAGAGAGACAAAAAAACTAGCCAATGTTTTTTAACATGAAGTTATGTGTGTTCTGTTTACTACAATTTTACTTCTTTTTTACAGCGATAAACCTAAAACTACTTCAAATAATATACCATCTCCGGTACCAGGCATTACCTCTTTCTCAGGGAATCAGTTAATGAAAACTTCCTCTAAAAAGTCAAAGGAATCAATTAGTGATCAAATTGCCAGGCTGCTGCCAACTGGTGAGAAGCCACCTTCTAAACGAAAGAGTAAGCCTAAGAGCTGCAAACCAGACGCTATTAAAAATGGCAAGGATTCTAAAACAGAAAAGAAACAAGGCAAACAACCGAAAGAGGTAGCTACATTTTATACAACCTATCGTTGTTTTTGATGTTTATAGTGTATGGAGAGTTTGTCTGTATCAAGTAGTCTAACCAGAGGGTGTTTTTTGTAATGTTTATAATTCTTGTAATTGTTATAAATTAGCGACATTTTATTTCATTTATTTTTGTGTATACAGGGTGAGAAGAAATAACTTGTACACATCTGTTAAAATATTAGAACCTAACTTTTAAATAAAGATGACTAATTACAAGCTGAATTGTGTTTAAAAATTTTTCATAGAAATCACCTTAAGCAACAATCTAAAGCTGTAAACATGTTACAAAATTTTATTATTTGAGTCCCAACTCACCTACAAAAATTTTGTCCCTTAAAATCCATTCAACTCAAGCTTGATGAAATAGGAGACATTTCTTTTGTTGTAAGAAAGAAATCCATCCTCCATACATTCATTATCATATAGTCAGGGTTCAATATTAGTGATTGTTTATTCTATTTTAAACCTAAAAATTTTAATTTAATGATTTTACTTTTACACCCAAGGGTCACTTATGACACTTAACTTATATCAATAAATAGCGATTTCACATTCATATTTTAACAGTTATAAGTTAGCATTTCCTGCTTAACCCTTTTCTAAAATTTCTTAATTGTTAAAAACAGATATTGTTACTGTAAAAAAAGAATTTCATAATCGAATTTTTTTTTTCTGTTTTAAATCAATAATATTTCTATTTTTCTTTTTGTAAGGTTGACAGCTATGATTATATGTACTTAGTCAGTCTATTAAAATCTGATATACATAAGCAAATTTAAATTTCACTTAAACAGATTCATTTGTCAACTAAGAATTGCATCTAATAGAAATGGCATCTAACTTATTAAATGCCATTAGAAATTTTTTTTTAGATTTTAACCTTGCTTATATTATTAGACAATGATAAAAACAAAATTATCACTAAGAAATTGTCTTAGCTATGTTATGTTATTTAGTTATCGTATTAAATTTTAAAGTTTATCAGCTGAAAAAAAGAATTTTATTTAAAATTTTTTCTAAACCTCGTTTTTAAATTTCGATGGAAGTTTTGCACCTGTGAAAATAAATCTGTAGGTAAATTTTTTTTTATTTATTATTAAATCACACTGGTTGTTTACCATATTTTTTTAATTAGTTCAGTTTTTTTAAAATTAAAATTAATATAACATGGTGCACAGCATTTTTAAAAAGTACTTAAAGGTGCTTATATTCAATTTTTGTTTTTAAAACCCCTAAAGGTGCTTTTTTCATTGGGTGTTTTTAGAAATTGCTCAATTTTCCCTTTTCCAAAATGAGATTTTTCTTTCTTTACCATGTCGAATTTCGCCACATATTACGCAAACGCAAACGTATGAAAGCATCAATCATTTTACATGTTTGATGAAATACTTGCGAGTCTGCGCGTGCCTCTGCTTAGCTGGGTTCGGTGAGATTATTGCACTCTCATGTGCTACTGCTGCATTTTGAAAGATATTCTCTATTTCAGGTTTCATTTTTCACCCTCTGATATCGAATCGAATAATCTCTTAATCATTTCATACTGGCTAATATGATCAAGAAAAGAGTTCTTTNATGTACTTAGTCAGTCTATTAAAATCTGATATACATAAGCAAATTTAAATTTCACTTAAACAGATTCATTTGTCAACTAAGAATTGCATCTAATAGGAATGGCATCTAACTTATTAAATGCCATTAGACAATTTTTTTTAGATTTTAACCCTGCTTATATTATTAGACAATGATAAAAATACAATTATCACTAAGAAATTGTCTTAGCTATGTTATGTTATTTAGTTATCGTATTAAATTTTAAAGTTTATCAGCTGAAAAAAAGAATTCTATTTAAAATTTTTTCTAAACCTTGTTTTTAAATCTCGATGGAAGTTTTGCACCTATGAAAATAAATCTGTAAGTAAAATTTTTTTTGTTTAATATTAAATCACACTGGTTGTTTACCATATTTTTTTAATTAGTTAAGTTTTTTTAAAATTAAAATTAATATAACATGGTGCATAGAATTTTTAAAAAGTACTTAATGGTGCTTATTTTCAATTTTTGTTTTTAAAGCCCCCTAAAGGTGCTTTTTTCATTGGGTGTTTTTAGAAATTGCTCAATTTTCCTTTTTCCAAAATGAGATTTTTCTTTCTTTACCATGTCGATTTTCGCCAGGTATTACGCAAACGTGTACTTTTCACATTATTCAACGTTTTCACAGTTCATTCAACCACAATCTCTTTGGTGTACCGTTTGTCCATAACGTATGAAAGCGTCAATCATTTTACATGTTTGATGAGATACTTGCGAGTCAGCGCGTGCCTCTGCTTAACTGATTTCGGTGACATTATTCCACTCTCATGTGCTACTGCTGCATTTTGAAAGATATTCTCTATTTCAGGCTTCATTTTTCACCCTCTGATATCGAATCGAGTAATCTCTTGATCATTTTATAATGGCTAATATGTTCAAGAAAAGAGTTCTTTGTCAGAAACTAGTTATTTTATCATGATCATATAAAGTCTTTGGAAATTATTTTGCATTTTGTTAAAGTATATAGTGCTTAAAAATATTTTTGACTGCTTAAAATGTACTTATTTTTTGTTGAAAGATTTGGATATGCACCCTGTATAATGTTTTTCAGTTATCCAGGATGAATAATTTATTCATTTATAATTTTTTTTAAAAATGTGATTTTAGTTCCTTGTTGAATACTTTATGTAAGATCATCTTGCCTCTTGATTTTAAAACTGAAATATACTAATTTCATATTGTCAAATTCTAAACAAGTAAATGACTTTTCTGTAACTCTTACTCTATTTGTACAAAATATGTTATAAACATCTATATTTATATATATTTTTTTATGCATTTGATTGGTATTATTTTTAAATATCACGTTGTAAAAGTATTCAATTTTAAAGAAAAATATCAATGCTCATTTACATTCGAAATACTTTTAATTTGGAACTCTTTCATATCATTATAACCCTCTTGCCTTTCAAATCATGAACGTCATCTTCCCTTCCTCATTAATAAATAAATGAATTTAATAATGTAATGAAACAAAAACAGTCTGTTTGCTATTTTATTATTTTTTTGTCTATATAATTTTTCGTAAAAATCTCTGAATCTTGCTTAAGCTTTGCATGAAATTTAACTGGTCTTTATTTTCATAGAAAAAGACTAAAAAATCCAGCTCCGAGAGCGATGGTCACATAGACTCTAGCTGTAGCAGCACTGGTGCTGAAAGTTCAGGTGCTGTTAGCTCTAGTTCTAGTGATACAAGTGATGATGAGGAAAGGGAAAAACAGGCAAAACAGTTAGCTAGGCTAAAAAAACAACAGCAAGAACTTCAAAGAAAAGTTCAAGAATTAACACATCAAAAACCTGATGTGCATGTAAGACTGCCCCTTTTTCTACTCTGATAATTGTTTCCAATTCATTTCTTTAGTCTTTAGCTCTTCTTCATAGATGTAAGATTTCTTATCGGTTCTGTGATTTCTTGCTCTTTTTTTCTCATTTTCCCTTTTATTTCTAAGTTATTGTTTTTTCAATAATATTTTTCTAATTTCTTCGTTTTATTTCTAAACAATGCTGCCAAAATTTTTTTAAACATTAAAACTAATCGGAATCCACTTTAAATTCATGAATTGATAAAGAATGAGGTCAGGCAGTGGCGATTTGAAAATTTTCACTATAGCTCATTAAGGATGTTGTGTCAATTTAACTGAGGTTTCTATGGTTAGTTTTGCTAAACTGTACATTTTTCAATTAATAGTTTTATTTTCATAACATAAGTGTAAATCTTATTTAGTAATTACTTTATGCTAAAGCATTCCATTATTCCTAGACAAAATATTTTTGCAATGCTATATTTTTTTGACTTGTACATATATTAAAAATAAATCAGTTCTTCTTTAAATTTAATTGAAATTGTTGTAAATTGATATCATACTGCATTAAATTTGATTTTTTTCAACTGATGAATTAACATTTAAACAAAAATGCCATTGGTTAAAAAAATTTCTGCAATTTTAACTTTTAATTTTTTCTTTTTTCCCCTTTTTTATTATCTTATGCCTGATCTCAATAAGTTAACATTTTACACATGGAATTTTATCGAAAATATTTTGAGCGTTGACTTAATTTATGCGCTGCTTTCTTTATCATTTGATTTTCATTATTTTTTAATCTAATTTTGTTTCAAACCATCGGTTTCTGAAGTGTGTGCAGCAGGAGCTATGAAAGTTCCCTAGTAAGGGGTTAAAACCGATTTTCCCCATATTACATAAAAGGGAAATCATACGTAGGGAGGATATTTCTGTATGATTTAATCCGGCTACTGCTAAGTTCCTTGAGAAAGATACGGCATCATATTGCATAATAATTTACATCCTATTTGTTAAATAACTAGGATGACATCAATTATTTAAATTTAAGTTTCAAATCTTAGAAATAATTATCAAAGAATTTTTGTCTTAGTTTTCCTCCTTAAAAAAAAGCAAAAACTGCTCAGTTATCAATTATATTGTGTGTAACTATACATTTAAAAAAATGTAGCATTTTGATGATTATAATATTTTCTATATGTTTTTATCTTTTACTTTCTTTGAAAATGACTGTGTTAATGAGCCTTAATTTTTTCCCTCTCTTTTTTTGCATCAGACTTAATTCTCAGTACTGCTTAATCAGTTCATCTAGTGCATATTATAGCATTTATATTTGCTGCAGTATAACCGATTCAGATTCTTCTGCCATTGATCTCTACATTCATTTAATTCAACTTAATGCTATTTTATTCTCTTGTATTTATGGGAATAAAATCTAGGTATAGTTTGAGTTCCATAGTTTAAGAATTTTGAATATATATTTTGCAAGAAAATTTTTTAGGATAAAATGTTTTTTTTTTAGAAATATTTTAAAAAATACTCATTTCCTGTAAAAGTCTTTTACATTAAAAAGGGTGCTTGTTGTAAATAACTTAATACTCAAAAGTTGTTTAGAACCGTCTTCTTTTCTTTTTAGGTGAAGAAACCTTCTTCCAGCTCAAAGAACTCTCTGCCCCCTGGTGGAGCCCTAAACCATACCTTGAAACCAGTTCCTAGTCCGGCACATTCTTCTCCCGTGATGCCAGTTCCACCGAAACCTATATCTCCTGAAGTCAAACCAAACCAATGTGATCCTCTTATAGAAGAAGAGCAAAACTTAGCTTTTCCTTTGGACTTGTGTGTGAAAAAACAAGAACCAACTTTTGATGTGACAACTTCCATAACAACTTCATACATGCCAATAATGACAATGACAACTCCTAAAACTAAACCACTGAAAACTACGGGTAGTAGTAGTAACATTTCTGGTGCTAATTCCAATAAATCTGCTGCTCCTAAGAAACGGGGTCGCAAGCCAAAAACAGCTCAAATGCCTCTTAATCCTACTCCTGCACACTCTGAAAAGGTGCGCCAGATAAAAAGAGTTAGTCAATTTTATTCATTTATTATTAAATGCATGTATCATATTAAGGTTAGTTAGGTATCAATCGTTAAATTGAAGTTATGTGCAATTTCAAAATGTAAAATAGAAATTGATAATACATACTATTTAATAAGTAAACAAAAAGGTTTGTTGCTTATCGTCAACAATACCTACATCTGCCAATTTCTTGTTGCATTAATGCTCCTTTTCTTACGTACCATTACTCATATAAGCACTGCTTGTTATAACCTGGGCGTCAATAGGTCAAAGTTAATGCAGATTGTCTGGTGGCTTTGCTTACTTTCGCTTTCAGTTCTTGCTGAACAGAGTATACTTTCTTAAAATGTTTCAACTCTGCAAGTGTGTTGCGCTTAATAACCCCTTAAGTGTTTTGGAAAAGACTGTCAACATGTTTCAAGCACTCAAAAGCAAGCGTCCATTTTCAAGTCTTGCCAGACGTGAATAAGAAAGAACAAGAGTGATTTGAAATATAAATCGTAAAGTTGACAATGATTTATGCCTGGCAAGTCTTGAAAATGTGGCCTCAGTTTTTGAGCGCTTGAAACATGCCGACTGTTATTTCCAATAAATATGTTTTTGAAGAAAATGAAGTTTTTAATCGAGTGATACCATTAAGTGTTAGTTCTAATTTTTCCCCTTCAAAAACAGGCTGTTATACAACAAATGATTTGATCACTTTACTCAGTGAAGAAATTATGCTTATTCAGTTAAATTTCATACAATTTTACTTTAAGTATTAATGCTTGGAGAACTTTATAGAAGATAACTTTTCAAACCAACCAAGCGTTTCGTATTTAGGTAGTTAGTATACAATTTCTCTTCAATAGCTGTTTCTTTTTATTTCAAGCTTTCTGCCTTTATTTTCCTGGTCAGCTGGTACCCATTTATCTGGATGGCTTAAAGCCACTATGAAAAAAAAAACAGATCCTACCCTATGATAGTTCAATGCTTTAGTCACTGCGCCATTGCGACTTAATCTTTAGTAACATAAAAAAATGGTTTGCTGTGCAGAGAAACAGCAAGTTCTCTTCTGAATTATGTTCAAATTTGATAAGAGATTAAATGCCTTTTAGAAAAAAATTCCTGTGTGACATATTTGCAATTCCTGTGTGACATATTTGCATTTAGCTGCAATTATTCTACTTTTTTTTTATCATCCCATCTTTTATTTTACAAAATAATATATTAATTAGTTTTTCATTTTCTTAACAATAATGTTTCTTTTATTTTAGAACACAATAAAAGACATTTCTACACTACTAATGCCCACTAAAATGGACATGATGCCAACACATATGATGAATTCTACCTTACTAAAGCCTGGTAATTCTGGCCTGTGTCCCAAAGTTCATGCACCTAACACACTAGGAAACCCCAATGACATGCTACATCATCGGAAAAACTTCACTCTGGACAGTTTGTTAAGTGAAACGAATGGGGGTCTCGACATGATGCATTTCACTGAGGCAGATCATTCAATGTTTTCTGCTGCCGCACTTGCTAGCAGAAATTTCAAAAGCAAAGACAGGATGAAAAGTAACAGTAACAATATTAACAAGATGAGGAAGTTTGAAGATAAAGTCAAAGAATCTGAGTCACCATCTAACTTAGAAACTTCCTCACCATCTGGTAAATCTTTTTCTATTCATATATGTATTTTTTTTTTTTGCATTGTTTGTTCAACAAGTTCTGGCACAATAATTTTTTAACCTTTATCTTTCCCTATACTGCTGCTTAATCAGGTTGTCCAGCAACAGGGAAAATATGGAAAACTGGATATTATCAGGGGAATTTCTGAGAAATATCAGGGAATTTCTAAAAAATCTCAGTAAAACAAAGAAAAGTTTTAAAACAAGAAGTGATTACCACCTGCTTCAATCTGTGAGCTGAGCACTTCATTAAATTTGATGCTAACAAATTTCCCCAATATTTCTTTCAAGTGTTCCTGACGTTTCCGATTGTTTTTTAGCAGTAATTTATCGTTTTTTCGGTTGTTTCCCTATAATTTTTCTAATTCCAATATGTTTAATACATTGTTATGGCATGAGAATTTTGAATGTGAACTATCACTTTTTTGAAGTGTTTAATTCGTGACGATTCTGTCATGATTTCTCATCTTTTGATGACAGTTTTCAGATGTTATTTCTCATTTTCAGCCCTTTTCACAAGATTTTTCAAATTCCAATATTTTTTACACAATGTTATTAAGACCTATAAATTATTAATTTAAGTTTTTGCTTTTTGATGCATTCGATTTGTGGCTATTCTATCTTAATTTCACGTCATTATATGATAAATATTCAGCAGTTATCTATTATTTTTCTCCTCATTTCACATAGTTTTTCAAATGATGGTATTTATAAGTAGTATGTTATTACGACATGCGAATTTCAATTTTGAGTGATCACTTTTTGACGACTTCCTGTGGTGTGTTTAATTTGTAATAATTCCATCATAATTCCACATTCATCTATGATTGCTCTTTCGCCAGTTATTTACCATTTGTTTGATCCCTTTCACATGGTTTTTCAAATTCAGATATTTTTAATATATTATAATGACGTGAGAATTTCGTATTTGAGTTGTCCCTTTTAGATGTGTTTGATTCCTGATTTAAAGACTTAAAAACCATCATTCTCTTAAAACTTGCTAATAAATAAACCTTATTGATAATTTTCAATTCTAATCATGAAATAATATCATTTTAATCATAATACGCTCTTGAATGACTGAAGTGCTATTTTGCATTTATTATTTTCAGAAACTGATCCCGATGAGGACAATTCAGATAGTGAAGATACTGAACATTCTGGTAGCTTAGTTGATGGTCATAAAAGAAAACATTCATATGATGATGATAGTGAAGGTATATTTTATTTAGTTACCATTTTTGATCCTTATAGTTGTTTTTTGAAGCTTTCCGACATTTGCTTTTTTGCAAATAATATTCTATTTTTATAACTGTTTTAAGTTTGCAACAATTACTGATGACTGTTAAGTTAAGTTCAGCTTATTTATAGTCATCGCTTTCTATGCTTATTCTGAAAATGGTGCAAAATGTGATATAAAGAAAATCTACAGAATATGAATCTACAAAAAATAAAAAACGTTTAAGATCTGATTTTTTTTAAAAATTTATAAACTTAACCTATTCCGCATTATCTGGGCTCATAAAAATTTGCAAAACCTGAGATAAAGACAGTGATTTTGATCATTTTCTTCTATGTGAAAAAATGATGCCAAATTTACGATTTATTAAAAAGTTTAATAATTTTTTATATTTAAATTATTTGTCCGTTCTAAAACTCAGATATTTCTTTATGGCAAGATGGTATATATAATTTAAAATTATAGCTTTACTTCTAGTGGAAGGTACTTAAACAGTGGATTTTTATTTTCCTTGTCAAAAAAGCTTCAAAAAACATTGTTAATAATTATTTGGTAATCAAAATTCTACCACAATAGCCGTATATAATTGATTCATTCATGAGAAGTGCAAAGTTTTAGTCTTTGTTGTAATATTTTGATTCTTTGAATATCATTTATAAATTAGGATTCTAGTGATTGACTTAATTTATAATTAACATAGTTAAATGTGAACCTTTATTTAATTAACTATGAATATACATTCTTTTTAAGAATTTATCTTTGTTCTTTTAGATTTTAGGAATAAGAAAAGAAGAGTTGTGCCTGATGAAAGAGAGGTCCAAATACCCCTTGAGCATGGGTAATTTTTCTAGCTTTAAACTTATTAAATTTAGTATCTTATTTTCATACACTAGTAATAGATCGATACATTTGGTAAAGAATCATATCTGTCCCAAAATAACCTGTTACTTCAATAGAATTTTTGCCAGAAATTATGAGAAAGCTCTTTCAGGACATCATCATTAGCTCTTTTAGTACATCTAATTAAATAAAAATAAATTTTAAATAAAGTTGAATATTATTAAAAAAAATTGCTGCAAATAGCTTACTAGGTGATTGAAAAAATTAAATTTTTATCAATTATTTAATTTTTCAATGAAAAGTTGCAGTCACAATTACTAAAGAAAGAAATCATCATTATTTTGCACAGTAGTATTTAATTTAGTTTCTTCAACTCTACAAAGTTAAGTTGCTTGTAATAAAGACTTACAAAAATGTAGATTAATATATTAAAAACTCATTGTCGTAAGTATTGAAATAATTATCTATTTCATTTTAATTACTGTAGTCAGGACTCTAAAATAATATGTCACCTGATATGCCATGGGACTGTAAAAATTCTGATCAGTCATGTATTTTTTGCTCTTACACACTAGAATAGGCTTGTAAATTTTTCATCAGGAATATTATTAAATATCAATTAGCCCTTCCTTCAAATTATAGAGAAAATCATCAAGATACCATATGGGATGGATAAATGGTACCAGAATGTGTAAAAAGAATTCTATATTTGATAAAACTGGCAATGCTCCTACTTCAAAATGGGTATTTTTAGCTTTCCAAAATTACCATTGCCCGTATCATCGCTTGCCCATACTTTACCAAAAAAGTATAAAAATGAAGTTTCACCAGGATGACACACCAACTGCAAGAGGTATTCTGCTGGAAACTGACATAATTGTACGTAAATCAAGACTTCAGTCACTGATGAAGATACAAACCACACAATACATAAGAAACATGACGAACCTCAAAAAGATAACTCATATGATGATAAATGAAGACAATGACGGTAAAAGAAATCAACAATTAGAAACAACTATTTTTCTACAAATATTAGCTTTGTAATGCTAGTTACAGCTCTTTACTCTATCCCAGTAGCTCTTTATCTCTAGTTTACATTTAAACTTTCACATAATTTACTTAATCCCGATGCCAACACACCTTAACAAAAGTTAAACTATTACATTAAATTAAAAAATTTTCGTTAATTCTGGACAATGACATAAAAAGATACCAAAACATAAAAAGATACGCTGCATTAAATAACTCTGCTCCTTAAAGGTAGAGCACCAAAACAGGCAGATCACCAAAACAGATGTAAACAAAAGACCCAAATGAACAAAACACATAAATTTTGGCTAGTAATGTCCAATGAATGGAGGCATCGATCAACAGAATGTTACAAACCTTTAAGTTACTGGATTACAAATTTGAGATAAAAATTTTGCCTTTGCCTGCATAAACTCTATAGTTTTATCAACTCTTGTTTAACACAGGCTTCAATTATTTAATTAAACTTAAAAATGTCAGAGCAGATTTATTTTTTATCTTTAAAGTTTGTTTAAAATTCATTTCTTTTTAATACTTGCATTTTCTTTTGCTGTTTTATCTTTTTCAAAAGTTAAGGAGAATTATGCTGCAGCAAGTTTCCTTAAATAGTGAAAAAAGAACTTAGATAATATAGTACACAAAATATATTGTTCTTTTAATATTAAAATTAAAACTTGGTTATCTACTGCATTTCTTTATCTCCATAAATACTTCTCTATTAAGATGTTTAGGCTCATGAAAGTTTAATTTAGGGATGTATTTCGTTAAGTGCCTAGCTGGGTGTATAAACAAAGTTGAGGTTTTTTGAGCCCTAATTGATGTCATTTAAACATGAATACTAGTTGTTTTATTTATTTTACATGTTGAATATTTGTAAATTTTTTTCTCCCAAGATGGAGAAGAGAGACCAGAATAAGGTGTTTCAGTCGATCTGGTGTCAGGGGAGAAGTAGCGTATTATGCTCCTTGTGGCAAGAAACTTCGTAGTTATCCTGAAGTTGTAAGAGTAAGTGATGTATATTTTTTTTATGTCTTCAAATTGAAAATATTTCAGTTCATGACATAACTTAATTCATTAATTTTCTCTGAAAAATTCAGCCCTCACTTTGTTGACTTTGGATTTTTTTTTCAGTACTTAATTAAGAATGGAATTACAGACATCTCTAGAGATAACTTTACATTCAGTTCAAAAGTCAATGTTGGGGATTTTCTAGAATGCACATCATCAGGATCAGGACAGGTAATTTTATTTGTTCTTTGCTTCTGAAACACCTAAACGTTTAAATATTTGAATCATTTTTTCTCTATATTTCTTTTAAAAGCTGTAGTAGTTGCATTGAATACTGTAAATGCATACTTGATGTATAGTAGATCTTTGATTATCTGGAATAGATTAAAAAACAATTTTACTTTTAACAAGCAAATAAATGAAACAAATTTAATTTAAGTTTTGTAATTTTGTAGTTTTCCACAAGAAACAGAATTGCCTTGACCACAAAGAGACTACAAAGTCAGTATTAATGGCAATTTATATTTGAAATTAAAATTTTCATATTAATTTGAAATTAACATTTTCGAACATAAGTATAAACGATACATTAACAATTTTTTTTACTTTCTTTAATACACAGTCAGTTATATGCAAACATAAAATTATGAATTCTGAAGTGTTAAAAATGTATGAGTGAAGATCATAATAAATTTGTAGTTAAAAAATTCAAATATTTCTAATCCAAATGTAAGATAATAAAAATTTACTAACCACGGTTTGTACTAACATAAAAAAAACAACAACAGTTGATTGAATTATTTTAGGAGTGCGTAATTTGCAGCCCTGTCAGTCAAACACATCCTCAAATAATCGGCATACGGCATCTTGCATTCCAGCCAAAAATGTAAAAAATCTACTTGGCTATCATAAAAATTTCTCTTAAACTGATTTCAATGTAGTTTGAAAAAGAAAAAGAAAAAAACATTAAAATTCAAGTTGTTGAAAGATTTAAATATGTTGCCATTTCAATTTAAAAAAGAAAATCTTTATCTGAAACATGTTTGAAACAAACATAAGGATTTATTTTCAGGATTAAATATGTAGGCAATTTGATTTTTCAGCTGAGATAGTTGAAAACTTGCTATTATTTAATTTCATTTATAGAAACAAAGTGAGCAAAAGCATTAAATGTTTTTTAATTTGGAAATATTTTACCTTTATTTTGTCTAATTTTTAAATTGAGTTGATATTGTTCTTATTTAACAAAAGAAGAATTTTAAATCACTGATAATAGAATAAAAGCTGAATTCATTGTGCCCATGTGAGTCTACAAAATTTTAGAGTGGTGGAAAAGTTGTGCAAACACTAATTTATGTTGTTTTAAATTAATTAATCATGTTTGATATCTGGCTAGTAATAGCTTATTTTAATTTCAAATAATGTTAATAAATGTATGTCTTTCCTAGGATTATGTCTTGTTAAATGAACAAGAAGTTCTTGCCAGGATTGAAGAAGTCCGAGCTAGAAAAGGTCGTTTGGGTGTGCAGAATCGCAAGTCGTCCCAACATCGATCTGCAGAGGAGGAAGAACAGCAAAGACAATGGGAACAAAAACAAATACAACATCATTTAGAACAACAAGGTAAGTCCATTCTGTTACCATATTAATTTCACATCTGAATTTTGAAAGTATATAAACTAGGGTTTTCATTACATTGCTTTACCTAATTTTATAGTGCAAAGATAAGATAAATATTTAGGGATAATAAGATAAAAAACTATAATAAATATATGGTGGTTTCATGATATTATGTACTAAAAATTTCGAATTATTGTATACTTCAATTTTTTTCAGATTTTATATCCATATTAATTTTTATATTGGTATATCAAGTACTCATTTTATAAAAAATAACAAATTACTAATGAATAACAAAAATAAACCTTATAAATAACACATAATTCTTAATAAATAACATAATTAGTTATATATACTCTGTGCTGCTCTTCTTCAGTATTTGAAATAGGATTCCAATTTTTGGTTCAACAAATGAATGTACATATAAAACTGCAAATTTGACATTTTGCCCATGGGCAACAGATAGTTCGGTGTTTGCGATTGGATAACAGACAGTTCGCAGACAAAACTGCTTTGGAACTGTGTTTATACCTTCTCAAAACTGGCACTTAATTCATAAATCCATTTCTTTGTTGTTGTTTCTAATGCCACTTGCCACACTAGCAAGTGCTTGTTGAAACCGAGCAAATTTAAGGCAGAGGGTGCGTTTTCTTGTTTTTCAGTGGGGCTATCTATGGCCAAAAATTCATCTTCAGCCACACACACGTCACAGCCCGTTTATAGGATCCATTTCTTTAATTCACTGAACTTAATATTCCTTTCCCTTGCACTTATATTGTTGCAGTACAAGCATGTAATACTTTCACAATCTGAAACAGAGTTAAATGATGCTCTGTCTGTTGGTAGGCTATGAATTAGTCTGTGATCTGTTTGACATCTGACCCTTTTGCTCCTTTTTTCTAGGGCATAGGCGTAGACAAGGTTTTCATATCAGTTTAATCTTGTATTCCTCCCCCCCTTTAGCTGCTGTTTTATTGTTGCTTGTGAGGATTGTTGGTTGAGTCTGAACTGCAGCACTGCTTTTTTAGTCTTTACTTTTTTAGCAGTTGGTTTAAAAATTGGTCAGAAATTTGTGAAAGTGGGTGATGCCAGATAAGTCAATGTGACTAGTCCAAGAGTGATGTTTCTGTATGCTGCTTTACTTGCGTCCATCATCAGGTTACGTCTGCTATTATAGCTTCCCATCATGTCTTGCATTCAGGATTAGAACAGGATCTTGAAGAGTAAAGTAAAATAACAAAGTACCCCATTTTGCTTTACTCTTCAATGGGGGTGAACCCTATTTTGCCTTACCTTCAAACTTCTCATTTTCCGAAAAAGCAGCCTGAAAAACAAATCACACTGAATGAAAATATATAATATGTATGCACATGAACCATTTGAATAAAAAAGCTAAAGCACTACCTATAGCAATGCCACATAATTGACACCTCTAAAAAGAGGAACTGTCAAAAACTTACTTTATTCTACCATCCCAGTTAAATCATCCTTCTTCTAATTATTTTTTGTATTCTATGATTTTATTTATTTGTTTATTTTAATTTAATATTATTTTCTACTTGCTTATCACTACATATATTTATATGAAAATTTATAACAGTCAGGATCTTATTTTTATTTGCTCTTATATTTTATGTTTAGTCAAGATACTCACTAACTCAAATAAATAGAGACATATATATTAAATTCCAACTTATTGTTTGCATGTAGCAAGGGCTCGAGAAGCTCTCGAACTGAAGATAGTGAGGCAAGCACAACGTGAACAAGCCTTAGTGGCTGCTAGAGAAGAAAAAAGAATGAGAGGTTTGCATGATAATTAGTTTTTTTTTTAATTTATTTATATTATTTTTTTTTCACTTTAATTCCAACTTAATTTTTTTCATTGCTTTTTAGTTATTCTTGCTTTTTTTGTTTTGCAACCTAACCAATAAAATGGCTGAGTTTAATGCAGTCAATTTGATTGCCGTCAGTTGCTTTCTAAGTTGTAATGCATTTTTTGAACTATAGAACTTTGATTTAGTTTCAAATTTTGAATTAACAGATGATTTGAGCGATGCTAACAAAATAATTTAATTCTTATTATATTTTGAGATAATTTTCATTATACACAACAGTAATTTTTTTATACATTAATTTCTGGTAGCAGCACCCTCACTGCTTAAAATAAAAATTGATAAAGATTGAGATTTTCTGAGAGGGACACACGTTAAGCATTAGTATACTTTCAAAGTCTTTATGTGAGACTAACAGTTTCTAATCTATCGCTGAAAATGTGTTTGCCAAATTAAATACCTTCCCCTTTTCCCTCCAATTTTTGAAAAATAAACAAATTTTTTATTTCTCTCTTATAATTTACTATACTTGAAATTTATATTTTCTATTGATTATTTAAAGTAGTGATTTCATAAATTTTGCTGGAATAACATTGTAATTGTATTGTACTTTCTACAATGCCAAAAAAGTAGTAAAATAATTAAAAAAAAGTAGTAAAATATTAAAAAGTAGTAATTTAAAACTTACCACAAAATGGTATAACAAATAATTTTAAAAATAATTATACTACAGTAGGGAACCGATTATCCGGAACGATCAGGACCATTGCTATTCCGGATAACTGATTTTTCCAGTTTTCTGAACTAAAAAAAAAAATATTTGGAAATAATCTTAAAAAGATGAAAAAATGAAGTAATACATTAATGATTATTTCCAAAATGATAGTAAGGTAAATTACTTTCCAAAAAGAAAGAAAAATCCTAAAATCTTGTAAGGAAAAACAAAATTTTTTTTTTTTTTANTTGTATTGTACTTTCTACAATGCCAAAAAAGTAGTAAAATAATTAAAAAAGTAGTAAAATATTAAAAAGTAGTAATTTAAAACTTACCACAAAATGGTATAACAAATCATTTTAAAAATAATTATAGTATTGATGTAGTTTAAGTTAAATCAATTTTAGAAATATTTTTTAATTCCTCAAAATACTTCATATATATATAAATAAATTGGTATTAAAAGGAAGTAAAAAAATTATCCTAGAATGCCTTTGAATGTTGACTAATTATATTTCAATTAAAATAAAATAAATCAATGTTCCCTTGTAAGGTCATTTTCTCTGCCTAGATGGTATAATATGGCTATCTATATAAATGCTAGATTTTAAGCTCATTTATAAAAATAATTTGCAAAGAATATTTGCTATTGGTTGCATAATACATATTTATATTTGTATTTAAAATAAATTTTACTACTTTAAAAATCTTTAAAGTAGCCGAGGAAAGTCGAAAACAAAAAGAACAGCAGCGACTGATGAAACAACAGGAGAAGTTTGAAAGGATAGAACAGTTAAGAATTGAAAGAGAAATTAGAGCTCAACAAATATTAGAGGTAATTTTTTTTTATTATATTTGATATATTTGAATTTCTTCTCCCCTTGTGTTTTTACATTTTATTATTCAAATAATTTTTATTCTGTTTTAACTTAAAACCATATTTTTCTTGTATGAAAGTAACGAAATGAATGGTATTCCTGCCAGCATGGAAACAAAGTGACTGTAGTCTGCAAATCATTAACAAATGATGCAGAAAATAGTCAGTTATTCTGTTAGTTTGCATTAAAAAGATGTTGGCATTTTTAAGATCTTGAAGTAATTATCATAGCAATATTGCTGAAAAAGCAAATAACTGAAATGTGTGGTTTTAGGAAAAAACGTTCTGAATTGAGCTAATCGAAAGTGATTATTTATTTGTTTGTGATTTTTGTGTGTTGTAAATATATTGTATTAAAAGAAATTAAGATGTGATAAACCATGTTGAAATTTATAGTTAACACTTGCTAATAAAATGATCAACAGGACCACATGCATTTAGGATTGAATTGTAGGGAATTAAAGTTATTAAAATAATTTTTTATTAAAAATTGATATTTTATAATCTACTGGGAAATGCATAGCAATATTTTCTGGAAAACAATTAAGAAATCATGTGAATTTCGAATTAAATTGTTGTGAATCAATTGCATCAAAATCATGTTTTAAAAAATATCAGATATAAATCATGTGAAATACATAGCAATTTCTTCAAGACAAGTGGTTGAATAAACACCTGAATTTAAAATTAAATCATAGCAAATCGTGTGTTTTAATAATAGGGTATTAAAATTATCAATATTTGAAAAAACTTTGTGAAAATCACCAGCAATATACGTGATTTGAAAATTTATTTTTCATAAATACATCGTAAAAAAGTCCACATTCTAAAAAAAATGTAACCTTTATGACATTTTAATATTAAAAACTAATACCTTTTAGAATTCTTTTAAAAAAAATATTATGCTGTTTTTTACATAAATAAGCACAATAGCATGCATCTTAAAATATGTTTACAACTTGTTTATTGTATAGGACAAAATTTTTTACATTTGGCTACCATCTTACATTTTTGAACCTTTTTTTGGGAAAATTTAGATGGTCATTTTCGTTCTCTAAATTTTCATGGCCGGTGTGAATCCTAAACTGAATTATATGAGATTTGTCTTAATGTTCCAATTTTCTTGATAAAAATATGTCCTTGTCTTGATTTTTAGCTTTTTGTGTTAATATTCCTAATTTTTTGCATGTTCAGAACATTTCGTATTTTACAAGTATAGATGCGACTTTTAATATAATTGATTTTAAGCAATCTAAATATGTAATTGGATTTTAGTTTCAAAAATTTTTTAAATAAATAATACGGCTTCTGAAAAGCACAAAATTTAATAGTTTAAACTTAAGTTACTGATTATATACTAGATTCTAGCTTGTATCATTGTCTGAAGGCTTCATTGCTTAATATTTTTTCAGTTTCAGTCATTTTATGAAAAAGGAACTCACTTAGCAATTCTTATGGGGACGAACATATGCTTATTTTTTCAACAAATGCATTGATATATTTTGTGAATTGGAGTTCAGTACTTTCACAATAATTAATTCATTTATTTCATATCATTTTAAACATAATAGATCAACAATGCAGTTCTATTGTTGATTGGAATCTGTTATGTTTGAAATGATATGAAAGAATTCTTAATTTTTCATTATAGAATTTTTAAATATTGGATTCAGGGATCATTCACTAAATTATTTTGATCTAAAAAAAATTTTGCATTGTGTTTTTGTTTCAAGATTATTGAAACATAACTTTAAAATTGTTTGATCAAAGAAGTCTTGAACATGATAACAAGTTTTAATAAAATATATGTAGGAGAAAATATTGACTAATTGTTACTAGTTATAATTATTTTTTCTAAAAAAAAATGCAGTGTTTCTATAAAAAATTTCTGTATATTAATCTCAAACTATTATAAGTTGTACAATTCTCTATTAATAAAATAATACTGGAAACTGTTCAAATTTTCTGTTTTAAATGGTATAATTTTAAAATTAAAAATATGGAGTATATTAATCATTTTTTGTGATAAAATTTACTTTATTATACTTGAGTAGTATGTTATATATATATATAAACATACATACATGCATGCTTAATAATTGAAAGGTTAAATGTTTCGATTTTATTAGTATACTAATTTTTTTAATTAACAAACAATGTTACTCATGAAATTACTAAAATTTTGCAGGAACAAGAAATAAAGAGACAGCAAGCTGTGTACATGCGAGAACAGGTAATTTTGTCTTCATTTAAACTTAATTAAAAAATAAAATGATAGACTTTAAACTTATCATATTGTAATATTTCTCTCTACTTATTGTATTAAGTTTCTTCATTGCTTCCCTCTTACTATCTTTCTCAACTACAAACCTTCTTTGTATGTCTATATTTTGTCTCCTTTTTGTAGTATATGATAAAAGATTGTCTATGTATTATTAAACAATTCATTTCTTCAAATAGTTCGACAAATTTTATAAAATGTTTCCGTATTTAGAAAGTATTTGTTTTTTGCTTCTTTTTTTCCCTGGATTAAATGAGTAATTTCGTCCTGCAATTAATATTCATATGGTGTATATAAAATTACAGTTCATTTAATCGCTAAATTGGAAATTATTTTTAATTAATAACCATGATTTTTTTAATCAATGCAAACGATAACACTAACATTGAATATTACAAATAATCCAAATCTCTATCTACAAAAGAAGTATATTTTAAAAACATTTAACTCTTAATGTTTTGTGTGTACATTTTGGAATGATTACGAGTAATATTAAATTAAATGTAATAATACAATAATATATTGAACAAGCGAGTTATCTGTACATGTAAATAAAAGACATTTATTATTAATTTATGTGAATATAGTAAATTAATATGTGCATACATTTCTATGGTAACCAAGTTGGAAAATTTTTTTTTACAAATAATAATAGTAATTAATAAGTCTAAAATTAAAATGCCTCTGAATGCAATTGTAATAATTATTACAATTCCCTCCGTCTGGAATGAATTAAAGAATTTTTTTCTTGTATATTTTTCGTTTTATTCTCTAATTTCTTTACCTGTTTTCTTCATGAACAATAGGAAATGCAGAAACGTAGAGAAATGCTGTTAATGGTTGATTTGGTATGTAATTGTTTCGTGTATGCTTATTGTATGCATGTGATTTATGTGCATGTGTACATGGGCAAAACTCCTAGTCTACAAGAACTTTTATTTATTTTCCTTTATCTTTCTTGCTGTTTCTTTTAGTTCCATATTTACTTTATCTTTCTTGCTGCTTCTTTTAGTTCCATATTTACTTAACTCTTTGGGAAGATTGGCTGAAAAAATTGCTTTACATAACTTCCCCCTCCAAGTTTAAAACTTATTATTCAATTTCTTTTCATATTTGTGAATAACACTTTTTTGTATTAGTGAAATAAAGCTTCTTCTTGCATGTTTAATCCAATTTTTAAATTAGTATGTTTTTTTAAAAAAAAAGAAAGGATTAGGTGGAAAACTAAAATGTAAAAATAGTTATTAAGTAAACTTATGTGACAGATTAACGCATGATCAAATATTATATATTTCATTGTTTATTTAAAGCATATTTTAGCTTTCGTAATTAGAAGTAGACTTTTGCTAAAATATAAACTTAAGTATTTTTTTAGCATGCAAAGAATTTTCTTATTGTAGCTATAAATAAATAGAAAATTGCTTTGTGTTTGCTAAGAAGGTTTTGTATAATATATATTTAAATCCGCACATGCAAATATTTATTTATTCTAGAGTATTGCTTTTATTTTTTCTTGATCTTATGCGGTGATACTTTTTTTGAGCGACCACCTCTCATCGTATGAAAAATCAGTCATATTGAGATCATGCCAAATATTGTCTAAGTTAGTTTTTTAAATCAATATGTGAAACCGATATGTAAATCAATATGTAAAAATTCATTAAAAACATCATTTATGTGGTTATATTTTAAGTAATTTATGCTATATGAATTGTTCTAATTACATATTTTTAAAAATTAAGATGGATTTAAAATTAATTTTGAATTGTTTCATTTTTTCATGCATAACTTCTTTCAAGTTTATTTTTTTAAATCTGAGAAAAAGCCTTTATATAAATATTCTTCATGGTTTCCCACTATACTTCAATAAAATCAATTTGTATTAAACTTTACTGGGTTTTCATTGTTCTGCTACATAATGTCATATAATAGTTTCTTTTATTTTCATAATTTTAAATTATACCAGATAGGCGTATATTTTTAGTTTTCAATGATATGTTTTTCGAAAGAGCTTACTCAATTTGAAAGAAAATTTTCTGATAATGACTGTTGTTGGGTCAATGTTGTTATCAGAGGGCTGCCGACTTTTCTCTTCTAGAAGTTATTTTTAATTTAAGTTGATAGGTAAATAAATCTTTGTAAAAAGTTGAGAAAAAAAAGGTTGTTGTAGATAATCTATCATAAAAATTTCACTGTATTGGTTTTTAAATCTATATTTTTTCCAAATATTTTTGAGAATGCATTGTAAAGAGATTTACACTCTGAGTATTTTTTTAAAAATTCAATTTTTTATGAATTGGTTTAAAATGCATCACGTGAACTTACTCTTGGTTATGTGAGTTTTGGTTATAGAATACTTCATATTAATTATGGTTTGTGTTTTATTTTAATTCTGCTAATGTTTAAATGAATTATTTAAAGAAAATAATGTATATAATGTTTCATGCTTGTAATTTACTAAAATTGTAATTTGATAAATCATATATTTTTAAAAGAATTAGAAATTAAACCTTTTATAATACATTTAGGAATGAAATACGTAAGTATTTATTTACCAATAAGTATTTATTTACCAAGTCATAATCTCTATCAACAAGAAATCAATCAGCAGGAAAATTATAAACTGCAATAAATTATTTGTGATATTTATTGCTATAGGTTATTGTTCATAAACTGAAAATTATTCAGTGTAGTCTGAAAATGTGTTACTTTTTATTCTTACTGTTATTTTTTTAACTAATTAGTTTTTCCCCTAAATGTTTAACTAAATTTAATCTTAAAACTGTAGTTGAGTTACATACTAATTTTAAAATTTTTACAGGAAAGAGAAAGACGTCGGCAGCATATGATATTAGTCCGAGCACTTGAAAATAGAAAGAAACAAGAAGTAAATAATAACTATTATCTTCAAATATTAATTTATTATTGCTCAATTAGTATTGTCATGCTTATTGTATATTTTTTAAAAATTCACTTAGGAAAGAGAAAGAAAACGTGAAGAAATTTTATTTGAAAAGAGGGTTAATAAGGAAAAGAAAATGGTATGTAATGGTTTTTTGTTTATTTTTGTATTATAATTTTGAGCTTTTTATTGATTTTTTTTTCTTTTGAAAAAAATTAAAAATTATTTTGATAGTTGATAGAAATATTTACCATGAATGGTAATTTCGTGTCACACTTACCAAAGTGCGATATTTTAGTTCTGGTGTTTACCTTTTTCAAATCTTGTTTATGTTTAACACTTAAAAATAGTTTTAAAAGATTACTTTTTTTTCTGTTTAAGCAGTTTTCTTTATATTGATTTTGAAAGTAAATATTTCAAAATATTTTTTTTATCTTCATTTTTGCCATTTTATTTATAAAATAAGGCTCCCCTTTATAGTAGGAATTTTCACAGAACCCATTAAAAAGATATACGTATCTAAATAAGTGTATAGTAAAATTTTTTATTTCAAAGTTTTTTTTAATGTCTTTTTATGACACCAGTATTTATTTAATTTTTTGTTGTTAGGTATATAGTTATTTTATATGTATTAATCAATCCATAGCCATTTTCGTTCATATAATTGAGAAGTGTATCCTAAATTGAAATTCAATATGGCAATCACTAAAAAAAAAACATAATGAATTTGTACTTATCTTTCTACTCATTTCCTTCTGTTTTTGTTTTTGCATCAGATTTAGTTTATAGTCATCATTAGCTTAGCTACATTAGCTTACAAAGAGTACATCAAATTGTTTACATTTGGTATCATATTGTGTTACTCAACTTCATATACATTCCATATACTCTATGCGAAATTTATTGAAATCCTTTAATATTAAAATTAATACGAACTGAAATGGAACCTTTATGAAGATAATGTATTCATTGTGTTTTACTATGTATGCACTATTTAGTTTTTAGAATTCCCCTTTTTACCTTCCTACCAGCTATATTTACATTTATTTTAATTTTATTATAAATCATATTTGACTGTTAATGGTTTATTTTTTCTATCCAATAGGAACAAAGACGAATGGAACTTGATTATTTACGAGAGCTGAAGAAACCCGTTGATGACATGATGCTGAAGGATCTTATGGTATTTACTTATAAAATTGTTATTATTAATATTATTTTTAGTTTATAGTAATGAGTATATTAATTATAGTTTATTAGTTTATAGTAATGAAATGTTTGCTTGCTTTTTTGAAATATCTGCTCAATAATTACATTTATTTCAATTTTTTCAAAGTCATTTCGAGTAAATTCAAGCCAGCGTTTTCTAAGTGAAGTATTTTTAAATTGTTCGTTGAATTATCTCCGTTTTAATTTTGAGGTAATGCCAAATTTAGTGTGACATTACTTTCTATAAATAAAATTGCTTTAGTATTTGCAGGTAAGTTTGAAGTTGAATACCAAAGTGGTAAAAATCTGAATTACTAGTGTTTTATTCATATTAAATATGCAAATTTTAAACTGTGAGCAAACTGGGGAATGTAGGCACAATTTATTCACATATTTATTTTATGCAACAACATATTGCAAAATCTTCAGCGTGACACTTTGAGGAATTTCCCTGAATATGAAAGAATTCATTTTTAGATCTTAATTTAATCATTTTTTTTCCTTATACCAAACATATAATATTAATAACACCAAACTTTTTAAAATTGATTAAGTTTTATTAACATTTCTTTCATAATTGGTTTAATGTTAAAGTAACTCTGTCTCTGATTGTTATATATTGGAAAATCAACTACATCCAACTGCAGTGTATAAAAACAAAACAAAATTTTTTTTCTCTATATGTTTAAGTATTGCATAATGCAATGATGAACAAATTTTATTTACTATTTGCCAGTGAAGGAAATAGAAATTAAGGTAGCACTGGTATTTAATATCCTGCAGCGGATACGATGCATTTTTTATTTCAAATTAATAATTATTTTAATTAATTAATTTCTGATTATTTGAGCAAATAATTACTTTTAAAAAAACTAAAAAAAAAACTTTATTCCTTGTTCTAAAAAAACATTTTAATGTAATTAAAAATCAAGAACTGACAATATAACTGAAAAAGATGAAAGAACTCAGCCAAGTCTGACTTCTCAGATATATCTCAGTCATTTGTGTTATGTTAATAATGGTATATTACATGTATATGATTTAACATTAGAATTTCCCCTCTTTTCTTTTAGCCATTGCCTACATTGAACCGAATACCAGGTGTGAAGTTAGCTGGCAAAGCTTTTGCTGATATACTAATGGTATTTGAATTCCTTCATAATTTTGGAGAAACACTGGGCTTTGGTAAGTTAGTTTTTATCAATTTCATGTTCTTAAATTTTTTTTTAATAACTGGCAATATAACTTTGCCAAAGCCATAAAATGTTGTAATTGGTTTCTATTTTTTAACTTTGTTACTTTTTTAGATGTGGATAGTTTACCAACTTTAAACACCTTGCAATCTGCTCTTTTGAACTTGGATGAAAAATGCGAAGAAGAATTGTTGTCTGTTGTCCATCATCTGCTTGTCTGTGCAATCGATGATCCTGGGGTGCAACACAGCTCAGAGGTTTGTTGGTCACAATCCAACTGCTATTACATGTGCATACATTTATTTAAACTATCAGTACATTTCTCTTTTGGTTTGAATTTTTTTTGTTGTTGTGAAAGTTACTACAGTACAGCCATTACTTATAGCTGAAAGGGTCTTTTTTTTCAGACACTTTTTAACAATTAAAATAAACAACACTTTTCCCTCTTCAAAAAAGTTTTGTAGTTTGTAGTTTTTTTTCATTTGCGACCTGTTAAAAGTGATCAAGGATTAGAATCCTCCGTTTTTCTGCTTCTTTATGATCTTTTCCCGATTTTCGATATTTGTTTGATTTTAATCTGATTTCGTCTGTTATATGGAAAAAAATTGGATATCACGGAACCCAGATCTGGCATTTCATTACAGCATAAAAGAAAATCTTGTATTTTTCTCAGGATTTGCATAAAAGGATTATTACCTCCAAGAATCACACACTTAATTTCGAATGCTCAAAAATGTCACATTTTGAATAAATTGCAGATTGTAGTTGAAATTGTCATGCCTAAAGTGGGTTATAAAGTGATTCTTTTCAAACTTAGCCTCGAAGTTTTGTCATTCCTTTTATAAATAAAAGTCTTATAAATGTTTTTGGAAATTTCCTGTGTCATAACATAATAGAATATTTAAAAGCCTATCAATCAGCTCTGTTTTATTATATATTGACTTTTAATGATACATTGAATGGAAATTATGAAAATGAAATGTATGACATTATTTTTTTCTTTGCAGTCAGCTACTGTTCTTGGACAAAATTTAAAAGATGCTGACATCACAAACAATAATGTATCTGAAGTTTTGCGATTATATTTTATTGCTCAAGATAAGAGATTACCAGTAAGTTCCAATGCGTACTAAAAAAAAATTTTTTTTTTCTGTTCTAAATAAAGAAAAAAAAAGTTCTGCTAATTTTAATTTTAATTTTATTATTATTTTAATTATTTTGGAAAAATGCTTTGGAGAAACCAGATAATGTTAGTAACTATGATAAGTTTTCAATAAAATCAGAAACCCTTCAATAAATGGATTTCTGAGTTATAAATATTTTTTAAACAATTTATTTAAGCATTATATTGTATATTGTATTATATTGTGCAATTATATTGTATAAATACAGTTGTATCTCCTTTTTAAAAGTTTGAGAGCTATAATTTTTATCAAATTCACAATTAAGTAACTGTAACTTTTAAGAAAGAAAAAAAAATTATTATGGAAAAAAGAAACTATTTTCTTTCTTCTTTTTTTTTTTAAATTATTAAATTTTTTTTTGAAAATAATAATTTTGACAAACTTTCTGATAATGATCTGCAGATTCATGGAAATCTATTATTTTTTGCAAATTATGAGTCATAGTTTGTGATTTGTTTTGATGCAATTTATGAAACACACCACAGGATTATTATTATTCATTCAACTTACGAATCACACACCGATTACTGCAACTTCCAAACTTCACATTTATTGTAACCTGCTTTATAAATTGCACACATAAAATCTTTTTCAATTGATTTATGTTGCATTGCATTTCTCNTATTTTAATTATTTTGGAAAAATGCTTTGGAGAAACCAGATAATGTTTGTAACTATGATAAGTTTTCAATATATTGTATATTGTATTATATTGTGCAATTATACTGTATAAATACAGTTGTATCTCCTTTTTAAAAGTTTGAGAGCTATAATTTTTATCAAATTCATAATTAAGTAACTGTAACTTTTAAAAAAGAAAAAAAAATTATTATGGAAAAAAGAAACTATTTTCTTTCTTCTTCTTTTTTTTTAAAAAAAATTATATATTTTTTTCGAAAATAATAATTTTGACAAACTTTCTGATAATGATCTGCAGATTCATGGAAATCTGTTATTTTTTGCAAATTATGAGTCATAGTTTGTGATTTGTTTGATGCAATTTATGAAACACACCACACGATTATTATTATTCATTCAACTTACGAATCACACACCGATTACTGCAACTTCCAAATTTCACATTTATTGTAACCTGCTTTATAAATTGCACACATAAAATCTTTTTCAATTGATTTATGTTGCATTGCATTTCTCATTAAACAATTTGTACATCACTGATTTCGGGTACTTACTCGATTTGTGCCTTATCTATTGTATTTTTGTTTTGTGAATAATGCATCGCGGTTTATGTTTACACAACTTATTAATCACACATCTGAATATCTATTTTCCTAATTTTTGACCTAAACACTGGTATTTCAAGTATGTATTTTCTCTCTGAATGAAAAGGAAATATAAATAAAATTTCAGCTTTTTCGTGATTGACCAATCGCATGTATTAGGCAGAAAATTGTTTTTCCTCAATATTGCAAATTAGATCTTTACATAGATTAATGGAAGAAACAGTGTTCTCCTAATTGGGTTCATTCGAGAAACCATCAAAGGGTTTATTAAAAAAATTATTTAAATGGTTTTATTTGAAAATTGGTTTGCTTTGAAAACTTATTATTATTTAGATATTCATTGAATAATTTTTTCCCTTTTATTCTCTAAACTTTTAACTCCTGGGGAAAATGGAAATTTTCTTGCTTTGTAATTAACTTTCCATTAAAAACACAGAGAAAACTGATTTTTTGTTATAGGAAAGATTGCAGCTTAAGTTTCGATAAAGGCCAGAACCATGGTTAATTTTTATTAAGTAATCCTTATTTCAGAAATTAATTTGTATTGTATATTAAGTATAATTATGACTTTTTTTTTCTTCCTGTTTTTGCACATCTAAATAATGAAATTTAATATTTTTTAGATGCTTTCTTGGTTGCAAGCAAAACCTTTCTTGTCTTTAAATGCTTCACAAAAAGCTGAAACAATAGCATATTTATGTGATGAACTGTTAACAAGTAGATTACTCACAAGGTAAAATGAATTGGAAGCCTATTTTAATTTATAGCAAATTTAATTAAAACCTATTTTTTTATTTTTTTTTTTAAAAATTTTTTTTTTTTTGGCAGCATGAAAAAGTTATTTAAAACTTATAATGTGTCTTTTTATGTCATGGTTTTTTTTAATTGTAAAAAGTTTTACACCTTACCTATTTTGTTTTATCAAATCAATTTTATAGGTAACTAAAATGAAATATTCTTACATTAAAGCATTTGAGTTTTCAGATTAAGTAATATTATTTTATCGATCAGCTATTATTTAATTTTTGTAAAATGAAATTGTATTAATGAGAAAGTTATTCATAAATTTTTTATGAGTTAAATATTGTAAGTAATTTTTAAATTTGATTTCTATAATAAAATGTTTAAGCTGATTTGATTTCCAAAATATTTTAGAATTTTGCAATTTTAAGTGAATATTATTTAAAATAATTACGAGATATTTTGGTGTTTTTGATTAATGTTATACTTAAGTTGAACTTTATGTAAAATTTTCATTAAGCTTCCTAATTTTTGAAATTTAAATAATCATTATGTATTTGAGAGTGATTGTATGGATAATTATTGTTGTAAAACTATGAAATAATAAAATATATACTTCTAGAGTTATATTATTTCAATATCATTGTTAATCTTTAAAATAAAATGTTGCAGCTGAATAACAATAAATACAGAATTTAAGAGTAAATATATAAGAATAAATACAGAATTTATATGTGATTTTTTCAATTTCTATATTTATGCTGAGTTATTTTAAATTCACATATTTTTGTCCATAGTATATTGTAAATCTCATTTCTAACTAATTCTTATTTTCTTATCAGGCAAATTGACAATAATATTGAAAATGTTAATGTTCTTAGAAAAGACAAGTGGCTTGTTGAAGGAGAACTACGCAGGTACACATTTATTTTTGTAAAATTTTCACTTTTTCCTTCTGTAATACAGTAAAACCTACCTGTAACAATACTGTAAAGATCTAGTTACAATATTGTTTTAGACAGATTACGGTTAAAGTTAGTTTGAACTATAAAGATATAAATTTATAACGAAAATATAAACTTATTGCAATTATGAAACAATATTGAAATATGCTTGAAAGAGAGATAATAAATAAATGTTAACAAAAAATAAATCATTTATGAAAATAATCAGTTAATTTTGTTTGCTTATTTTTTGGCAGTAGTTGACATTTGCATACACATATATTTCACACAATGAGTTCAAATGCACATAAAATATTTTTGGTAAAGCCGAAACAAAAGTTCTCGGTCTAAAACATTTGGGCTTGGCTTATTTTCCGTTAACTAATAGCTTCAACTTATCGGTTCCAGTACTGTTTGCACAAAGCAGGACGGTCAACTTCTGTTTTGATTTTTTACCACCTTTAAATGCAATTATTTTGCTTTGGTATAAGTTGATAAAATAAGCCAGTTTCATCAGCATTGTATACATTATCAGGATAAAGCATTTATTCAATCTGCCTATTATCTCATTGTTTCCATGATGCAACATCATTGACTTGAGTTGACTTCTCTTCATCTGAGATGTTTTTAAAACCAATTCCATGGAGTTCATGATATTAGGTTATCCAACCATCACTGTCTTTTAAGTTATTGTTGCCCACCAACAAAGATGAAAATGATCTTGCTTTTTCTGCAATCATCGGACCTCTAATTTGCTCATTTGGCTGCCTCAATTCATGGAGCCATCTTAGGGTAGCTTTGCCAAACTTCATCGCTCACTGCACCTTTAAATCTTTTTCTTTTGCTGTCAATTTTAGATTCTTCCATAGCATCTTCAATATTTTTTTCTTCAAAGTAATAGCTAATGTTGATTGGAAAATCCCATAATTTTTAGTAACATCAGCTTGTTCAATTCTTTATCAATCTCCGAAATGGTTTTTTAAATTTTCTTCAAATGATAATGCTTAATGTTGAGCATTCCATTTCACTCAGTAAGTAGAAATAACTGAATTGCGCAGCAAATGGTTCGAAGTCAGTAAGGTTTAACTTACGAATGATAAAATTTGAAAGTGACCACTTTGAAAAAGGAAAAACATTAACGCCATATTTTTGTGCAAGCCTGAAAACTGAAAATGAAACTGAACCAAAAAATGGGGGACACTGTTCTGAGCAAGTCTTCCTGTACAGTGACAGAAAAAATTAATGCACACTTTATCCCCTTTCCAAAAAGAATCTTTTTCCCTCAGAAATAACAAAAGAATGATTATCTAGACGCAGAGGCAAACATTTGTCATTGTCTCACATCATTCGGCTCAATGGAGAGGCATTTTTCAAGAATAGAAATATTGAATTATAAGTGCTATCAGCTTTTCAAGAAGGGTTACTCAGGTTCAAATACACTGATCAAATAAGAATTTCACCAGGACCGTAAGGAAATATCGTTATAAATAGTTTTAACATAGTAGATAGTATTGTAGGGTTACAAGTTTTGTATTCAGTTCTGTAATACATAAAAAATTATTTTTAGGTATCGGTCCATTCAACAACGGCGAGCCTTAAAAGCAAGATTGAGTGCAATGGAAGAAAATCGTGATAATCCTAACTGTGCAAATATGTTATCAGCTGATATTCCAGATTTCAGTTTGACCGAACCTAAAGAAAATCAGTCGAATGCAGACGAGTCAGATTTGAAAGAGAAAACAGATAAAGAAAAGTTAGAGGATATGGAAAAAGAACTTGACAATGAGAGTGGAAATGAAAGTGATGACACGCAAGCCCCTGCTCATATGTCTGAAGGCGAAGTAAGCTATTGATATTAATATTTTTCTCAAACTTTTGTTATAAAATATTAATCTATCTAAAACTTCTTTGTTAAGTTGTATCAGCTGTAAGCAAAACTTATTTTATTGATGATATTAAGAAAAAAAAAATACTGTACTTTTAATTTTTTTAAATATTTACTCTAAATTGTAATTTGTAACTAAATTATAAAAAACTTACATTGTCCCACCCAATTTGACTTTTCTAAAGTAGTTGATAACACTTATATGCATAGACACTTTGATAAAAATACAATATATTATACCTTAATTGCAAGTGGATCTTCATTAACCCTTTCACTCAGAATTTTTATTAAATATATTTTTCATTGTTTTGTATTAATTTAGGTGAAAAATATTATACTTAGCATTTTAATAGTTTATGGATATGAAGTATAGCATGAAACATTGTCGTCTTTTTCTGTGTTAAAGATAAAAATGTCCAAACAACGAGTGACAACAGCTAAAGTGCTGTATGCGTCACCTAGATCAAAATAACATGACATTCCAACCATTATTCTTAAAAAGAAAGAGTTTTGAGAAATAAAAGCTATCGGCTTAGCCATGATTGAGCGATGTGTTTTAATTTCAAGCATACTGTTTCGATTAATTTAAAACTTGTACTGCTGTTTTATTTAATGCAATATCATACTAATCTAGAGTTCAATATGGAATTATTAAACATTAAACTGTTTTGAAACTGCATATAACTCTAAAAATGGTAAATTCCCTTTTCTTTTACAGTGTTTACAGTCTAAGACATTGATACCATTTTCGATAAAATTTTGTCCTTAATCGCAGTTAACTAAATGATAGCTAATCAATTATTATTATTTTTTGCAGGAAGATGATTTGCATTTATCTAATGATGAAATTAATAAGAAAATTGATAAACTTTCTAAAGTAAGTATTATGACTGTTAGAAACTATAGTCTATTCTCTACATTTTACATTAATTGACTTAAAACTGTTACTTTTTTTCCAGCAATTGACTATGTGTTCCAATAAATTAACAAAAGCTTTCTATACCATCCGTGGTGCTACCTTTGGAATGGATAGGTATCATCGACGTTATTGGGTGCTTCCTAAATCTGGTGGTGTGTTTGTGGAATCCATGGAATCCTCTTTGAAACCTGAAGAAAGAGAGAAAGTTTTATCTTCTGCTAGGCCAGCCCCTAAGATAACAGAGGAAGTAGAAGAAAAAAATGAAACAGAAGAAGAAAAAGCACCAGAAAAAGAGGAAACTGCAATCAAAAGTGAAGTAAAAGATGAAGCAGAATCTCCAGAAAAGAATGATAAAAGTAACGAAATAAAACCAGAACCAATAAGAACTGATGATGAAAAAACAGATGTCGAAGATGTGAAGCCTGTGGTAAAAGAAGAAATGGAAATATGTGAAAATACTGAGAATAAATCTGCAGATTCTGAAGAAACTGTAAGCAGCACCACCCCAGATAAAGTAGATGAAGAGAAGATTAAATGTGATATTAAAGAAGAGGAATGTACTATGGAAATAGATTCTAAAGATGTTTCCAAAAATGATGCTGAAGATGTCAGTGAAAATAAAATTCCTGAAGTAAAACCTGCTGTGATAACTGATCTCGTCGAAAATGATTCTAAAGATAAAATTAGCAAAGTGGAAGTGGAAGAAATGTCCATAGACGATAAAGAAGAAGCGAAAGTTGTTACACCTGATAAAGAGTCCAAAATAAAAGAACCTCCTTTAAATTTGAAAAATGAAGAACATAAAATATTCTCACCGATTAAGTGTGAAAAAGATCCGAAAACACACTCTTCAGTAAGTACTCCGCCTAAGAAAAGCTTTCCTATGGACATCAAATTCCACAATGATTGTGATCCTTTTCCTAATTTGAAGAAGGAGCATAAAAATAGGAGAGATGAAAAGAAAGAAAGTAAACATAGAGAGGGAGAAAGCAAATACATTGATAAAATGGTGGACATTAAAGAGGATAAAAAGCCAAATGTTAACATATTTATGCCAAATTTATGTGATACTAGTATTAATTTAGACCTTGGCACTCCTAAACTTCACAACAGTTCTGAACGAGGGCACACTCCTAACCCGTCCATACCACCAGAACAAAGCTGGCTTATGCACTCTCCACTCTTTGCTTCCTTCATAGCAGGAAACATAGGGAATATGCTTTTTAGTAATTCACTTATGTCCCCAAGAGACATGAATGGTACTTACTTTAATCTCCCCAAAAACGACTCAAACAATCCATTTGGTCCTTTTCTTGGTTTGCAGTCTGGCATGTTAAATGAGCAGCTGTTTAAATCTCTCAGCGACAAGTCGAACAACCAGAAGCCCTGGTTTAGTATACTGCCTCGAATGCCCTGTGACGAGAGCATACTTAGTTCGCCTCAACCGAGCAGAAATTCCGGTATGCACTCTCCTGCTAACATTTGTTCACCAGAAATGAGAAATTCTTCTCGGAGTATGCACTCTTCTCCATCATCTAATCAAGTTCCACCTGGGCAAGCTGCTGCTGCCTTGTCAAACTTGCAAATGGAGTTGATGAATGGTGTTGTGCCACCAGGGTTCTTTCTTCATCCCTTTTTGCCACCTCAGTTTGGACCTACTTACCAAGCTCCACCATCATCTACCTGTTCATCGCATCACTCATCCTTTACTTCTACAATTTCACACTCATCACCCATGCCTGATTTTAATCTGAATTTCAATAGGCCACCTCAGACATCTACTCCGAATTCTATACCAACCCCAAGTGCCACACCTGGACCTACTAACCAAGGTTGTGCAACACCTACCTCAAGAGATACACCCTCACCGTGTTTTGCTAAACGCCTGATGATGGAAAAAGCTGCTCAGGAATATGATCATCCTTTGCCCATTCCAGTCGGTAAGTTTTCAAATTCCTAACTCAAAAGATGTTTATTTAAATCAGGTATGGCAAGTTTTTAACAATTGACAGTTTTATCCGGTTTTAACCATAGTTTTATCCGTCATGTCAAAAAAACCTTTTCTGATAGGCGTGCACAACCTTTTTGAGTGAAAGGCGACTTGCATAGCAGGTTGACTAACAAAGGGCCGCACATGTATTTAGACTTGTTAACGGCAAATGTAGTTATTAAGTTAAACATTAGTGTTCTAATTTTTTTATTAATTAACTTAATAATACATTTGTGGAAAATTAAAGGCATTCAATTATTAGAGTTCATTCAAAAAAATAAAATAAAAACTAATACTTTTTAAAAAAAAAAATTGCCACTTTTATCGTATCAGGAATAGATTTATTAAAATAAAGTAATAAACATTGGAGAAAAGAAATGTTTTTATCATATCACGCAATCCGAAAATGCATTTTAAAAATAAATTCTAATAAAAAAAACTGCAATGCTCACAGAATGAAAGTAAGAAAAAATTTTGTACATAATTAAGTAATATAAATTCAAATTAAATATTTCAGTTAAAGAAAATTTATAAGTTATAAACAAAAGTCTAAAATAAAAACAAAACAGATAGAGTTCAAAATAAAATGCAATACTTGTTAATGTACTTATTATTTCTTTTTATTGATTATTAGATTTGTTTATGTAGTAAACGTTTTCTTTTTTTTTATTGAAAAAGAGCACTTAAGCAACAAAATATTGAAATCAAGGCCAGTGAGCAGTTTAAAAATTCACGTTTTCTACCGATTTGTGAATTTCTCAGGACTAAGTTTATTCCTAAATACAATTATTCTTTTAGGACTAAGATTATTCCTCAATTTTTCTGAACTAAGCTTAAACTGTCTCATTGAAATTTCTTTAACATGGTCTTAGTTGTAAGTTTGTTTTTCAGACTCTTTAGTTATTAATTTTGTTATATCAGGTGAGAGAAAAGATAATCGATGAGTAACCCACTCTTCTTTAGGGATTTCTTCTCGTTTTGCTTGACACTCAAAAATTACTAAATGGAGACTAATTTCATCTTCTTGAGGATCAAAATTTTGTATGAACTTGTGAATATCCAACATATTCCACTGAGTAGTACCAATATTTCAATTTCAAGGACCACTTGGTTGGGTTTTAATTTCTTTAGTTTAAATTGACGTTCTTGTTTTGATGTTCTTGGCCCTTTTTTTCTCTTGGCAGTTTTTTTTTCTTCTTTCTCTTCTTTTTCTTCCTGTCTTTTTCGTTCTTGGCAGGTTTTTTTTCTTTAAATACTTCTAACATTTCTTTTACCAAATTTTTTCGAGTTTTTAATTAGATTTATCAACTCACACAAAATAACATTGTCAATGACAGTTTCTCCCAACTCCTCACATAATTAATCACACTTTTCTTTGCTGCCACCAATTAAATATAGTTACATTAAAGAAACAGTTCTTTTTTATTTTTTATAAAAACATATTTATTTGACAACCCCATATAAATTAGCAAAATTAAATTAAAATACCTGTAATGGGTTAGTAATAACTTTGCAAAATAAATGGAAAAACCCATAATGGGTTAGTATGAAGATTAAATTCAAAACAGAAACTATTCTCATCAAAAATCAACAACTCTCTGTTGTTCCATAAATTATCTCTTTATTTTGATATTATCTTTATTATATGTTTTTTATTTGTGCTTTTGTTAGCTAGATATTTTTTCCATATTTTTAGACTTAATACAAGAAAAGGGGGGAAATTATGCTATACTATTCCTGTTGGTTTTAATGTAAATAAATTCCTGAATTTGAATATGATCCTGATTTTTAAAATCTCTCTTATGGATGCTGAAAAGTAGAATGTTTTAGAAACAGATCACCGCCTCCACATACACTAACATTTAAAATACAATGATATTCTAAGTATTTAAATTATATAATTATCATTCAGTTCAATTGAGGGAGGAATAATTGAATTTTGCTTACTTTTTTGTTATTCTGAAGTCTGATATTTTCCACAACAAACTTATTTCATTCTGTATGATCTAACCCACAGAATTGCAAAAAGGTTGGTGGCGAATCACTGATCCTCATCAGCTGAAATTAGTTATCAGTGCTCTTCATCATCGTGGCATCAGGGAAAAAATGTTCCAAAAACAGTTACAGAAGCACTTCACATTCGCCTGCACATCCTGTTCTCAAGGACAGAATAAAGGTATATAATTAGTACACCATCTTAGATGTTTTATAAATATTTATTAAAAATTATATCTTGTTCAAATAGAAATAAAATCTGCATGCATATGAGAAAATCTCCAATGGTTGTTTGCCTTCTTGAAGTCAGATTTAGTCTGTAACACCTTTAAGTTTAGTTGTCTTTAGCACAAAATATGTATTTAATTTTGTGCTGTTTAGTCGATTTTGGCGCTGATGTCTTTAAATTCTTTATTCAATATCTCATAAACGGGCAATTCCGCATGTGACTAATGCATGTAAGTAATGTTTAAATTAAAATATGTCACATTTCCATCAATAAAAAAAACTCTGAAAATTAAAATTTTGACAAATAGTAAATTTTATTGATTCTAGAAGTTATTTAACCTTTTAATTCTAGAATTTATTAAAAACTAAACAATGACCGTCTTTTTACAGACACTGAATTGGACATTACTGATCAAGACCAAGAAGTGTCCAAGATGGTGGGTAATGCTCCTGAACTAGAGCCTGCTGATTTCTGGTACCCAGATATTGCTCTTCGTGTTGATATGGGTATTCTCGAGCAAGTTGAAAACCTGGAAGAAAAAGTTGATGGATCTAGTATGCAGATAAAGGTATGAAAGGGATATTTAAATTTGGTTTTGAATTAGATTTAATTCTATCACACATAAATTATATACAAATTCTTTTGTTTTAAAAATCTAAAAGTTTTTCCTTGACCATGAATTATTCTAAATGAATTAACATTGACGTAAAAATCATTCAGATTGCCGTAAATCAATTAATTCACTGATATAGAATTGAAAAAAAAAATTTATTTATTTATTTTAAAGGTTTTGTTTAGTTGCCTAATGTCTCGTCATTGCTTTCTATTTCATGTAATTTGGAGAATTTACTCTCGCATGCATGAAAAAAATAACTTGTGTATGCATTTAACCAATATTTGTTGACTGATTTCACTTTTCGTTTCTTTAAATTGTAGAGATTGGTGAAAATGTATGAGGGAGAACTTTAATAAATGAAAATTAATATATGAGTGATCATTACAAGCAAAACTTCCTTAAATTGAAACAAAAAATAAAAGTTATGAAGAATAGTAAAAAAAGGCACTATATTGATGAAAAGACTTAAATTAATGACATTTAAAATAAAAAGAAATGGTAGTTATTAGACGTATTTAAGTGGGCTAAATCTATAGTTTAGTGATTTTCGTAATTTTTTTGAACAATTAATTCATTGATAACTCTTGATTATGGCCACCGCTTAACACCGGTCACAATGGTCAGCAAGGGGCCATTGTTCAGAGGTCCTACTTTATAGTGATATTTCAACTAACATTGATTTTCCGCATTAAAGTTGGATACTGTTAAATAGATCTCGTTTAGTGCAGTGCATTAAGTTTATGAAGTTAAAAATATCTTTATTCTTGTAGCTTTCTCATAAGTCTCATTTACCTTTTTTTGGATTGTAAATATTTATTCTTATTAACTTTCAGTTCTGGAAACCTCCTCCAAAACTGTCGACAGATCCTCTTACAAAATTCGTCCCAGCCTGTGAACAATGGACGTCACTAACATCTGATGAGATCTACAATGCTATCAAAGAAAGACAGATGCGGAAAGGGTCTAAGAAGAGTTCTTCGCGTAAGAAGAAACCTGTTAAGAAGGAACTTGAGCCTTTGCCCTTAGAAGAAGATCCAGAAAAGAAAACAGAGGATGATGCTGTTGAACCTTCACTAAATGATACTGAGACAAGTGAAATAGTTGAACCCATAGCTGAAGAACCTGAGAAGCCTTTAATTGAAGAAGGCCATAGGACGGAGAGTGAATTTATACCTCTACCATCTGGTAAGCTGAATCCAGTTGACGAAGCTAAGAGGCGTCTCTTGAAAGTAGAAACTGCAATTGAGAGGCGGTACTTAAGGCCTCCTTTGGGCATAAGGTAATTATAATTTCATCAATTCAAAAAATATATTAAAATATATCTATGGTTGTTTGCTGGTAAACTTGGTTTAATTTATTGAAATCTCGTGGCGGATGACAGGTGTTGGGCATAACCTTCTAACTTTTTCTTTTTCCTTTGTAAATATTTGTCAACAATTTTATTTTTTTATGTAACTGTTGTTGAACAGTTGATCCTATATGCCCTTATGGCTACCAATATTTAACTACATAGTCTTTTAATTTTTAACCCAATCCAGAAGACATAAAAACTCCTGAATCTAGTATTGGGAGAAATTAGTTTTTGTAGAGGACTTTTTGATGGAACTAACTCACATTTACATTACATGGAGAGAAAAACCACCAGCATATCTTACAATTGGTCCCATTGCAAGGGCATTCTAACCCATGATTCCGTCTACCACTGTGGATATTTTGCGTTGTCTTTGTTGGTCGGTGCGAGCTGGGTGCGGAATTCGTATCGACCAGCTACCGCTGGCATTCGAACACTGGTCACCTCATTCAGAGGTGATTGCTCTATCCCCAGACCCACCGTGGCTCTTTGCGTCAACAATTGTAGATATTTGGAGCCAAGAAAATGGTTCAACCAACAAGCTCTGCTTGTTTCTTTGTACGGAAAGGAAAATGCATTTCAAAACTGTTATTAGTTTCAATTTGAACAAAATTGTGGCAAATATTAACAGTTTGGCCCCAAGCTCAGTTGGCAATTAACTTTGCACATCACAAATTGAAAAGATAACTAGCTGTTCATGAGGTATGGTGTTTTATGAATTTTAAAATGTTATAAGTAGCAAAAAAAAACTACAATGCCGTATTTCCATATTTTATTGCCATAAATTGGAATTTAAATACTATTTAGAAGTAATTTATAGCAAATGAAACATCTATAATGCTTTATTATTTGTAGTTCAACTTTTTTATAGTTTTTTTGCTAACAAAAAATTTATATACTATAAGTAGAGAATTTTTTTTACCATCTTAAAGGTAAAAAACTTACATAGAGGTTTCTTTCAGTAAATTTGGTTATGTGTTTTAATTTAGGAAAAAGTTCCACTTTAATTGTATATATTCTTTCAGTGTAATTCAAAATAAAATTAGAGATCGTTAGGTAATACATTCATTTAAGAGATTGATGTCACCAATAATCAAATTTTTTTCAAAGTACATGCTTACTTTAAACCTATTTATTTTTTTCATTCCTAAGCCACTTGTTGCATATAATAAGGCTAAAAATGTAAGCAGTTTAAAAATAGGTTTATTTTCTTTTTACTTTCTATCCAATTAATTTGAAATAAAGAGTGTAATAATATAATTAAACCTGTTAAATTGGTCATGTGTCTTAAGTTAATCCTAATGATCAAGTACCATAGTTAGGTTCCCTCTTTATAAATTGACTATTAATTTGCTGTCCAAGAGTTGGTTAACTTATTCAGATATCATTGTTCCAGCTTGGGAAAATATTGCATTTTAGTTCTCTTTGCTCAAACATGAAAAATTGTGTAATATAACCCTAAATATTGCAAAACACAAATGGTGATCAAATGTGTATGATTTTTTGCATACCCAGTAGCAGTATCACAGTAGCTTCATAAATGCAAATTTGTCTGTGACCTCAGGTTATTATTGAACAAAATTCAGCTTAATCTAGCATACATTTAAAAAAATTTGCAAATGTGAGGTCCTCATACATAAAAACTATTTCTTAAATTTAAGTTGAACTTTATTTAATGATGCTAATAAAATGCAATAAATTCCTACACATTTAAAACTTAAAATCATGCAATAGAAAAATATTTATTACTTTTTGTGTTTTGAAATGTTTTTTTGATTCTACTTTTTAATTTTTATTATAAACAAGTTTAGTGGTGTGTTGAAAAAAAAATCTGCAATTTATCGCTCTGTTTTTTTTTAAAAATAAAAATAAACTTAGAAAAATAATACGCAGGTGTTTCAATAATTTGCTGTGCCTGCTACTGTGCTGGAGGTTTACTGCTACTGTGTTTAAATATTAAAATAATTTAAATATAGATTAATGTGATTTTTTTTTCTCTAGTGTAAATGAGTTAAATCGATCAGCTGCCCTTTCTGCAAGTTCTTCTAGTAACAACACCAGTTCAAATGTGGATGGTACAGATGAAGAACTTATTCCTGCTGGATTATTAAAATGGAGAAATGCTGTGGAAATGTGCAAAACTGCTGCTCAGCTCGCTATGTGTGTTAACTATTTAGAAAATTTCACTGCTTGGGATAAATCCATTATGAGAGCTGTAAGTTCTGTTTGTATCCTATGTTTGCCATACTTTCTCTATTATCAAACTTTTAACTTTGTAATTACAGTTATTGCAACCGTTTTCATTCTTTTTTGTAATAGTTGAGCAGTGCATCCTAATTTTATAAAGTAGATGTTTCAAGAACTAGAAGGATGAACTAACTTGTTGCAGCATGCTTCATTCATTACCACTTTTCATTTAACTTAAAGTGTTAAACTAGTGTAGCAACAAAACAGGTGTTAAAAGAACAGTTGTTTTATTGGAAGATATACAGTTTTACTTTATCAGATAACAGTTGAATTCGCAACATGCGCGAACCTCTGAACTGTTTTATGTTTGCCTCATAAGAAAGGGAAGAGGTTTAACCGGTTTTATTACGTAACTAGCTCCGTTTTGTCTATGCTTGAGAAAGGTAAAACCTTTTAGCCGCCTTCCAAACCTATTTTTGTTTATATTTGGAACAAAGATAAGACCTTTATAAGATGAAAATATTTACGTTTTATTTTTAAGCTCAGTTAACTTACATATGTCTAAAAATGAAAATTTTGACTAGTTGCCCATTTTTTCAGAGGTTTCACTTTAAAAACATATCTCTTATTTTATTGTGATCACCTGGGATTATCTGCTAGAATCATATATATTCTTTTTTGTGAAAAACACAAATCTATATCATAGTATAATATGCTAAAAATTTAATTGACTCAAAGTATATTAATTTCTTTGTTAAGTATTTTTTTTATGTTGAAGCACAAAGTTTTTATCTGGTTTTTAAATAGAGTAACTAGCCTGCTAAATAGGAAAACAATGGGCTATTATTCTAAACAAACCAATAGAAAAATTATCAGTTAAAAAGCTAAATTAAAGTATTTTGTTTAGAAGAATTAAAAAGTTTAATTCCTAAATTTTTGTGCGAAGTCATGATTTTATTTATAAATATGAATTTTAGATTGTTCTAGGTATTGTGAACTCAGAAAATTTCTACCCAGAATTGTTCTAGATCGTTTAAAATTTTTCTCCCTAGAACATCTTATTAATGTTATTGTCTCAATGCTATTTAAAAATATTTCATTATTTCATAGACCATCATTTGTTTTAACAACTGTTGCTAGTAAATGTTTTGCATAACATAAAAGTAGTATTCATTTGTTTTATTTTTGAATTTTTATTGCCGCAGTGTTTTTCTTCTCGCTTTTTTTTATATTGATGGTATTATATATTTTTTCAGAGTTGTCAATTTTGTCACAGTGGTGACAATGAGGAAAAACTATTATTATGCGATGGCTGTGATAAAGGTTATCATACTTATTGTTTCAAAGTAAGCATTTTGCCATGTTTTTTTTTTATTCTTTTGCAGTTTTATTCCTCATTTTTGGCACTATTTTACATCAATCTCATTTATTAAGTAAAATATTATTATAATTATGCGAAAGTTAAATTAATAACAATATGATAAAGGATCTTTAAGTTTCACAAACATTTTAAACAAGAAGATAAAAATACATACATAAATAAGTTATAATGATTAAGTTTCGAAAAGGAATGTGTCACTGTAACACTGATGTAGGCTGATTCATCGTTCAATATCTAATTTTGTTATTCCATTTAATATCTAAACTATAATTTTTTTTATTTAAAGCTAAAACTGTTTTAAGTATGCACTAGTAAATGATTTGCATCACATAATGTAGTATAATGAAATTTTGCTGTTATTTATAAAATAATTTGTGTAAAGACTGTTTTAAATAATCATTACTATTTCTGAAAAGAGAATACTGTTTGTCTTTAATCTCATCATCTTTTACAGTTAGCTTTACATACAGAATTAGTGATACAAAAAGAAAAAAAACACTTACTTATATGCCCTCATATATTTTCTGTGGTTAATTTTGAAATAACAATAAAAGTGCATTTATATTAAAAAATTGAATCTAAACTAATAAAAAGTTCTAAAAAAGTTTTTTTTAAAAAAAAAAAACAGGGTGTGGTTTTTCAAATAATGTTTCATTCACTAAAGACACATCTTGTTTTAATAATTTTGCACCAGACTTGTTTAATGAAATCAAATGTTAATTTTTATCACGTTCTTTGAATAAACTTAGAGACTGTAATTAATTTGTGTTGTGTTTTTTTAGCCTGCAATGGAGACTATACCAGAAGGAGATTGGTATTGTTTCGAATGTCTGAATAAGGTTTGTATATTTCCTAGTAAAATATCATAATTTTTTTTCTTCATTTTGTCACAGAGTGTATTTCTTAGATTTTGTTAAATTAATAATGTAAGTCATCTATAAAAAGCAGGCATATGCATTTTTAAAAATATTTCACTGTTATGTGGGATCTCTTTTGGGATAGAATATTGTTCTTAAATTTATATTACAAGCTTTTATTTTCATAATTTATTTTATATATATATGGAGAAAAAAACATTAAGTGGGTGTTCAAATATTTTCAAAATTCTATATTTTTTAAATTATTGAATTTATTGTGTAAATTTTAATAATTTAAAATTTTGCAGGCTACTGGAGATAATGTCTGTGTGATTTGTGGAACTAAGGGTAAACTAATAAAATGTGAAACATGTCCGAAGACCTTTCATCTTAATTGTTTGGAGCCACCTCTTGCAAAGTAAGACATGACACATCCTACGTATCCTGTAAATTTTGTATGTGCATGCATGGTTCATAAGCTTAAAATTTTGTAGTATAGTGTTTATACTGTTTTTATATGAAGTATTAATTTTAGAAAGATATTTTTTCTCCTTTTCTTACTTATGATGTAATTATTTTCCTAGAATGCCTAAAGGAAAATGGTACTGTTCTGGTTGCAGCTTAACTAGAGTGAGTATTTCATTATTGTATGCCTTTTCTTAAATAATTTATTTTTAATTCTTACTTTTTTTAAATTTTCTTTTATTTCTGCAGCCAAAAAAATCAAAGAAGAGTAACTCTAATAAAGAAAAGGAAGCACCCAAGGAAACAAAAGAAGCAGAAAAACCGGAGAAACCCGAAAAACCTAAAAAAGCCGAGAAAGATCAAACTCCTAAGTCCAAGAGTTCTGAAAAGAAAAAGAAAGAAAAGGAAAAAGAGAAAGAAAAGGAGAAAACACCACCTCCTGGAAATAAAGACCTAGCACCTTGCGGGTATATTCATCATTAGTAACTATGATTGATATGATAATAGCAGATGTTTATGCAGATTGAATTTCCATCTCAATTTTTGCATTCACTTAAAAATATCTCTCTATATATATCACTTATCTTAAACGAATTATAATATTTGGACATTAGCACTATTCACAATTTCTAATGCCAATGTCTTAAGGTTATAATTTTTTTTCTACTGGTTAAGTAGTTTTTTTTTTATGTAAAAAAAAAAAAACTTTTTAAGAATTTTTAATTTGAGTTCTTATTTTTGAACGAATTGCAAATTCATGAGGTAGTTTGATCTGTTTCAACTCATTTTAATGACTCAGGTAGACATCTAAAAATTATGACATTTTTCTACTTGTTAAGTTGCTTCTTTTTGAAACTTTATAATTTTAGTTCTATTTTTTTTGGATGAATTGAAAATTCTTACAAATGGATGGGTGTTTGATTTGTTTCCTCTCATGTTAATACTAAACTATTTTTAATGTATATAATATTATATTTTTTCTATTTTGTGTGTCTAAATATTATACATTTCATTTTTAAATGTCAAAATATTAAGGTTTTCTTTCATAATTAGTTGTCTTTAAAACATTTCTAAATATTTAAAATTTTAAAGTTCTGTTTTGGATGCGTGATGACATCTAATTTATTTTAACTCCTTATAATGTTTAATAATTTTTATTCTTTTCTAATGTCTAAATATTTTTTCTTTTTAGAATGTCTTAATATTTGTATTTTTCTTTTTTTAGTTATGTAATTAGTTTTCCTTTAAAATGTTTTTAATAATTTTCTTACAGCTCCATCTTAGATGAAATGCAGAAACATGAGGATGCCTGGCCCTTTTTAACTCCTGTTAATACTAAGCAATTTCCTACCTATCGTAAAGTAATTAAAAAGCCCATGGATATTCAAACTATGCGTGGTAGATTGGATTCTGGACAGTAAGTTCTTTATTTTATTTCACTAATATTATTTTTTTACATTTATTTTTTAATAGTGAAAAATTATTTTTTAATATAATATGCTAATATCTTAGCTAATAACTTCCAATAAAAGTATGGGTAGATGATAAAATTATGTATATATTTAAAAAAAAAGACAAAATACAGTTAGATAATGTGTTTTTTATACCACGGGAACTGGTATAAAAAGCACAAATACATGTTTGTAATTTGTCATTCTATCATGATGTAACTTTTCTGTGTCTGAACACAGATAAAAAGCGAGAATAGCAGTCGCCATGCGGTGGCTAATTAAATTTAAAATGGCCACCAAAATAATTACAATCATTAGCCCCCATCTCTTTTTGTCAAATGATACTCCTCCTTAGTTCCTGGAAATGCAGCCGCATAATGTGCATAAAAATGTTTACAATTTTTTTTTTAAAAATTAAATATTTGACAAGTTGCATTGTAATGAATTTCCTATTAGGAATCTTTAAAAAGACTAAATTTAAGGACGATAAAATTCAATCCTAGCTTGTTTTGCAATCTATTTAAATGAAAGGATTTTTTTTTCATTATCGTCTGATATGAAATTCTTTAATGACTTTTCCCCCTTTTTTATCGAAACTCAGAGTATGTTTGTTTCAACGTCTTTTCAGATGTGGTTAACTTTGTTTTTCCTAACAAACCTCTAAAATTAATATTTCCAAATAACATTTTTTTAAACTAATAAAAATAAATATCTTTTTGTAACAATTATAAAGCAAAATCCTTATTGAAGTACATTCAACTCAAAAAGTGGCCACCAATAAATTTACCTCCAGTAGCCAGTGGTTACCAGATAAATTTCTCAGTCATGCCTTTAAGAATAAGATGAAACTACAAACCAGTTACAGCAAAGAAGAAGGGAGTTAACCAAATGGAGAACGAGATTGATCAAACTTAAATTGAAAGATTAGGAAAAAGGATGTAGTGATTTATTTATTGTGAAAAACATAAAGTGTACTTAAAATTATCATAATTTTTTTTCCCTCATTTAATGTAATATTTTCTTTCAACAGATACAAAAATAGGGAAGAGTTTGCCAACGACGCACGCTTAATCTTTGACAATTGTGAAACTTTTAATGAAGATGACTCTCCTGTAGGGCAAGCGGGTCACTCGATGAGGGCATTTTTCGAAACTAAATGGTCTGAACTAAGCAGCACATGATAACCTTGCCTACACTAATATTTCAACTTTATAAAAGAGTGATCAGGTATGCCAGCTAAAAAAAAAAAGGAAGTCGTCTGCCGTGACCATGTCCAAGTGCCTGTAGAGAACTTTGCAGGTGGTTGCACATCTGTAAACTCATTATACTTTCATTTTTTATATCAAGTCGCACAAAAAAGAACGCTGGACTGCATTCGTATTGTTCAACTGTTGATGTCATCAAATCATATAATCATCACTTAATTTATGCTTATTTAAAAATGATCTGTGTCTTTCCTTTCCCCCCACATGATGTGTTATATTGTCTAATTGTTGTGTTTTTTTAGATCAATTGTATCTATTTTTTCACATTTTTTTGTAAAATTGTTATACTTACTTATTTTTTAGTCATAGGAAAAAAAAACGAGAAAAAAAATTATCATTGTTGTAAATATTTCATATAAATGTTGAAGGAATATTTATAATTTCATAACCACATTGCTCAAAAATTATTTTATCGTTTTCCCTCCCCCCTGTGAATCAAAAATAGTTTGCTTTGTCTATCATTCACATTTAGTGTGATTTAATTTTTTCAAACATTATCTTATCTGTCCAATTGTTCTTCATGATGTGATGTTCAGGGATTAAATAGCGTTTTAAAAATCTTTGCATACAATTATGACCTCTCAGAATTTCAGATGGTTTTAAGTCAATGCCTCAAAATATACAAACTACACTCTTCTAATGCAGATGTGTCGATATTCTGCTTTACCAACCTCACAAAAAACTGGTGTAAGGTGATGAGGTGTTATCTCTATTATTTTATGCATGCTTCGGCTATTACTTCTATGTACATTAACACGTGCAATTGCTTAAGACTAAAGCAATTGGAATATATAAATATTATATATATATACATATATATAGAGGGATATTTGTACGATACCCGTGCAGTTCTGTTTTCAAATATAGATAATTGACGAATTATTTTAAAAAATTGTAAAAATGATTCCCCGGTGACTTTAATCAATGATTAAACTTTGTATGATGTTCCAGGCATTTGAAAATATTTTTAATTTGCTTTACAAAATGAAAGTTGTTATAGGTAGTTCTTGCAACTTGCTGTAAAATATAAAATTTGTTCCCTGAAACTGGATTATTTGGTGTTTGAAAATTTATGATTATCATAAAATGAATTACATTTCTAGTTAATAAAACCTAATGAAAATTTTACAATTTGTTTTTTAAAACAAGATTTTTGCGATTCTTGTTAAAAGTACTTAAACATCAATATCATTAACCTTGACTTGTAAGTTTAAAGTTAAAACTTAAGTAGTTCTAACAGAATAAGATAAATTTCAGTTGGACCGGACCTATAAAAAATAATTTGGAAACAACGTTTTTAAACATGACTAAAAAGCGAAATAATCATTGTAATTTGACTTCGGTCAATATTATTTTAATTATTTCCATTCTACAACATTAAAATTTTACTAGTGTAATTTGACTTGTTTCTTCATTCAATGTTTTTCATCTAAAAAGGAAAAATGGAGTATAGATTTCTATTTTAGTATCTTATTTACTATGACTTTAAATTATCATAAAACATTCTAACTTTAAAGACTATTATAAAGTATTTCTTTTATTGCAGAAATACTTCTTTTTAAAAAAAAAAAAATTCAGAATTTTCGTAATTTTTTTTTCAAGGTTGTTAAAAGTCAATAACTCATAACAATAATCTAGTTTCAGAAGCAATTTGTAGTTTGAAAACCTAAGCCATGTTTATAAGTTGTACTGGTCTGGGAAAAATCTGTCATTTCTTTCTTATTAGCTCATATTTCTACAGGGGCTTATCTTGGCTTTATGTTGTGTATATAAATGTTTTTTTGGAAAATGCACGAGTAACTCAGGAAAAAAAAGTTTTAATATCTACCTATTGTTTTAAAGGCACCCTTGCTGTATTAATTGTTATTTGTACTTTAAATTTATGAGGTGCTGCATTTTTTAGTTTTTGTTGTCCCTTTCTATTTTTTAATACTGCCAAAACATTTTCTGCGCTTCTATTTTTGAACTGTGTCTTGAAATATTAGTGTCAGTAAATTAATTTGTTACACACTGTTTAGCAGACCATGAGATTATTTACTTGATTTAAAAATGGTCTTTCATTTTGTATTTTGCAACTATAAAAAATGTATTTTAGTCGCTGCAACTGAAACAGCCACTGTCATGTATTACTATTATTTTCTTTTTACAAATAGTTTATTTGTCAATCATATTTTTCCTGTTTTACTGTTGAGAATTTAATTCACTAATTCAAGAGTCTTTTTCAGGATAATAGATAAACTTAAAGATACTTCTGTGTTTTATGTGACATGCAATAATTGCATTTTTTGTGCACTCACCTAGTGAGTTCAATTCGTTGTGGCTTTCTACGTCTGCCTGTTTAGTATTGTACATGAATGGCTAAAAGCCAGTTAGTTTTTAAAAGTAAGCCGTTTTATATTCTCTAAGTCCATGTATAAAGTACCTCGTGTATTAACTGTTTGTCACCATGAAGAAGAAGAAAAAAAAATCAAACTTGGGTAAGTCTTTACACCTTTAATATAAATAAATTAAAGAGAAATCAGAGACAAATTTCTGCACCAGACAGTGTCTTGACGATGAATTATAACCTCCACTGTACCTCTCAACTAAACCAGGAAATGGCTCTTCTCACTTAATCTGGTTGGTTATCTGTTTTAAGTGATTAGTTATAGGTTGTGACTTGTTAAACTGCCAGGATTTGTCTCAACAGTTATTGTATAATTTGTACAAGATGAATAAAAAACGAAATTTCTTTGGCTCAGTGAGAATTTCTTTTAACCCTTGTACATTACTCTCTTGATTTTTTACATTTAACTCTGGAAAAGTCGAGGGATCCAAAATTAACAATAAAAAGTCTGGGCATTTTATGTCCAATACCTAAAAAAGTAAGGAAATTTGATACACTAATGACCAAAATAGTGACATGCCATTGATATTTTATCTTGGTGTTGTAATTTTTTTGTTAAGGTAATAAATGATTCATTGGTGTTTGTTTTGTGTATGAAAGGTATTGTATTTGTGTTGCAGTCTGTAATGTTGAAATAGTAAAGTGAATTTTACATTTCCATTTAAAAAATATATATATATTTTATAGCTATCAAATTTTTTAAAACTTTAGCTGCATATTTTTTAATGAATGGTAGGTTTTTAAATAAAATAGAAACAGTTATATTAAAACAGTGTTTACTTTTAAAAAAAAATGAAAATAAAGAAAAAAAAATTGCAATAGGAAAGTGTTTTATGCTAATAGTTAGTTAATTATTTAGCTATGAGGAGGAAATGAGTCATTAAAAATTTAAGACTCGAGATTTCATGTTAATCATAGGTAAGAGGGACCTTTTTTTCTGAAATAGCTGTTTTATAATCATTTAATTATTTTGGTGACTAACTTGACTAGATCGTCAACTATTTCATACAACTCATACAGTAATTTAAAAGCACGAGTTATAAGGCGCAAAAACAGAAAGTTCATAATAGGGAAGCACCTTAAGTTTGTATGATTTATCAATTAATGACAATAAAACTTCTTTTGTAAATTATGAGAGATCGTAAATTTAAAAAAAAAGAAATGTTTTTCCAATAAAAAAGACAAGCTGAAAAAAGTTCAACAATTTTTATTATAATTTTTCCTAGGAGGCAGTAAATGTAACTTTTCACAATAAAATAAATAATATATATATAATTTAAAAACTACGCACACATAAACGGGTAATGAAGTATAAACTAACGTGTTCAAGAAGAATACTGTTTTTTTTTTCATTTCTTTTTAGAAACATTTTTAAAAATGTAAAATTTTAAAACATTTCAAGAAATATATACAAGTATACAATGAGTGCTGAATTAAAAATAGTAAAGAAAACAAATATATAAGTAACAGCTATGGAACAGAGAGTTGCATTGAAAGTTATTTATTAATGATGATTATATAACTCTTAAAAATTTTGAAAAAAAAAACGTTTCCTAGGATATTACTTGGTAAAATTATTAAATTTTATTTAATTAAATATCTTGCTTAAAGGGCAAAACTCATGCTGTGCTTGAAAATAAATAATGAACAGTAATATCGAAACTTAGTTTTGATATCTTAAAATATTACATAATAAAATTTAGGTATTGTACATAAGACATGTAATTTTCTCAATTAAAATCTTACACTAAATATCTCGGCTTCAGAATTTTAAGCGAGCTGTTTTTTTTTTATATATTTCAAATGAGAAGCAGAGTTCAACAGTAAACATTTTGCATTTAAGGTTCATTATTTATTGTTGACCAAACTATTAAAACTTTTTCTGCTTTTTTTATTTTCATAAACTTAATCATGCAGAAATAATTCGAGTTTTAGTAAAGGAATTATTTATGGCAGTCAAATTCAAAGCACTTAATTGGATTTCATTCATATTGAAATTCATTTAGTTAAAATTAGTATAAGTAAGAGTTTTAATAAGGCAGTGTAGAATATATTAGCCTTTCTAAGTTAAAAAAATTTTATAAATTAAAATAAATATTTTTTAAAAATGTAAAAAGCATTAAAACTTGACACTAAATTAATTAACTTGGAAAAAGAATATTTTAAGTGAATTTAACTTGACAGATAAAATGATATTATTTTTCAAAATATTAAAATGTTCAATTTATTTTACAGATATATTTACAAAAAGTTTGATTTAAGCTTTTTAATAAATAATATAGTAAGTAGATGCATATAAGTTTTTTTTGAAGTATAATATATTGCATAATTTTGTAGTATTCTTAAACATGATCTAAAAACTATTAGGCAGAGGTGAAAATATCACATACATTCTTTTAATAGCATAATTTAAATTAAATTTATCAAATGATATTTTCAGTTATGATTTGAATCTTCCATATGATATTAAGAAGGAAAAAAAAAAAACCCTGAAAGATGCTAAAGAAAACTGAGACACAGAACTAGTTTAAGGATTTTTAAACTAATAAACAGTTAAAAATTTTAGAAATAATTGCTATTATACATTATGATCATAAAACGATATTGACATAGTCTGAACTTTTTTTTAGTAAAATTTTTTTCTTCCTTTTAACAGTCAAAATTTATAATAGTTAACTGAATTTTATTCATCTGAGTTGACAAATTCCTTAAAAATTATTGTTGATTAAATAAAAATCTGTGTCTTAAAAGAACAATTTGTCAGGATTTTAATACTTATGACATTAAAATATTGTCTGAGTTTTTTATATTTTGTCCATGGTTCAAAATGCGAATTTAAAAAAATGGACATAGCACTTGAAATGTACGTTAGAGAAAAAAAAGAGTCATAGCAAGTGTATTAATGATACTAAGCTTAGTATAAAATACATTCTTTAAATGTTAAACAACAAGTCTTTCTAATTTTTCAACTGTGCATATCAAGCTATGTCCATTTTTTTCTTAAGCACATTGAAACAAAAGTCATGTATATTATGGGCAATTTCATTTGTCTTAAATAACAGATACGACAAGATCATAAAATTGATGAATTTTATGATTTATTTTTTATGAATCCAATTATTTTTTAAGAATCAAGTATTTGATTATTAATAATTATAAAATAAAAACATTCAATTCATGTTAATTCACTTCTAATATTTAGTTTGTCTCTTGATTTTTTTTAAAAATTAATTTTTTAACTAAAAACAAGATTTGAAGTTATTTAGAAAAAAAAAAATTTCAGATTACAAATTAGAATATTAAATTTGTAAGATCATAAATGAACAAAAAAAAAGAACACTTCAAAACAAATTTTACATCAATATAAACAAATTTTTGATCTTTAAAATCTCATTACCAGAAAAATAAAAAAAAATTGACATATTTATAAAATGCTTAACATATGAAACAAATATAAACGACAAAATTAAAGATAAGCTCAATTACCTGTAATCCAGATGTAAATGCTAACAGTACATAGTTTTTGTTCATACCGGTATACATAAGAAAAAACAATAGAAATTTTATAAAAAACCTTCAGTATGAAGGGCAAAAGAGTTGCAAAAATATAAAATAAAGTCACAAAAATTTATTATGAGTTGCGGAAAAACTGCACAAATTAAATGCATTTATTTATTAAAGTATTTTAAAACTAACATTGTTGCATTCAAGACAAACTTTTTACTGAATAGTAAAAAAAGCTGAAAATTTTCAGGATTTCAGTTAATTTTGTTACTTGTAAATTTCTTTTTATTTTTTTCTGAAATTTCTAGTTCTTTATTCTGTTAAGTGATAACTAGTAAATCATTCATCTTAGCATAGTGCTGAAAATCAGTATTAAAAAACTTAGAATTACATATTTTGTGCACCAGCATTTACAAATGAATAACAAATTGCAACATTTAACATTCATGTAGAATGGGAAAAAATAGAAATAAATAAAAAAAATTATAATTTTAATAAAGAAATTAAAATATATTCTATTTATTCAACTTTAACACATTCCCAGCAAAGTACTAGATTGCACTGGTTAGCAAAATAATTTTGTACTTTAAAGTGAATATGAGTTATGTTGTAGCTAGCTTGTAGAACTTATAAAATGAATACCGTAACTCAGCTATATCATGGAACTCACATGGCAACCACAAGCTTATTTATAATTGGCAGTGAACATATAAAATGCAAAATTAAATTAATTTAATAAAATTGTAGCTTTTAACAATTTTCAATGAACAGGAGTCGAATATAATAAATATTTTAAAACATATTTCCTAAACAGTTAAAATAAAACTTCAAATTTGTTTATTATTACTAGGTCTGATCATTTTTAATACTTTTTTTTTTCAAGAAAATGTAACTGTCTTTGTAAATAAACAATTACAGACAAGACCGAAAGTAAATAATACTATTAACAACATAGATATTAATTTAAGTAGATGCAATGAGCAGTGATTTTCGCCAGAAGACAAATGGAAGTAAATTAGTAATGAACTAACGAGCTTGAAGGGACATGGTACATTTAACAATATGGATATTATAATTTTAGTGAAGTATTTATAAGTTATTTTGGTTAAATAACGAATAATTGATCAGCTATTAAAAGAAACACTGAATACAATATTAATTTTTTTAATTTGCAGATTAAGTATCGAACTCTTAGTGCACTTGGAACAGCTTATACAACAACCAATTGCTAACAAATACTTTTTATTTAAAAAAGAAAAAGGATTGAAACTTTTTTTTCTTACAACTGAGTTTTTTTTTCTTCAAAAATATATAAATTATTTTTTAAAGATTTCAATTCAAATATTTTCATTAAACTATATATAGAAAAAAATTATTTTTAATCAATGAATGAAAGAACTAAACAGAAAATTTCAGACATAAGATATAAAAAAAACTATTAGCATTCCAGGACAAAAACAACATATTGAATTACTACGAATTTATCATTTTACATCTAGCATCGTATCAAAATTCAATCATATTCATTACATGACTTAACCTATAATTCATAAACAGACAAATAATCATTAATGAACATTAATAATATTTCAAATGCTCGATGTCTTTTAGTGTTCAACTCAAACAGATTTTGATTATAAGTAGTGTGATTATAAGTAGCAAAAGAAGTTTATAATTTCCACAAGTACTCCATACTGTAGAATTTATAAATTTGATTTAGTAGCATTTCAATTATTCAAAAGAGCCGTTGTATTGCAGGGAAGACATATACAAAACATAAAACATGCAAAATGCATGAAAAAAATTCAACTTCTGCAAATTTCCAAGATAATTTGTATGCATATCAAAAGAGTTTATTCAAATACTGGTACAAACCGAAAGTCCAGAGTCGATTTACAGAGGAAAAGTTAATTTACAGAAAATATATTACTTTATTAACAACATTATTCAGTTGTTTTCTGAGCTCAACTCACACATTTCTCCTAAGTACACGCATACATTTTTCTCAATCAATGCATAATTGCTACTTTTTCATGCACATAATTTATATTTCTTCTCCTTTTGCACGATTTACTGGGCTGGAACTATTCCACGAGTCCATCGTTTGGCTGCCAAGAAAGCCATTTCAGAGAAAGCACCATGGGTAGAGTTTATAAGAATTGAAATTTAATTTCACCTTGCCAAATACCAGAAAAAAATTGTATACAGAAGTATTAATATTTTGCTTGAAGTGAGGCACATACTGCTACAAGGTAGCTCGTCATAATAGTACTGTTTATCTGGTAAAACATAGTAAGATTTGCTAGAATCAGGCTGACAGTTGATATCGTTTTCCTGTGAAATAAAAAAATAGTTGTAAGTATGTAACTGAATGTCATGAAAATCATTTTTATTTCAAGGATAGTAACTCGATGAAACAAATTTTTTTACTGACAATTAAGAAGAGCAAAAAAATGCATTAACCCGATTGAAATTTTTATGAAAATTAGATAACAGCTTGAAAATGTTAAGTTGCAGGAAGTATGATTTTATTTTTGTTTACTGTTTTGACGTTATCGGCTGACAATTAATATTGTTTCATGTGAAATAAAAAATAAGCAAGTCTGTAACTGAATGTCATGAAAATCATTTTTATTTCAAGGATAGTAACTGAATGAAACTAATTTTTTTTGCAGGCAATGATTTAAGAAGTTTCCAAAAATGCATTAACTCAATTGAAATTGTAATGAAAATTAGATAACAACACAAAATATACATTTCTAAATATACATTCCTACAAAATATACATTTCTAAATATACATTCCTACAAAATATACATTTCTAAAAAAACATATTTAAGTAACTAGAATTTAGATTGGAGTATAAGAGGCATAAGAAAAAATCATACTGATATGAATCTTAGTAAAAGCACGGTAAGCAAGAGTTAAAATCTATAAGAGTCTTATGATGCATAAGAATAAAGAACTTTTTTTAATAAAAAAGTTTACTTCTGCAGAACTAAGAGAACGTCAAAAAAACTCTGAACCCACAATCAAATATGTGACATTTGTACAAAATAAGTAATTGTTTGTCATTCTAAATTTCAGAAACAATAAAAAAAATATATACTTACTCCACATATTTCGTGACAGGGGGGACATACTATGGTACCTATATGAAGCCAACCTTGAAAAAATATCTGTATCTTCAGCTGTTGGCCAGTCTGGAAGCACGTGTAAGTATGATTGGCCACAATCACATGGAGACGACCAGAAACACATTCATACTAAAACATAAAGGAAAACATAGTTCATTTACACAGTTCCTTGAATACAAAAAGAAATACAATTTAAATTACTTGGTGGAAGATTCAAGCAGAATAGGAATAAAAAATAAATTCAAGGAACAACTTTGCATAGCCACGAACAATATTGATGATAGAACAAGTTTAATTCTTTAATAAACTATAAATTAAGCCATTTTGTTGGTCATGAGTCTTTTTCCTCTTAAAGTAACTAATGTTTCTAAGATCAGTTTTTTAATGTATTTGAATACTCTTTTATGGTTTGAATATGTGATATATCTGTGAGGATATAGGTTTGCCTCGCCACTCCCTTTTAACAGGAGGGTAGATACCGCCTGCACTTAAATAAGAACTCTGACAGGGAGGAGAATTGTGAGCTTCATTTATTGAAAATTGAATATAAGAAGAATGATATGTTTACGGACATAACTACGATGAAATAATAACTGGTGAGACATCAAACAAACAACTTATAAACTAAGTATGATGAGCATATATGGCAGTACTTTTACTTTCGTTACTTGTATCGCCGGTACAAGTAAAAAGTACGTACTTTAACTTGTACTTCGTTACTTTTCAAATTTAGTACTTTTACTTGTACTTTCGTTACTTTTTTAGGGAAAAAGTACAAGTATTTGTAACGGAAATGTCGAATGAAATCGTTAGTTTTTTCTAAAACTCGGTAAGCTTTCTATAAAAAAAATAAAAAAAATTTTAAATTAAAAAAAAATGCTTATGTTTTTTTAATTTATAAAATTAATGTGCAATATGTATGCGTTCACAGCTAACTTCGTGTTTAAATACCTTGACTTTTTAAAATTGTCATTCCTGAAAGGGAAAAGACGGCTCTTTTGATCTTTTTTCGACTGCAACTATCATTGTGAGAGGGGTGTTCTCCAGAATTGTGTGTCCAGAACAGTCATTATTCATCCTCTGAAAATTGCCTGTGATAAAGGATGACATAAACAGCAAAGGTTTTTAATACTAGTGGTTGGTTTTCAGTTCAAGAAAAAGTTTCAGAATGGTAAAAAGTGCGCTTTGAAATTCCGTAAACCAAGTACAAGTATAATGAATGTATACGATTTTAAGAAAAATAATTCATCCAACCTTCAAATGTGTGAAGGCTTATTAAAACAACAGTTTGTAAAGCTTTAAACAAAGCTCTTTTAGATGGCGTACGCGGAAGGTTTCGCGATGTAAAATCGCAAGATGATTTATTGTTTGCTACAGGTCTGGTACCTTGCATCAAATTTAATTGGTTGTAAGAAAAAGCTAGGGAGGAGGCTACAAAAAAATTGGAAAGAATTGTCCAAGCTGAACACCCTGCTATAAATAATAACGTAACAGAAAAAAAACACAGGGATTTTAAATTTTCTAAAGCTGAAAACATCATGCCAATCACCAGCGACAGAAGAATTTATGGCATACATGAGCTCAAATGTCGAAACGGAAAGCATATCAATTTTGAATCGATATCCAATCGTAAAAAAATTATATGTGAAATATAATACTGCAGTACCTTCTAGTGCTCCCGTGGAGCGCTTATTCAGCGTGGCTAAGCACGTTCTGAGAAATTCTCGCAGCAGACTCAGTGACACCACTTTCGAAATGCAATTATTTTGCAAAATGAATAAAAATATTAATTAGCAAGTTATTTTCATTCATTTTCGAGTTTTATGCATTTATTTAATACATTTTAAATAAAAAATGTTGGATTTTGTTATTACGTTTTTCAATTTTCTTTTTGAACTCACTAATAATACATTTTTGTCTTAATACATTTTTTACTAAATACATTTTTACCTAGTACATTTTTTACTAAAATTATGTTTATGCCCGACCTTGTCAAACAACGCCCAGTCAAATCTCTAAGAACTTCAGAACTATTTGTGCTATTGAAAACTATTATAATTACTATTTTAACTTTTGAAAACTCGAAGGTATTAATTTAGCAGCTGATACTAAAATTCACTTACAAATTTTAATTATTCCGTTAGGTAGAAATGTTCGGAAAATGATTTTCTCGCATGACTTCAGCATTAGCCATTGTTACAAATAAAACTGTAGACTGTTCTGTTTCAACTTATACTGCACATTCAATTATTTTTTACTAGCTCAAAGATCACAAAGCTATCTGAAACCCTGTGTTTGCTTTGTTTATGTTTGAGCTTTTAAAACGCGTTTCAATTGAGTAAAACAATTTTAAATCAATGGTAATTTAAAATAATAAACTAAAATTTAAAATCAATAGATAAAATTTCTTTTTCGTGCAAATCGTGCATAAAAAGTTTGATACAGTAGAGAACCAATTATCCGGGATGCTCGGGACCATCGCTATCCCGGATATCTGAATTTCCCGGTTTTCTGGATCGACCAAAAAGTGTCGTTAATCGATATTTTAGCGAACCCGAAGTACATGGAAAAAGTGTAATGCATAAAGTAAGAGAAAAAAGAAAGGTACTNAATTTTGCGAAAACATTAAAGAACATAAGAATATTATTCAATAAAACTTTAGGTTGCTTTGAACTTTCGATTTCCTAGAAATGTACTTTTAAATCGTTACTTTTTTTGTCTAGTACTTGTACTTTTTACTCGCTACTTTTTAAAATAACAACTTTTTACTCGTTACTTTTTTAAAAAATACTTGTACTTTTACTCGTTACTTTTTAAAAGTAACGTTGCCATATATGATGATGAGTAATGAAAAAAATTAATCAAAGCAATTAAGGTGCTACTGAAATATTTATATCCAAATCTAATTTAATCGCTGCCGCAAGTTATTTATAAATTATTAAACAATATGCAAATCTAAATCTATGAAGTTGCAATCAATAACTCTACAACATGGTTAAAAACTGTAGCCATCAAAAGAAGTGTAAACAAAAGAAAGCAAAGAGTTAACAAATGTAAACAAAGATATGAATTTAGCTAATTAGATACGGAATTTGGCACATTTGATCCAGGAATTGTTACAAATAAAAAAACGTATTATAACATCAAAATCCTACTTATTTTATATGTACCTGTTAAGGAACAAAAACAGTGCAGATAAATAAAGCTTTTATTTACTTTATAGCAGCCACTTCCCCAATGTTGCCACTGGCGAACTTGCTGGCATGTTCTCTCTTCCCACATTTCCTTGTTGTGGTTGAAACATTTTGATCCTGGCCCATAATACTCAAGAGCAAAATTTTTTTCTGGTTCTAAGGAAAAAAGAACATTTTAAACATATAATTTTAAAATCAGGATTAAAATTTACAAAAAAAAAAATATGTATTTGTTGTTGTTCATTTACGTCGCACTAGAGCTGCTATTGCGCTGTCTAGAGGGCTATTTGCGATGGTCTGGGAAGCATCCCTGAGGATGATCTGAAGACATGCCATCACAATTTTGATCCTCTGCAGAGGGGGTGGCACCTCCGCTTCGGTAGCCCGACGACCTGCATGTGAAGTCAAGCACTTTACGGTAGAACAGTTTAACGAGGTATATACAAAATGTATTTGCAAACAAATAAATGTTTTACCTTCTTTCAAAGGCGCTTTTGTAAAGAATCACAAATTACCATCGTTAGAACTTAATATATAAATAAATTAAAATAATAAATTCAGAAAAAAAAGTATTTAAGGTGTAATATGTAATAATATTTCCTGAAAAAAAGTATGGGGGATTGATTGAACTAAGTAGCAAACTTTAAGGCACAAGAACTAGTTATTTATAGTTATTGTTGTTATAACAGGAATATGCAAGCATGTAGTATATTCTATAAAAAAAACATTAATTACTGATTGTATTTATAATCTAACTTACGTGGCATATTCTCTGAAAATTGGCACTGGGAGCCACGAACAACAATGTTGTTGGATTTCCATGTGAATTCCTAGAATTATAACAAAAATTAATAAAATAATATTTTGTTTATTCATTTGTCTATTTATGTAATTTTATTTAAAACGTTGAAATAACTGCAACAAACAACTAAATGAATTATGTTTAAAAACCAATAAGTAAAGAAACTAAATATAATATAGGTAATATGAAGAAAAAAAATTTATCGAAACATTTTTACAACATAAATTCAAATCATAAAATTATTAACAAAAAACCTCCTGCATAGCACAAAAGGAAAAAAAAAACAATTAACAAAAGCAATAAAGTTTATAAAATAATAGCTGTATACAATATGCAAATCCTGTAATTGCTAAGTTTAACTCTCATATGAACATTAAGAACTTGCACTCTTTTATAAATAAATAGGAAATGAACTCTTTTTACAAACATTATAAATGATACACTGATTCCTTGAGTGCATTTTCTCAAAATATGTATGTAACAATGAAGTTCCTAATTAAATTGTAAATATAAAATATATATAAAAAAATAATCAATTGCTCTCCTTTACCTAAAAAATGCAACATCAATTTTAAGCCTTCTTGAATTGGAAGAATACTGCGTACATCTTTTAACTTTGCAGATTTTTTTAACTAAATATAAGTATAGAATTTATTTGAAATGCAATGGTATTTGTTTATAAAAAAAAAATTCCGATAACATTTATTTCAAATTAATTTTTTGAATAATTTAAAAACATTTAGAGTGATTTTAAAAACTTATGGTGTTTATACAGCATTTTAAAATATTTATCTCGATAATGATATTTTAAAAAGTATTTTCTCACTGTATCATAAATATTCATGTTTTACTCTAAATAACAAATGTACAATAACAACGAGTTCTAATATGAAAATGATGCAAATGGTATTACGGTGATTGTTGTTGACAACGACAAATACTGAATACAATGATTTTACCAATACTATCGCCAATAATAATTATCAAATGCAATAAAAAACAATAATTATCAACAATAACAGTAGCACGTGCGTTGATTAATTTCATTTGTATCAATGAATACACTGAAGAATAGAAAAATAATACAAGTAGTTAAGTGGATAAGTATAGTGATATTTCAATTTTTGATGATATATAACGATAATGAAATTCTTATATTGACCAGCATTAGAAATAACTAGCTGTATATACTATAACATATGGAGATGTTTTCAATTTAGAGCAGAAAAGGAGTTAATGAGCAGAGCTTAAAATAATTTAGAGGCACAAAACTTTGCACTAAAAGTAAGATCAGTGCAAGACACTGATTCTTTGTATTGGTGCTCATGACTTACTCAAAATAAACATTTAACTCTCAAGCAGATAGAACCCTCTTTTGTTTATATACAAAATTAATAGTTAGAATTGAACTATTGAAGCCTATATTGAAAGAAATATATATGTGTATTGCAGGTAAAAGGTACTTATGTCCAGATTCTTCTTCTAGTACCCTCAATTTTCTCTGAATGTCATTTTTTGGCTGAATCTAGATCTTCGCTTAAGAAAATGTTTTCCAACCACCTGTTTCTGTAGAATTTACTAATTCTTCAAACTTCAGCTTGTTCAGATTTATTATATTTTTCATAAACTTCTCCAAACTTTAACTATAACTTTAATAACATTAAAAAATGGTCATAATGAATTACCTTCTACATACACACATTTTGTGATTTAACCCTATGCCGTCACACATCTACTTTCAACTCCAAAGCTTTTTTTACCGTTTCTGTTGCACGTCTGCTACCAGTCGACTCAGAAAAAATGAAACTGATCTCTTAGCGTAAAAGGATATAACTAAGTTAAAACTATATTCACTTTGGAGTCATACAAAATTCACAATATTTCACTAAATGTGTTATATTGCAATAGCGCTTTTCTTTTAGTATTTCGCATATTATGTTATTCCAACCAGTATGATAACTGTATATAAACTGCAAAAGGTTAAAAGTATACTTTGCATAAATACCATGGCCTTTTTTTAAACTATCAATACGATGCGATTTTTGATTGCAAACTGATAATTATCTTGATAAACAATGAAGTATATAAAGATAAAGTTCTCACTTGAATATATGGACAATAATCAGCCAGACTCACAGAACCTCCAAATCTGCCTATGTCGTGGTAGGATATTCCAGGTATTTGATCAAAATTCTAAAACATCAGACATTTCACCATTAAAAAACATAATTTTGACATTTCTCGCGGTTATAACCTTTTTAAAATGTATCAACTCACTTGAAAAATAGAGGGTAAGTCTCTGGTATACTCAATGAGATTACACAAAGCTACCGAATCTCTGCTGTCCGTACATTCTGTTTCGAGGGGATCTTTCTTTACTTTATCACAGTATGGATGAATGCTTTCCCCTCTGAAAATTTGCAGAAAAATGGTTACTTCCACACACAAAAAAAAAATTAATATATAATTAATGCAGATAAATAAATAGGACTAATTGAAAGAAGAAATCAACATTTTTATAAAAAAGGAAGTTACACCAAGAAGCTAAAACCTATAAGTTTTTTTTCTTCTTTTGGTTGCTAAATGTCTAATTCTGAATTCTTTGCAATGAAAAATAATTTAGAGCTTCTTAATAAAAGGAAGAAAAAAGTTCTTTCAGAAGTGATGTAAACAACATCATTGCAAACTTATAAAAGTATTGCAGAATATTAGAAGCACAATAGTGAACTTAGCCAATTTTTATCATATAAAGTTTCCAGTTTTTAATTTTCATAAATAATCCTACTAAGTAATAATAAACCAAAATCAATCATAAGAAATAAGTTTTTCAAGTGCAAAACTTGCTAGTTGCTCCAAATGCAAAACAGACAAAATGAGGAAAATGGGATAATAAAACATAAGGCAACTACAATTTTCTTGTAAAAGACTAAAATAATAAACAAATGAAATTTGAAAAAATAATATGCTGAAACTAAATCTGAGGTTAAAAAAAAAGCTTACATATAATGTTATTTTCCTTTTTATTAAAAAAAACCGAATGTCATTGGTTTTCTTGCCAGGACAACCCGATAAAAATTCTCTCATTCAATTGAAAGTGAATCAATATTAACAAGAAAAGTAAACCATTTTTGCCAATAACACGAAATCAAATTTTTAAAAAAATATTTAACAAGGATTCTTTGCTTGTAAAATAAATAAATAAATTCCTTTTCAGAGCAAAAATATTAATTTGATCCATTTTCATAGTTATAATGTGCTTGATTATAAAGTTATTAGACATTATATACTTTAATGGGACAATTTAAAAATAATAAATACCTGGCTCTTCTTGTATCTATCCAATCTTTACAACTTTTAAAGGCAAATTCACATCCTAATCCCTTTCCCCATTTTAATTCTTGAGCCATTGCATAATTAGGTACATACCAACTAGATAGAAAAATAAATATACAAAATTTACTGAAAATACAGAAGAAATTAATCACAGACAGAAGTATAAAAGTGTTACTATATTACGCATTTAATATGTTGATATTGTAGTTTAAAAAAATGCTGTGTCATACAAATGTTCTGTAATAAGCAAACTCTTACACTAACATAAAAATACTGAAGTTAAGAAAAACTGCAGTTTATGAACTGCAATAATACAGTTCAGAAATTTATAAGATCACAATATTGAATTTCTGAAAAGTTCAAGGTTGAATAATTAATAATGAAATGGCATTATTAACTTTATGGCACTATTAACCATATGCAGATTCACTAAATTATAAAGTCAAACACATTTTAAAACTAGTCAGTTAGAAATAATGCAACAAATCTTATTTTAAAAGGCATGAATTTATGAAACATACAAACAAAAGAAGTTTAGCAATACCATTTTTTAAAAAAAAAATTTACAATAGTTATTGTACTCATATCAGTTTTAAGTTATTTTTGCACTAATCTTATAATTACTGAGCATCGAAAAATCAATGGCAATGTTGTTAAACAGATGTACCAACTAAAGCTTGACTGAGAGGTAATAATTACTAAAGAGATTTTGATGGCAATAATACATTATTAATAATTAACTTTTATAAATGCAATGTTAATAAGATAATAAATTTATTTCTTTATACATCATTAAAAAACAAAAAATTTAAAAAAAAAATATCTTGAAAAATAAAAAAAGATTCTTCAGAAAAAAATGAAGTCTGAAAAAAAAATACATGTTAGTTAAGTTAAAAATATTGAATAATGACCATTAAATTGTATGAAATTTTAAACTTAATTAACTTTATGAACTAAATTTCAAATATTTTATGTTATTTATGGCTGTTAATCAAATCAGACTGGACAGACAAGGACAAATATTTTACAGTTCGAGTTTTTGAGATACAAAAAAAGGGAACAAAAATATTCTATAATAAGAGGGACACTTTGGTTTGGTATTATAGAGAATCCACGAAAAAAAAAATTATGTTTACTATTCGACACAAGAAATGCTTAGAGAAAAAAAAATCCATCAATGAAATTCATCCTGCAGTGAAATTCACATTTAAATTGCAATGATAAAAATACTACACCAAAAATACTACACTATATTACAACGATAAAAAAATACTACACTCAATTACTTTACACAGGTAAATCTTTAAATTAATGTTTCTCGATATAAGTTAAATGGGTTTAGTGTTTAAATTAAGTCAAATAAATTAAATAAAACCGTTTAAATCAGGAAAAAACAATTTATTTTCCCTTAACATATATTAACTCAAATTCCTACTTTTATTATTCCCACTTTTATTTGTCATATTTTACCGCAGTAACAGAATTTTTAGTGCTTTTGTATTATCTATTATCGAAACCCATCATCAGAGATACCAAAACAAATCTCGAGTTCTAAGTAGTTTTTGTTCAGTATCATTAGGAATACCTAGAACAAACTTCATTAGACTAGGAAATTACATACTTGAAATCAACTAGTGTACTCGAAGTGAAACAATTTTAGTTACAAACAAATTCTTATTTTATTTTCCTAATGAAATTTTTTTTCTTCAAATTATTTGCAGATTACCAAAATAATCAGTACTGCAATTCGTTTTGCTGAATAATTTCTACTACTAGTCTTGTTAACACAATCAAATGCAAACTACAAGCACAAAGTTGCAACAAACATATGTTTTGTTTGTTAATAACAGTAACAAAAATTAAAAAATACTTTTAAAACGTTTAATACTTAAAAAACAATTAATTGTTGTGACATACCCTGTGTCTTCCATCAGAGCTAATGTTATTCTGGAATACACAGGGTTTTGTGTATGCGTCCCAGTCATTGCTTCATTCTAAAAACACATTTTTATTGTGATTATTATTTAACATATTTTTACAAAAACTTACTTTACATATGGTAATAAAAAAATCCATGCCACATACTGGACAATTAAAAATTATAATGAGTCATACAGTTTGAGGTTTCTTATGAATATGATAACGCTATTTTAATGCATTCATATCAGATAGGCATCTATACAAAATATATTTCGTTAATGAAATATCAATTATAAAGTGCCTGTGTCACTTGCAGGGTTTATGGGAAAATGGGCTCTCTTATTTTAAGTATTAATCTAAATGAAAAGAGACACAAGATTATAGATAAGATACATAACATCTAAATAAAGAAAATTAAATGTGAGTAAAACATTAATATCAAGAAAAAAAATTTAAAAAATTTTTTTATTAATAAAATGTAGAGGGCGATCTTAGACATTATACGCAGGTGAAACTATGAATATATGTCATCCTCAATAAGCAGAAATCTTCAAGTCCTCAATATTTCGGACAAATAAAGAAAATTTTCATGAGTTATCATTGGTTTAAATTCTTTACAGTTAAAAACAAGAAAGAGATAAAAATTGCTTATTTTTTCGTAGGCCATGTGGCACATTTAAGAAAAAAAAATCTCAATTGTGAAATTTAGAGAACTATTGAAATTGTGAAATTGAATTTTGTCCACCTCAAACATTGTGCCCCTGCTACTTCCATGATATAAAACAAAAATGTATGACCCCTTGGCAAGTATACGGTTTGAGAGACTCAGAATAAAATTTTGCATTTAAGTATTATAAGGCATATGCTTATGACTAGTGTTAAAGTAAATTATCCAGTTTTCATGGTTATGACTACAGTGACAGAATAANTGACGGTTTAAACCATGGTTTAAACTGTCAAAAACTGTCACATGTCAAAAACCTGCCAACCCTGGTTTAAATTCTTTACAGTTAAAAACAAGAAAGAGATAAAAATTGCTTATTTTTTTGTAGGCCATGTGGCACATTTAAGAAAAAAAAATTTCAATTGTGAAATGTAGAGAACTACTGAAATTGTGAAATTGAATTTTGTCCACCTCAAACATTGTGCCCCTGCTATGTCCATGATATAAAACCGAAATGTAAGACCCCTTGGCAAGTATACGGTTTGAGAGACTCAGAATAAAATTTTGCATATAAGTATTATATGCTTAAGACTAGTGTTAAAGTAAATTATCCAGTTTTCATGGTTATGACTACAGTGACAGAATAACTAAAGGCAACAAGTACTAATCTCATCTATGCGTGATTCTCACATTATAAAAATAAAATGAAACTAGAACCAAATTTTCAAAGCAAATAGTGGCGAATCTAAACTAAAAGGTGCAACATACAAATCTCGATGTTTTCCCCAACTTCCTGTTGTCTACAGAACACATTTAATAGAGCTAAATCGTTGACGTCTCGAAAACTTATAGCATTATATTTTATAGATATTTTCCTGATGCCACAAAACGTAGGTGTTACCATTTCTGTCATAGTAATCATAACTAAGATAGTTGGAAAATACTTTTTTAAAAAGTTCATAGTAGTAGTAACTCTTTACACAAAACTACATTTTGTTTTCTGGTATGTTGTTGGGTCTTGTTGGTATTCTTGTCAAGGAATCATACATTAGTAAAATTATTTAATTATCACAGCAAATTAAGATTTTTTAATCTCACTTTATAAGTGTTCAATAAATGCTTGAAAAATTAAATTATACATACTGCATTCAAAACTGAAATGTATGTAACAGATGCTCTTTTATTTGGGTTTAAGACAAAAGAGTAGTACAGTAGAGTCCCGATTATCCGAGTTACTGTGGACCACGACTAACTCGGATAACTGAAAAACTCCGTTAAAACGAAGAGTATAAAAAAAGAAAGGAAAAGAGTTGGTATAAATGTAATATATTTAAGAAATATAAAATTTATACGAGTATACCACATACAATTCCGATAATTATTAAAAAGCTTACTTGAAAAAACTTAAAAAGTATACTTTGCAAGAATTAAAGAGTTTTTACTTAAAAAAAGTCCTTAATCGTTTATTGTTTGACATAACTTTGGTGCTTTTCTGCAGCAATGTTTCGCCATTTTTTAGGGATAACAGGAAGGCTGGCGTCGCCTCTTTTTGTTGTTCTATGTATTCAGTAGCATTTTCGACAGCTTCAAGTTCATCTGTGTGAGAGATTTTTATTTGTTGATTTTCATCGTCACTGTCTTCATCATCTTCGCTAGGTTCATTTTCATTATTGACGATATAAATGATCATTTCATGGGATCAAGTTGTTAGATTTAGTTTTCCCGAGTGTTTGGAAGGTAAAATTCAGATTTATTTTTCGGCGGTATTTTTAAAAATAAAAAATAAACTAGAACAAAAAAACCTTCAAATATTTGATAGCTCGGTTAAAGCGGAAACTCGGATAACCGGGGCTCGGATTATCGAGACTCTACTGTAATTAGAAATTAAAAGACAGATGATTGACGCACTTGATCAAGACATTTTTATTTTAAGAGCTAATTAAATTTCTTATCTTCCTTCTATGCTGCACTTCAACTTTTGTGGGACTAGCAAAGACTCAAATAAAAAAGGTGGGGGAAAATCTGCGTAAGTACTCCATCTTACCCCGAGCAAAGAGCTTATGAAAACGTAACAGAACAGAACTGTTAGTGAACAAAATCTTTATTGTTTGTTAAGATATTAATCTTTGGTAAACATATAGTAAGCTGAACTAAAAATAATTTTTTTAACTGTAATGACCAATAAATAAGGCAAGTTTAAAAAAAAGAACATTAGAGAGTTGACACTAGTAAAACAAACTTATCTACACAGACACTGTGAACTAATCAACAACATGCCAGCATGGTGGGTCCTTCTTCTTGACTAGTAAAGTGTAATTCTTAGTTTGTCTGCTAAAAAACAAGCTAATTTTGACACAATCGAGGTACTGGATCTTGCCCCAATCCCCCCTCCATATACATAAACAAACCAATTATGTATATAAACAAACCAAGATATACATAAGTGTTATGCTAATTACAAAATTTCACAAATTTAAAATCTTAAAAACATTTGCTCAATTCTTAAGAAAGGAGTAAAAATAATGAATTCAATAAGTTCATTGCACAGAAGTGCCAAATTATGCAACTCACCTCAAAAAGACGTTTCTCCCAATGTGTCAGTACAGTTCCATCTTCACCTTGATCTTCTAGTTCAGCTCCTTCTAAATAATCACAGTTAAAGTGCCGTCTTACTTCTTCCTGAAAAAAAAAAAGATATACCATTTAAGCGTATTAATTTATTAATAAAATCACATGTAATTAAGACATGCATGTTATCTTCGTATTTTAAAAAAAAGTGGTTACTGTTTAGGTAAACAAATACTTGTCAGAATCTGACACCATATTAACCAACATCTCAGCTTTAAAAAATCAAAAAACATAACACCTCAAAAAGTATTAAAAATTTCAGAGACTTCTGAACTAAAAGAAGAAGGGAAGGAGTTTCATTCCATACTATCACATGGGACGAGACATGGGTCAATCATTCTATTCTGAAATAAAAAAGCGAATAAAAATGATGAAGTCTACAAAATCAATTTCAAAACCAGTCTCTAACGAGGAAAGTTATCATGTGATTTATATATTTTTTCTTTCATACAGTTACGTTTCATTCAGGAGCCACAAAACCCTGTTGCCATTACCCCTCTAAATACATTAGTTCAGGAAAATTTCAAATTCTGTAGATACTTGGTTTTACTTTTATCAGAATCACTATAAGAATTACCAGTAGCTAGAGTCCACAAAAGCTGCCCACTAAAATGAGGAATGTCTATCAGAAATTTCTTATATCCGCATGATAACATTAGGCTTCAGATTTTAATTTTGTTTTGGGATTCTGAGACAAATATTTGAAACTGAAATTAGAAACCTCCCAACACACTTCCAAAAGTTTAGATTTATCTCTCTGTACTATTTTTGGGTACCAAAAAGAAACTGATAACAGAAAAATGATTTCAAAGCAATGTCAAAGTTAAGGGATATAACCACACATATCCTCAATTTTTTTTTAATGAAAAATAACTAAAGTATATTTTAACAAAATTAATTATTAGCAAAAGTGGATTAAAGGAGATGGTGGCTATGCAGAAAAAAAACTGAAAGTTTCATTCGTGTACAATATTAATCAACAAACACTTAAAAATTATTAATATTTGAATTATGCCGGCCAGGTGGCCAAGCGGTTAGCGTGCCTGACTGCGAAGCCACAGGCTGCGGGTTCGAATCCCGCTCTGGGCATGGATGTTTCTCTCTCTCTCTTTGTGTTGTCCTCTGTTGTGTGTGTGTATGATGTGTGAATGTGGCCCACCCTATAAACGGGTTTGTGGCAGTGTGGCGTGGGCAATGTTGCTCGCCTCCGTGACTTTGGTTCACAGGTGCCCACTGGGTAACGCAAAATGAGCAACAATTCTGGCATAGTATAGGCAAAAGATTCAAATTCCGTGCCTGCCATTGGAAAAAAAAAAATATTTGAATTATCTTTGTAGATATGAAAAAATTGTAAATAAGAAGCATTTTTAGAAACTTAGCATTTACAAAAGCAATAAAATATTCATCATAAGGGATAATTAAAAATAGATTGATTAAAACAGATGTAGGTAACTCAAGATTTAAAACAAAATTAAGCAGAAACTATGTGCATATTCATTTTTTATAAATTGACTTTTAAAAAGAACTTATCAATAGAGATGAGAATAAAGTATCCAAACTAAGAATATAAAAATTTATTTAAACATGTTTGATGGGGCTAAAAATAATACCTGGACACGAGGTGTCACAACGATCTTGACAGTTTTTTTTGTCAAGTTTCCTCTGACTTTCCAATCTCTTCTTTCCACCTCTCGAATAACTCTATCACTCCATTGATGGGCTTGAATTCTGGAATTAGTTACAATTTTTTATATATACAATAAATTTAAATCACAATAAATTTTAAATTCTGAAGCACCATGAATATAAATGGCAGTGTGAGTAGAGGTGCTCTGAGCTTCTATGTTTGGAAGGCGGGAGATTTCTATTTTGTTGAATGAAATTCCTAATTAGACCAAATAAATATACTAAGATATAATAAAGAAACTTCAACATTCACACTAGGAAACTTTTTAGATAATTAAACTACAAATAAGTATAATTTAAGAACATGATTTGTATAACATAAACTAACAAGAATATATTTTAAAATCTAATCGATAATACAGGTCTGCCAACTACTATGCTTTTTGCAAAATATTTCATGGTGTGGTAGACAATCTAAAACATAAGCTCTAAGAATTTTGGTTAAGTTAGTCAACATTTTAAAAGTTTCACAAAATAAACTAGAACTACATAGCTTTTAAAATTAAATTTTTAGCCATTCGTATGTAGTGACGCAGAAAATAACTAGTAAAAATAAAATTTCTAAATAAACAATCATTAATTCATTCTTTGCCTACCACTAGGTTAACAGTTCAGTTAAGGACAGTATATTTTAAAATAGGACATGTTGAGAATTAAGAGTTTGTAAGAATTAATTTTACAAATTTGCAAATTAAAACATATATTTTTTGGAAATAAATAATTTCTGCAAATTTTATTTCATAATAGGGCACTTTACAGTAAGTGGAGCTATAATTTTTTCCCAGAATATTGGCAGTCCAGACTCAAGTATGTATATGAAAATATGGTTACATGTTTAACATTACAAAGAGCAATTTAAAGATGAATTTTTCAAATTTGCAACACATTAAACCTTTATCTTATTGGTGAAATATTTTTTTGCAAATCTTAAACTAAGAGCATGGTATCCTCATGAAATGTAATAGGTACTTTTTAAAATAATAGCTTGTGAAGAAAATATTCAGCTTGTTTTTGAACAATTCCTTTTAACACTTAATTTTTTTTTCCAATTTAAAAAAAAAAAAAAAAAAACTTATGATTTGGTTGCTTTGAATTAAAAACTAAAGAGTATCCGGATAAAATAAAACATTAGCAGTGCAAATGTCTAAAAGAAGATACATAAGTTTAGAAGTTATGTATAGTAATACTAAGTTTAAAATTTTATAATATTAGTTACCTATTTTTAATAGTTCTACTCATAGTTTAATGTTCGAACATGTACTCAATAAAATACACAAATTATGAACAACTTTATTTTCTGGTATATCGCTAGCCTGTGTGTAGTAGATAACTGGAGTTATATTGAAGTTTTGTCTCCCTCCCTAAAAATACCGAAAGCTTTTGAATTGTAACAGTTTGTGAATGGTTTGAATTCCATTATTGGTAAATTTTAATCATATTTCTTTACTTGGAAAAAAATAAAAATTTATAATAATGAAGATTTTGTTTCCTGCATCATATAAAGTGCATTGTATGAGAATAATCAAACAATTTATACTTACACTTTGTTCACCATAGGTTTTCCATTGCTGCCCCGCCGTGTCAAAGGTCTCCCATCTTTGTCTCTAAAATAAGCATATAAGCTAACAGAAAAACCCTAGGAGCAAAAAATGTTATGAACATTTTAAAATAATAAGCAATTTGTAACAAAAATATAATCAAGCAAGAAAAAAATAATGAATCCTATATAAGAATCAAATATGTATAAAATCAAAATAAGGTATTTGGGTAAATAATAAACTCGAAAAGTTTTATAAATTTAACGAGTAACAATATATTTTTGAAAGAAACTAGGCTGAATTTCTAATTTAAAGAAGGACTCATAGTGTAGTTTTCAGAGTTTTAGAGAAGATTAAAGTATTACTAGAAGTGAAATTTTTTTTTTAATCAAGCAGTTTTTTTAATAAAAAATACAGATTCTTAGAATGTGAAAATCCCCTATCTATAAATTGCAATAAAAATGAGTGAAAACCTTATAAAGCAGTAAATTTAGATTTTCGCCTGAGGGGAATGTGACAAAAAGTACTAAATAAGAACTTCAATGAAGTATAATTCTTGGCTCAAGACATTTTTCCTTATGAGAAAATAACATGCAACTAGAAAGAGGGTTTTTTTATAGTAGTTAAGCTCTGCTACATCAATTTATTAAGAGGATGATTTAAAAACAAATTATCTTTTTTTGTTTTGTTAAACTTTTAACAAAAATAAATAAAAATATATTTGACTTTTAAAATTTTAAAAGACTATTTCAAAGAGAAGTGGATAATAATTACCAAATACTTTTCAATAATTACTGAAAATATTTGAAACAAGGATAAAAAATGAAACTAATTTTTGATTTCAATTGTTATAACATCATTTAATGAGATTCATGCTGTAATAAGTTTCTTAATTATAATTTTCTTTAGTTCGTTTTTTTTCTATTCTCTAATTTTTATAACAAATTTTAACTTATTTAGCAAGCAAAAAATAAAGCTGAAAATGTTCTGAACACTTAAACATCAATAGATAAGTAAAACTGATATACTCACTAAAGCATGAAGAATTTCATGTTTAACAGTAGATAAAAGAGTATCTAAATCTTGAGGCTTTGTAGATATAGAGTTTGGGCATAAGTTTGCATGGCCAGCAATCGGTCTGAAATGAAAAAAAAAATTTATTTGAGTCAAAGAATAAACAACTCTTCAGACTAATAAGAGCTCATATTTGAGAAAATTAAAATATAATCATTTAAGCAAAAACTAGTTACATCTAATTTTACAAGACCTAATTTTATATTACTACTAGAGCTAGTTACTTGCAAAAAAACTAGTTACCAAATTTTTACTGAATTTAACTTGATTCTTTTACTATTGATCATTTCATCTTTTAAAACTGAACAAAGCAATAACAAGAGAAAAATTCAACAGAAGTAAGAAAGAAACAATTTTTGCTTTACTGCTACCATATGTTCAATAAACAGAACCATTCAGAACAAGTTGAGTCAGTCTGGGAGAAAGATATAACACCCATGGCGATTGAATGTTCTGATTCTTTTTATTTTACCCATATTATTTACATTATCAACATCAATATTGCACTGAATTGTATTGGAATTCAGAAATGACACCTTAATCATTTCCAATAAATCGATTTTTACTGAATTTAACTTGATTCTTTTACTATTGATCATTTGATCCTTTAGAGCTGAATAAAGCATAAACAAGAAAAAAATTAACTGCAACTAAGGAAGAAATAATTTTTGCTATACTGCCAGCAATCTATGTTCAAAAAATAAAGCGATTCAGAACAAGCTGAGTCAGTTTGAGAGAAAGATATAACACCCATGGAGAATGAATGTTCTGATTTGTTTTCTTTTACCTGTATTATATATATTGTTAACATCAATAATGCACTGAATTGCATTACAGTTCAGAAATGAAAGGATTCAACTAAAATGTATGTATCAAGCTTTTCCATTAATTTGGAATCAATCAAGTTCTGAATAAGCTTTAAGTTTAAAATTTATTGTTAAAGTTTGTGTTAAAGAAATATTTATTGGAAAATTAAGTTAAAAACTCCAGAACTATAGAAGTTAAAAACTCCTTAACTTGTGAAGATAAAACTAATCTTATTGAGACATCAAAGTAGTATAGAAATCCAACGACAAAAAAAAAGAAAGATTTGGGGAAATATGGAATACCTTCCAATACTATTTTGATGATATTAAGAGATATGTTATTGAAAATATTAGTAGATGATATGAAACTGTGAACCAATGGTCAAAAAGATAGAAGATGTGTGAACTTTCCAAAGTGGAATAAGAATAAGCTATTTTTGAATGGTTCCAGTTTAGAAGTTGAAAAGATCTATAATGTTTATGCATTAATTAAATATCTGAATATTATAATTAATATTTTAAAGTCAAAAATCAAAACTAATGTTAATTTGAACTTCCTGTGTTTAGTCGGTCCAATCATATTCCAATTGACTGTATGCAAGGTGATTCAAAATTATTGTTCCAAAATCTACATGTAGGCCAGGAAAATGATAATAGGGAATAACCATAAAGGAATATGTAGTTGTTAACAGAATGCAGACAGGCTATAAAACCACAAATCATTGAAACTTACATTCTTATAAGCCTCTGTTAGTCAATGTGAGGCATGCATTACAGCTGCAATTTTTGAACACCTACTTCAAAACTTTTTTTAAAAGAAAAGTGTTGCGTTCAGTTATTTTTGGATATTAAATTATCATTTTTGACAGGCCTAGCATTTTTCAGTCTCTAACTTGAGCACAAGTAGTGTATCTGCTTTGCATTTGCAACCATACATTCCTCTATGATTCTTTTGAGGAATATTTCTGAGTCTTTATTTATACATTTTTATCAATCATACATTATTCTTTTTGTTACCTTCTATGAATAATCTCAATTAGATCAAATTCTACTGATATCTGCTTGCAAAAATGCATGCAATTTTTAAGTTATTAATATATATGCATTTAAAATTTACTTCAATTTCAATCCTCCATTAATATTTATGGACCATACATTATTTTTTGTTACCTTCTAATGAATAATCTCACTTTGATTAAATTCTACTGATAACTGCTTGCATAAATGCATGCAATTTTTAAGTTATTAACATATATGCATTTAAAATTTACTTCAATTTCCCATGATCAAAAATCATATTAAGAAAAGGAGAAAAGACATAAATTCAAATGATACAAAATGGGAAATTTAAAAAAAAGAAAGAAAAAAAACAGCTTTAAAATAATATTTTAAAAATATCAGAATATTCTTAAAAAACTAGAAAATACTTGATTCCCTACTTAATTTATTCATTTAATGTATTCAAGCATTCATCATTTAAAATACAACACTGTTAATTTTTAATTAAATTATATTACATAATATAATAAAAATAATTTACAAACCTATCTAATGCTGTTTCTTGCTGACAATGAGCAGCATATGCTACAGTTTGTCCCTTATGGCAGCGGTCAGTCTGCATAGCAGATACATAAAATACAAAATCTGCATCTTTGATTCCAGAATTATTTCCAGGAGATGAAGATTTGCAAAAGGGTCCTGTTGCACTGTACACACAACAAGGCTAACAATATAACAATAATTATTTCATAAGTATACTAATCAAATATATTTATGTCGAAAATAAAGTATCGAACACAGTTTCTGAAACATATACTATATTTCATATACTAGGCAGATTAGTGCATATCAACTCTTATTTATAGAAAACAAAATCGTTAAACATTTTTGAATTTTTTCTTTTCAAAACATATTAAATTCTTATTAATTAGAAAAACTTGAAATTATTTCCTTTTTTAATACATTGCTTGTAAAAATTTTATTCGGCTCTACAAAAGAAACATTTATACTTTTTCTTTTAAGTAATTTTTTGACCTGATGTTCCTCATGAACGACAGCATGAACTGTTTAATCACTTTTTTTCATTAATTTAGCACATGCAAAATGGGTAAAAATGAATTTTCATCAATCAAATAATATAAAAAACTAATTTAACTTTATAAAATACTTATTGCAATTTACATAAAGTATAATACAAAATAAAAATTATTAATTCAGATACCACTATGTTCAGTAAAAATCATAGCAAACTAAAGTTTGCTGATTCTAAATTAAGTCAAGTACCTAACCAAAAATTATCTTATTTTAATTTTGTTTCAAGTTAGCTAAAAACTATTCTAAAATGATTTAACATAGAAAGCAAAACAATAATTAATGTTAAAATTATATTTTTAAAGTTGTTTGATCAAAGTAGGACTGTCATAAAAATTATAAGTTTAAAAACCAATACGAATTAGATGCTAGACCAAATTTGAATTGGTAATAATAACACAGAAATCAGGTAAATTGACATGGAATTAGAATGTAATAAAATATCGATAGTTTATTTCAAATGTTAAAAGAGGAATTTGAAGAAGACAATGGTGTGGCAGGAAAAAGGATAATGCAAATTTTATTAAGTTCCTAAACCTGAACATTTACATTTATTGACATTATGCATGCATCGAATATTCGGCCACTATTCGGTATGCAGCCCTTCTGCCGAATATTCGGTCTGCCCAATATTTGGTCAAATATTCGGAAAAGAATTATTTGGAAAATTATTTTTCAATTAAGTTTTAATGGGGGAAATTTAATAAAGAATAATCTAAAATCATATTTTTTACATTGCATTATTAGATATAATTTTTACATGCATAGTTTTGTTAATATCAAAAACTTGTTAATTTATGTTCTGAAAGACACATGGAAAAGGAAAATTTTAAGTAAACTAGATTACTTTATACTGATTCATAAGTTATTTAAATGCTGATTTTTTCGTTGTTTTTCTCTCCTTTTTTTTAAAAAATTATACTCGGGCAAGTTATACTACTAATATACTTTTATGGTTATTTCAAAACCTTATATTTCAAAAACTGAGAACTTTTGCTTCATGTCATTTTTGTTTGTTTTTCTGTTTTAACTAAAGCGAAGCTTGTTAATAGACTAATAGACTTTATTTTTTTGTCACTTTTTTCGAGTACAGTAAAACAGATAACTAGTTACATAGAATATTGTGATTCTTAACGTTAAAGTTATATTTCAAAACAAAGAAAAAAAATTTTATGTTTCTTTTTTGATTTTTTTCAATTAACTTTTCTTTTTATCAGCGTTTTTATTACGACATCATTTTTTAAAGAGCGTTTCTAATGAGCGTTTTTCTTTTATGGTGCCTTTTTTTTAAAAATACGACAATGTGAAAAAGTTAAAATAAGATTTTTAGCGTTAAATCTACCATTTGAAAATTAAGAAGGATTTTTGTTTCGGTTTAGATCTAGATTTTTCTTTTTCAAAAAACTTATGTTTTTATAGACGTTTTTATTATGACCCGCACATTAAGAGGGCCTCTATAAGACTTTAATCTTTACTTTTTTCTTGAGAATACGGTACTAATTGAAAACATTGTAATGTTTAGCTCTAAAATTTTCTTTTAAACATTAAGATCCTTTTTTATTTTCTCTGCTTTGCTCTTGTATATAATCTTTGTTTCATTATAGTTTTTCTTATGATAGTGTTTTTAAAAGTGTTTCTGATAGACATTATCTCTTTTAATGATTTGTGGATAATTTTTTTTTCTTCAATTTCTTTTTCTTTCAAAAATACAACTTTAGTTTTTTTAATCTGAAAGCTGTTAGTCAGTTTTTTATATCTTAAATATTCATGCATTATCTTTATTATCCCAAACATTTCTATTAAAGTTTTTTTTCCCTTTACCCCCTAACAATAATACAGTTAAGTTTTGATTATTTTTTAATAATGTCTAAACTAAAAAAATGTTGCTATACGGCCGATTTATTTATTTAAGCCGAATATTCGGTATTGATCAGCGAGTGGGAAAAAAATTCTTACTTGATCAAGTAAAGTGGTCTAGTAGTTTAAGAAGTAAACATGCACATCTCAAAATGAATAAAAACTACATCAGAAATTACAACTTGATTGCCCTTAATCTTCTCTTATATTTTAATAACTTAGTTGATTTTAAAGGTACAAATTTTTTCCCCACTAAACTTCAGAATGAATATTATGACATGAAACACAAATCAATTAAAAAATAAAGGTTGTTTTAGTTCAATTTGGAATGAGAAAGTAAAGAAAAGTTGTACCTCTAAGTGTTCTTCAGGGACTATAACTTCCCCACAAGTGGTAATATTTTCACAACGTTCTTTACAATGTTGAATAGAAATATCTTCAGAAAAAAAAGCGTGATTATTAGGACACTTTCTGAAAGAGAAATGAAACATTTTGTTACTATATTGCTCTTAAAAAATGTATATTACAACACATCACAATAAACATATATGCATCCACCAAGAAAAAAGTAATGAAGCTTTACGTGTCAAAAAAGTTTTGTTTAGGAAAATATTACGGTTTAAGTTTTAACAAAAGATTTTTAAATGAGTTTCTATGACTTAATGCAACTAAGAATGAGAAGTTCTTACATAATTAAAATGAGTTAGATCTTATCAGATTAGTAATTTCAACAATTTAAAGTAATTTTCTTCAAGTAAATTTAAAATTTTATAGAATACAATGAGTGAATCGGCATTATCATCATCATGTATCGGCATTACCCTACTGACATATTACAATGTTATACGCAAAATTATAAACCATAATTAAATTGAAAATTTACCTTTATTTAGTTCGAGTTCCTGTCGTAGTTGTAGGTCATAAAGACAAGAGTTGCAATTGTTCTTTTTTTCAGTGGCGCCATATATGGCCAATAATTTGACTTCTGCCACACTTATATGTCACATCCGTTTACAGGGCGGACCCATTCATACATCCATTCATTCTCATATACAGATTATAATTTTAAACTGAACTAGAAAACTACCAATCTCTAATTCAGTACCCCAGGGGCATAGTTTGTTATGGGAACATGGAGTACTCTGTGACCCGACAGATTTAACGTGCACCAGTCACAATTTACTACACGGTGAGTCTTCAGCCAGCTGGATTCGAACTCCCCTTCAACGCTATCCCAGTCCCAATATAGTTTGAGTTTATTTGTTATTTTAAAACTGCAAGAGTACTTGTCATAAAAAAAAGGAAACAACAATTAGATAATAAGTAACCCATACCTGTTTAGTCTAATTGGAACATTCATAGGTCTTACTAATAAAGTTTTCTGCCAATATTCTAAAGCTTGTGGCAGGATTGTTGACTATAAAGAGAAGAAAAAAAACATATCTCAAATAAAGCAACATTTTTTAACTAAAAGATTAAAAAAGCATATCTCTTTTGATTGATTTAAACACTAAATTGGCTGCTTCATAATTATGTGGCTTTTTTTTAAATTTATGAATTTTAAGTCTTAACTGAGTATTTTTCCAAGGAATTAATTTTAAGTATAGCACGCAAAATAAGAAAATATCTGAATAACTTTTTTATTTTGTCCAATCATCTGATTTGCACATTAATACATCAGAAACTATATGATTAGACTAAATCAAAAGATTAGAATCTAGAGTTATGGTTCAAGGAGTATACCATAAATGCCTGTGTACTACTTCATTATTGCAGACGATATTTTACTTAACGAAATTTGACACAAGTCGTGTTTTCTTCGAATGTATGTTTTAATATAGATGTTTTTATAGGTATATTACGTTATACGCATATAAAGTTTTTATAGTATACGTTTTTAATATAAGCTTTTATATAGCTACGAATATGCACTATTCTTTTACGGATTCGTTTGACTCTCAAAGTGTGGGGTAACTCGGTCTAGAACTGCAAATAAGGTTCCAATATTTTGTTGAAAAGACTGTTAATTTTAATTTTTATATATTATATATATTACTAGAATTATTTTAATGAACAAAAAAAAATAGCACGCTTGTACACAATTATCAAATTTGTTTATAAAAGGTAAATTTATTCAGGATACTATTTTTATTTTTGTTATAATGCATTGTTTAATTAAATAATTCTCAAACTATGACTGTACAAAGAAGTACATAAAATTTCACAAAACTTTTTAAACTACGTACTTTAAAATAACAGAATCTAAAGTTTGATGGACATAGATCAAATAGTTTCTAAGCAGTAAAACTTCAAAAAAAAAANAAAAAAAAAAAAAAAAAAAGCGGTAATTTTAAATTTTTATTTCTCTAGAACTATTCAAACGACTCCGTACTAAATTTAGGATTTCTTCATTTAAAATTACACAATTGAAAATGATTAAAAATGTGTATATCTTAAATTTAAAAAAAAAATGATAATGGAAAGAAGTTATTGCACTATTATCAGGCGTTAAAAACATTACAGAAAGTAAGAAATTGAAATATTGCTCACATTTATCACTTCAAATTTTTCTGGTGGTAACCTACAAATGGAAGAGAAAAATGTCACATAAAAATCTGCAGATAAAGTATAAACTCTGAAATTTAAGAAAAATTTAAAAAGCACAAAAAGTAATCATGTTTTCAATAGAAGTATCAATATTTGAATTATCGTTACATTTGTCACCCATTTATACCAACTTAAAGTGCCTAAAGTCTTTTTCGAAGTTGAAAATCATTGATTTCTAATATAGTTCCGTTAATCTCAAAAAGACAAGGGATTTTATGTTTTCTTCGATTGTGTGTGTACAATTTTTTCTCTCCCTACACATAGCTAACCATCTTTTTGTTATGTGATAATCTGAAACGAAATACAAATAAAATTATTTCATTCTAACTCTCTAAATTTAAGAGGAAGAGGGGAAAAAAAATCATAATAATCGAAACAATTTTCAAATGGGATGCTTAATAGCGAGCTCACGATTTTTTAAAAATATTAGAAAGTATTAAATAGTAATCAATTAATTAATAGTAATCGAACCAAATTCATGTTTAGTTTGAAACTGATTTAAATTAATATTTCATGAAGAGAGTAGTTAATATTTTTGAAAAAATTAATAAAACATAAATAGCTTTAAGGCTGTGCGACAAAAACCTTAATAACATCATAAAACCTTAATAACTTAATAAAATCATAATAATCGAAACAATTTTCAAATGGGATGCTTAATAGCGAGCTCACGATTTTTAAGATATTAGAAAGTATTAAAAGTAATCGATTAATTAATAGTAATCGAATCAAATTCAGGTTTAGTTTGAAACTGATTTTAAATAATATTTCATGAAGAGAATAGTTAATGTTCTTGAAAGAATTAATAAAACATAAATAGCTTTAAGGCTGGTAAGTTTTTGCTACAAAAACCTTAATAACATTTATGTATAAATATTTCTATGATTTGTGTTGAAAGTCAAATATTGAATACTATTTTTCTCAGACGATTTAAAGTATAAATGCCGAAAAGAAAATGTCTGGAGAAATATATTTTTGTTAGATGAATAAACTTTATACATGGATCACTATTTGCGAACAAAAGATTTGATGCAGACGTGTAAAGCTGTTTTAAAGTAGACAATTCTCATAAGCGGAAAAAGAAATATAAACATTCTTATAACTATTTATGTAATCAATCCTTTTTATTTCATCAGAATCCTTTTTATTTTCCTTACATTAGATTTTATTCTATTTTTTGAAGTGTTTATTATTATTTAGATTATATTGATAGTAAATTAATCTAAATTATCCCAATGCTATAACTCGAACTTAACGCAATAAATGTAATAGATAAATTGATAAAATTAAAAAAAAATTAATTTTATTAACTCGCAAAATAGAATAAAAATTCCTTTATATTTTTGATTTCATTGAGTTTATTTAAAATTCATAAAGAAGATCAGAGTTGTACAATTAAACATGTAAAAGAAAATATGAAACTAAAATAAAAACTAAAACTCAATATTAAGAGGACATTTTCTTTTGCACAGAACTCTATAATTTCTGTTTAATATTATTATATTACATTATTTATTAGTTTTTTCTCACATAAATTCCGTTTTTGACATTCAGTAATCGTTTTCATCCAATGTAAAACTAAAATCGGCTCAAGATATTCAAACATATCAGATTTGTTTTTAAAAATTANGTTGTTGTATGGATTTGAATGATTGTTTTGAATTCTTAGAATTTTGTGTACTTGCAATGAATCTAAGTTAGTAGCGAGCGAAGAGAGCGTGGTTTGCGAAGCAAACCATATAAGATTGCGTAGCAATTTTCGGGGGTTGGCGAGCGCTAGCGAGCAGGGGGCGCAGCCCATTAGTTTTTGATAATACACATAGATTGTTAATAATAATCACGTCATTTACAACTCGTATTCCGTACACCGACGCTGATGTTTTTTAATCTATAGAAAGAAAAAGTACAAAATTTAAAAAAAAAAAAAAATTATCTTAAACGCTAATAAAAAATCAAAAAAAGACAGCATTTTGGAATAAAATATCCTGTAGTATTTTATTTGGCGTATAAATTATGTTTGTTGCCCAAACTAATTTGTATTGCCGAATTAAAACCCATTGTAAGTAAAGAAACAATTTTCATCCACCACGTCAACTTGAATCGCATAAAGTGGTACATCCCCAAAAGTTTGAGCTACTTGTTTTTTAAACAAATAATTATTTTCATTCATATTTATTTAACGTGAATATAGGTATAAGACAGTGTTAAATTATTAATGATAGTGACAATTGTGAGTGAGTTTTATCTACAATCAAAATTGAATTTGTAAAAAAAAAAATGCCCAGAAGGGACCAGTCACGTACATTACCTAAGCACCCAACGGAGGGTGATTTGCTAATTTTTGCTAACTATGGGGGTGGAATATAAGTATTGCTCACTTAAGATATTAAAATCACCTTGATTTCAAAACTTTTAAAAAATAGTAAAAGTGAAAAGAGTTGAAAATGTAACAAATAAAAATTGCACGTGGAAAAATTTCAAATTTAGGAATAAAAGTTGAATTTGTGGAAAGAAAAAAATTTCTTAGAAGAGTTTCTGATGTGTACAGTTTTGGACAACAAAGATTCCTAAAGAATATTCTACTGTAAGTCTTATAAGTTTTTGAGGTCATTTGATTTAATTTGATAATGTAAGTTTTGTTTTAGGCAAAGCTACATCTCTTTTTGAGTTTAATCTTCAAATTAGAATTACTGTTGTTGCAGCTTTCTTACATTGGAGGTGTTTTGCGATTTTTGTTGACAAAAGGGAAATCAAAAATTGCCAAAAAACCACGTTTACGTAATATTTGAACTGTCCCTTAGCGAAAAATTAACAGAAAATGAAGTTTGTTAACCGTAATTTAAGTTACCTAGTCAATTTAAATCAAACCAGGAATCAGCCAATGAATATATTGACACTTTTGAGAAGTGTAAAATATACTATTTACAAATAAATTAAAATATATTTCGTCATAAATTATATGTTGGCTGACTCAAATGTGCTTAGAGTATGACAAAGATGGAATTTTTTCCTTTTTTCCCTCTCAAAAATCCTGCTTAAAAACAGTAAGGCAAATTATCTACAAGATTAGGCCGTTCTTTTTGTGAGAATAACATGCTAAAGTAATTAAATTCGTCTGTCTTTTTTTTTAAAATAAATAAATAAAGAAAGAAAAATAAGAGGTACTTTTAAGCTTTTATTTCTCTAGACCTATTCAAACGATTCCGTACTAAATTTAGGATTTCTTCATTTAAAATTATACAATTCAAAATGATTAAAAATGTGTATATCTTAATTTAAAAAAAAAAAATGATAATGAAAAGAAGTTATTGCACTATTATCAGGCGTTAAAAACATTACAGAAAGAAAGAAATTGAAATATTGCTCACATTTATCACTTCAAATTTTTCTGGTGGTAACCTACAAATGGAAGAAAAAAATGTCACATAAAAATCTGCAGATATATAATAATGCAGTATAATCTCTGAAATTTAAGAAAAATTTAAAAAGCATAAAAAGCAATCATGTATTCAATAGAAGTATCAATATTTGAATTATCGTTACATTTGTCGACCATTTATACCAACTTAAAGTGCCTAAGTCTTTTTCGAAGCAGCGAATTAATAATTTTTAATACGGTTCCGTTAATCTTAAAAAGACAAGAAATTTTATGTTTTCTTCGATTGTGTGTATACAATTTTTTCTCTCCCCACACATAGCTAACCATCTTTTTGTTATGGGATAATCTGAAACGAAATACAAATAAAATTATTTCATTCTAACTCTATAAATTTGAAATGAAGAGGGAAAAAAATCATACTAATCGAAAAATTTTTCAAATGGGATGCCTAATAATGAGCTCACGATTTTTAAGATATAAGAAAATATTAATAGTAATCGATTAATTAATAGTAATCGAACCAAATTCATGTTTAGTTTGAAACTGATTTTAATTGATATTTCGTGAAGAGAGTAGGTAATGTTTTTGAAAGAATTAATAAAACATAAATAGCTTTAAGGCTGATAAGTTTTTGCGACAAAAACCTTAATAACATTTATGTACAAATATTTCTATGATTTGAGTTGAAAGTCAAATATTGAATACTATTTTTCTCCGACGATTTAAAGTATAAATGCCAAAAAGAAAATGTCTGGAGAAATATATTTTTGTTAGATGAATAAACTTTATACGTGGATCACTATTCGCGAACAAAAGATTCGATGCAGACGTGTAAAGCCGTTTTAAAGTAGACAATTCTCATAAGCGGAAAAAGAAATATAAACATTCTTATAACTATTTATGTCATCAATCCTTTTTATAAAAAAGACAGGGTTATAAGAAATTTACGTTTCATCAGAATCCTTTTCATTTTCTTTATATTAGATTTTATTCTATTTTTTGAAGTGTTTATTATTATTTAGATTATACTGATAGTAAATTAATCTAAATTATCCCAATGTTATAAATCGAACTTAACGCAATAAGTGTAATAGATAAATTGATAAAATTAAAAAAAAATAATAATTTTATTAACTCGCAAAATAGAATAAAAATTCCTTTATATTTTTGATTTCATTGAGTTTATTTAAAATTCATAAAGAAGATCAGAGTTGTACAATTAAACATGTAAAAGAAAATATGAAACTAAAATAAAAACTAAAACTCAATATTAAGAGGACATTTTCTTTTGCACAGAACTCTATAATTTCTGTTTAATATTATTATATTACATTATTTATTAGTTTTTTCTCACATAAATTCCGTTTTTGACATTCAGTAATCGTTTTCACCCAATGTAAAACTAAAATCGGCTCAAGATATTCAAACATATCAGATTTGTTTTTAAAAATTATGCAAGGTATCAGCAATAACAGTAATTATTATTGCAATGAGTAATAATTATATTCACACTATCATAGGTTGCTATCACTCAAATTATAATTACCGTTGTATTTGTTCAAACAATATTATTTTAAATCAAAATGTCTTACTAAATGTAGATATAGTGTGATTTTAATAATGGGTCGATACCTTAAGATGCCCCCGAGAGAAAAATAATATTTGCTGCAGGCTTACTATATACAGAGTGTCCCGTAATCACCGCCTTTAATAGGTATTTTTAGAATCCTTGTAAAAAAATAAAGTAAAAAAGTATACACATTGCACAAAGTCGTAAATTAATCAAGATCTGTTCAGACACTTCACAAGAGATGATGACGGGATAGATAGCTTCAAAATCAGATTTATTGTTTGAGAAAACTTGAAGGTGTTTCTCATAACCACCTTTCCGTTTCTCGCTGTATCCTCAAACAAGTTTTGATGTTTTGGTTCTCGTTTTTTAGACCAATTAATCGCTATAGTTTCTATTTCAACGTTTATATAATTTTTGAGCAGAAGGTCATTTGATAAATTTTTTGCTTCTAGGTCGATTTGAAAACGCAATCTAATGTTTCTATTTTTCATGCTATTTATTTTAGCCATTGCAGCATCATATAAAAAGTTTCATTTCAGAAACACAAACACAAATTCAAAACAAATTAAGATACAGAGCAGTGGCGCATAGAACGTGGATGTTGGCAGGAAATTCCTAGATTAAAAAAAGCCCCTTAAATAAAGAGAAGTGTAATCTCTCGTAGTGACGAAAAAAAATAAAGAAAGATTCATTATGTAAACCTAACTCGATATTTTAAAGTATTCTATTAACTAGAAGGAGAGATTTCAGTCAAAATGTTTACAAGCTGCATCACGCGTGTGCGTCGAACCTGATTGGATGGCAGGATGACCCACGCATGACGTCGCTTCTAAAAATCTAATTAAATTGCTGAATAGTTTCCCATACCTCAATTTACAATCTTTACAACATAAATTTAAAATATTACAAATTTACAATATTTAGAAATTTAATTCTCTGTGTTAATGTCAGCAGAAATTCTTGGTGAAAAACTAATTACTTCTAACAAAATCTCCTCAATTTTGATTTTTCTTAAATGTAAAGAACATTTACACTTTATAGGGGATTTTCTTTGAATCTTTCTCTTCAGCACTAATGCTCTTAATCCTATTATTGAATTTATTTAAATAACACATATATTCCTCATAAAATGTGGCAAATATTCAGTCGTTAAAAAACATCTCATGATAAAAAAAAAAATAATAGATTAAAAGTTTTAGTGCTTAGTCATTCTTTTATTAAATAACTGAGGCTGTTGCCACCTCGTCCCACTCTCTGCACGCCACTGATGTTGAGTAATAATGGCACATCAAAAATCGTTCCTCAACAACTCTTGTAATCGCGAAAATGTCTCAAGAGACAATCTCAAGAAAACAACTCTTGTAATTAAAAAAATAAATCTAAGAAAAAATAGCCATATTTTAATTACGTTACAAGCAAAATGCCAACAAAAGCTGTGCACTTAAAAAGAAAGACAGCATATAAGATCAAAACGAAAATATAACTCAGAAAACGCAACTTTTTCTTTAGAAGAAGAAGAAGAAACAAAATAATTTCAGGAAAACCCATTATAAGAAAGCCTCAGTTTCTTCCCACTTTATTTCGTTTGTCAAAACAAAATAAGATCTCCCTCAAAAATAGTCCAACAGCGAAATGAAACAAATGAGCAAAAAGCTACTAGAATGACGGAGAAAAAAAAATAGCTGACCACTAATTTATTTAGAGATCTGTTGCTGACAGTTTCGAAGTTTAATTGCCTTTGAAGAAAAATAGTTTTTGGTGGAAATTGCAGTCTTTGGTACCAAAAGGATTATTCATCTTTTTTTGGCATTTTTATTCCGTTTTCAACAAGGGAACAATAAATTCTCGTCACCTCAGTCAAGCTTATAGCTCGTTTCTGCTGATGACGCGTCGCTGTTAAACGAAATGGAATTGTTTTTTCTGTCTCTAACAAAATATGTCTTCTACTGTGACTGCAACTTGTTATACAGTTCATTACTTTAGTTTTTCGAAATAATAATTACTGTTACTTGAAAATCAGCCGCAAAGAATAATTTGTAAAAATGCAACGAAAATAGTGCAAAGGCAATAGAAAAATACAGTTTATTTGCTATGAAGATCTCAAAGATTTCGTTTCAAACACAATTAAAAAAAGAAATATATTGGGAAATTGAAAATGTCCTACCGAATTAGAAAAATAATTATTTTGGCATCGTCATAAGAGTTACATGATTGTTGTCCATACGAAAAATGAAACTAAAAATTTAAATTTTTAGTTAATAGCGAGAGGCCGGTAGACTCTAATAGTTTTGTAGCCACGCTTTCCTCAAACCTAATGAGTGCGATATCGAACTGTCCTTTACATTTAATAGCCACTTGTAGCAAAAAAAAAATTTTTTTTGCTGAAATTAGATTATATTTTTAACAAAAATCCCATATAGAAATAATTTACGGATATAAAAAGTTAATTTAATAATAAAAATAATATAAATATGTGACAAAATTTACTTACATATTCTGACTTGAAAGAACTTTATTTAAAAATATTCTAAGAGAAATATATTTTATATATATTATAGCTTTGAACTGTAAATTAGAACTCTACTTCCACATGAATCGTTCCATCACAAACTAATGGATTGTGAAGGATCAAAATTTTGAATAGAGACATTGAGCTCTAGAAATGAAAATTCTGTTTTCCAGATTCTTTCTATTTTTTATTATTTTATTTTATAACCGTCATTGAACAGCCGACCCAATTTTGTATACGACTACTAATGTTCAACTCCGTAGCCTTGTAATTTTAAACCCAATCTAGAAGACAGGGAAACTTCTGGATCAAGTATTGGGGGGAAATTGCCTTCGTGAAGGACTTTTTTGATGGAACTAAGCCGTATTTGTGTTACATGGAGAGGAAAACTACGAAAACCTCCCACGGTTAGCCTGGCGGCAAAGGGAATTACATCCGTCTACCACTGAGAATGTTTCACGTAAGCACTGTGTCCTGCGCAAGCCGGATGCGGAATTCTTATCGACCAGCCAGCGCTGGGATTCGAACCCGGTTCATCTCATTGGAAGGCAAGCACTCTACCACCTGCGTCATCAAGGTTCATTCTTTCTGCATTGATGATTAAACGATTGATCATTAAACGATTCATTGATGATTAAACGAAACATTAAACGATTTTTGGAAGAAGAAAAAAAAAACGATGGGAAAAAGTAATTCGTAGCTTATATAATTTATGCCGCCACTATTTTTTTTTTTAACACGCCACGTGGCTAACGGTTATTTTCAGGTCTTACTAAATTGTGAAACTACAGTCTATCTTCGTAATATAAAAGAAGAAACATATTGATTAAATTAATTAAAGACAAATAAAGAGTTATACCTGTAAACACTTTTGTCATAAAATTTTTTTATTCTAAGGGGTTGAGAAATACTTCTTTTACGAACTATATGATGTGGTTCCAAATGGACGTGTTGGACCTGAAAAAAAAAAAAAAAAGCGAATGTCATGAGAGAAAAAAAGGAAGAAACAAAAATGGTTAGCACTGAATAATAATCCTTTTGAACATTCAAAATCAAACATTGAATATAAAAAATCATTCGTAGGGTCATATCAATTAATATTCGTTCATTTGTTCGACCTCTCGCATTTCTTTGAATATATTATACTGAAACTATTTCTTAAATTCTAAAATTTCGTTCCTTGATGACATTCCAGATGGGATTTTTTGACGTTTTTAAACAAGTGTTTCCCTTTAAAAAAAATCTCAAAAACTAAAAATATCCAAAAAGATAGCATTAATTAAAAGTATCCTGTTAAGAGATCAAGTTCATAAAATATATTTTATTATACAAAAATAACAAAGAATACAGTGAAAAGCAACTAAAAAAAAAGCTAGTTTTTCAGAGGAAAACATAGAGATAATGTGACAGTAGGAAAAAAATCTAATTACATATAAAAGAAAAGCAAAGTCAATTTTCTTAGATCAAATTAGCGAATTATAAAAAAAATAAAAAAATATGTACAGATTAAGTCCATCATCGATCAGGTAATTTCATCGAAAACCTACTGAGAGCAGGAAAATATTATGTAATATTTTTAAGAAAATATTTCTGGGGAAAAATTAGCGACTAAAAACATAATACAGTCAAACAAAAAAAATAGAATATAAAAAATAACATTATTAAACAAAATGCTTACAAAAAGATAAAACTGCTGTGAAGTGATGATTTACAAAACTTCCTTATAACAATTTAGAACAATGAAAATTATATTTAAATAGTACATTAAATGCAGCTCACGCAAAAAAATTAAATTATGCTTTTGCTGCACGGTGGATGTTTTAGCTACTTATTGCACAATATTTAAAATACCATTTTTCTTTTTAACTTCTTAAGTTTTATCGCTACTGTTAAAGTTAAATAGAAAGTATGGTAGAAGATTCCATTTAATTATAGCAAATATACGCGTTCCAGTCTAATATTATTTAAATAAAGGACTAAATGTAAAAATAAAGATTAGTAAGAAGAAACGTTAAATGTAATATTGGCAGAGCTGGAATAGGCTATAACGCTACAATAATACGCACTTAAAGAAACGGTGTAATAAACTAGGTTTGACGAAGAAAATAAGACAAAGAAAATAAGACAAAGATAACTGAGGCGTCTTGGGAAAGGTAAATATCTTGATGGGCATTGAACAGTACAAATCAAATAATTTCTTAGTTAATCAAACAATCTTTTAAACTGGAACTAATGAAAGATAATTTTTTTCCCCTTTATATAGCGGTATTTTTTTGAAAAATTAATGAACCCTCAAAAGATTTTTTCAGACATTAGAAAATCAATTGCTTAACATAAAACCCAATTTTAAGATTTATTGATAAAATAATGAAAAAAATTCATTCACACTTAATGTTTCTGAATTAATTTTTCGTTTTTTCGAATGTTTTCTTCGTTTCGAGAGTTTTTTTCGTTTTGTCCCTTTACACCTGCTAATCGTCCGGATGATCTTTTAGGGTTCCATGACTGAAAAAAATTGGGAACCGTTGATATAAAAAAAGTTTCGAAAAAAAAGTTTTGAAAAAAAAAAAAAATTCGAAAAAGAGTAGTGTTGGTCTTAAAACAAAATGCATTTCTCATGCATAAGAAGAAAACAAAATCCATTTTATTTGATAGAATGATCAATTCCACACTAAGTACACAATTACGTTTAAAAAATATATAACATCGCGGCAAGAAGTAGTTAATTTTTCGGGCTCACATCAAAATCGAATTGTATATTAAAAAATTCATTTTGATCGCCTTTACTTACTCTTTAAAAGCTTCCTACAACACATCTCAGATGTCGTCTACTACAAATACCTCTTCCATCATTTTTCAGAAAGAAAACCTCTAAACTCAACTCTTCCTTCAAATTGACCACAGTTATCCCAGTCCACCCCATATTGGACACATCCCCATGGTTGCGTGATTCCCATATAATTTTTTGCTCAGATAGTTTCGGTAGTGTATTTGCTCGATGTGGGGCGGATGTTCGATCAGGGCGTATCAATCATTCCAAAATGGATGGGCAGGGATAGAGTGCACCTAGGGCGTGGACATTTATTTATACACTTTTTTTTTTACTTTTTAGGTGAATTCGTGCTCTATTTATCACATTAGAGGTGAATTTTTCCTTCTTCTTCTTCAATTTGATGAATTCATTCGAGTCATATTTATTTCCATTATTTTTTGACAATCTGTATCTGCTATAAGTGTTCAGAATTTCATCGTTGTGAATTATGGCGAAGTGAGCAGACGATTCATAGAATAAATGGGCTGCAGAAAATTATTTTTTATATCCGTATCTCTATCAGTTTAGTAAGTCCAAAAAAAAAGTAAAGAATTTAAATTCTTTTTATTGAATATTAATTACATTAATTTGAATATTCCTTTTACTGATAAGATTGAAAGTAGATTTTAATGACACAAGAGTTGTATTAACCCTGAACGGTACTCAGAAATAAAGGGGTTATAAACATAGTATGGCACAAAAAACAGTATGGAAAAAATATGAGTAAGTAAATATAATAAGAGAATGTAATATCATTTAGTACAGTGTTTCCCAAACTTATGACTTTTGTGTACCCTTTGCAAATTTTTCGTAACGCTGTGTACCGCTAATAAAAAACTTTTGCACAAAAAATAAGAATCCCAACTGGCTGTTAACACTACTAATTATTAAGTGTTAACTCTACAAAAAATAGTCAATAGAAATATATGTAACAGCAAATTTTCATGGCTAGCTTTGTTTTTAATTTTTTTTTTTTTTTAAATTTTAGTTCGTTGCAAGATAATTCGCATGAGAACGCATACCCCCACTAAACTGTCCCCGTACCACTGGGGGTACGCGTACCACACTTTGGGAAACACTGATTTAGTAGGACGCATCGGGGTAGTGGAATCTGTATCTACCCGCATATTCTGAGGGGTGCATATGTATAAGAAAAAATGGGAAAATAATTTATTTAAAGATTCTGTCAAGCGAAAGACTTTCAGAAAAATTTGCACAGATGTTTCCACGCAATTTCAAAAAAGTAAAAATTAAAAATTGTACGGTTAAACGTTTTCAACAATTTGAGCACTATATACTGTCAATTTAAATGAAAAAAAAAAATAATGTGAATGATTCTTACTTAGAACTTAAAAACATAAATACCCCGAAATCACAGTTTACAAGCAATATATCTTAAGAAACAGTAGTAGACGTAACTACGTGGAAATCTACTAGGATCCTTAAACACGCAAAATTTTTGTTATTAACAATAGAACTGTTAAAAAAAAGTTAGCTACTATTCATTTAGGTTTTAAAATATATCCAATTATTTTAGAAACAAAAGCACATATTTATTTTTTCACCATAAGTTACTATTTTGTCATTTTTATATATATTTTTTATCTTGCGATAATTCCAATGATTTGGATTAAATGTTTTTTACTAGTTTTATGTTTTAAAACACTCTCAACTGATGCTATCGTGTCAGCCAATAAAGTAAAATCATCACTAATAATGGCCACATTGTAAGGTTGAAAAGTATCTTGTTAGATTTGTAGTTAAAATTCTAATAGTTTGTCAAAAAATGATAGTTGTGTATTTTCATCCAAAACGGAGTTATAAATAGTACAACATATATTAGTATCTCTCTATACTAAAAAATTGTAATTAATCGTAATTAAAAAATCGTAAGGGCCGCCGTTGCTTTGAATGTTTAACTTAACGTTGCATTTTGATTTGCTATATAAAAACTATTAAACTAAGAAACTAGATGTTACTAAGATGCGTAGAAAAATGTGCAGAGCTTACAATGGAATAAAAAGCATTCGATTATTAGTTTAGGAATCGTTAGCTAATAAACTTGAAGAAAAAAATGTCATGCGAGCAGCTCAGAAGGCCTTAGGTATTATACAAAGCTGGAAAGACTATTTTTGATAGGGCTTTTTTTTTTTAAATGGAAATTTAGATTGGTTCAAAAGTTACTGCAATTTTAAGAGCTCTTTTAAGCATTTTTTCTTATTGCTGCTTTACGTTGCGTTTTATTTTGCGGCAAAAAAATAAATATAAATAAATAAATAAAATAAAAAAAACTATTAAGATTTAGAAGCTTGAAATTACGAAGGTGCGTGAAAAAATGTACAATGAGTTCGTTGAAATAAAAAAAAAAATTTACGATTCAATTATTAGTTCTAGAATTATTAACGTTGGAAAGAAGAAAAAAAATTGTTGACCGATCTATAGCTTTCATAAATGTCACTACAGAGTTGAAATATGACATGCTGACCATTTTAAATTATAAAATTAATGAGTTTTTTTTTTCTTTTTCGAAATTCCAATTCGAAAGTTTTTGGAATTTTAATTGCTTTTTTGCAATTTTTTTCTTCAAATAACAATTATATAATATAAGTTCGCCCTTGAATTAATGTCAAAAGTAACAACAAAAAAAACAGGAATTTAAATTAAAAAAAATAAGAGAGAGATTAGATGTTGCCACACACAAATCTTAACATTTACATCGAAATTTTTAAAAAATTTCAATACTGAAGGGAGATAAAATATTTTTTAATGCGAACTATTATATGATACAAGGTTATCGTTAGATATTGTTAAAAAGTAAAATTACTTCTCATTTATGACTTCTTTTTCTGTCCTACATTCTGTGTGAAGTTGAATTTTTTTTTTCTTCAAGTAGAGTTGATTGTTTTTTAAATTCTTACGATTGACATATTTATAAAATCTTTATTTATCTACATTTATGGGAAAAAAATAAAATTACTTCTCATATAAGTATTTCAGGTGCATTTCTAAGTTAAAATGTTTATTCAAGTACAGTCGATTGTTTGTCAAATACAGGTATGCTTCCATTTCGTTTCAATTAACAATTTAATAAAATGTGCTGCCATAAAGTTATAATCATTTTATATTTTATAAGAAAAATGATCTT